TCAATCAGGGGACCCACTGGCGGACAACACCTACCACCCAGAGTGAGGTCTGGGACGCACGCCAACCCCATCGGCAGCCGGCAAGTACAGAGACTTATTTCTGATACATAATATCCATATCCATCCTAGCCGGTTTTTATGATTGTTTAAGGAACAAGACTACCCTCCTGCTGGCAATTTTCTTGCAAACCGTTCCTGACTCGTATTTTTTACAGTATTTTTATAATCTTTTATATATTTTTATACTTTGGAATTGTAATACATTTTCTACTATAACTTCTAATCATTTCCACCTTTATTTTCACTTTTTAGTGTTTTTTTCTTATTCAGAATTTTTGTAATTCTCATTACACTTTTAAATAGTACCAAGTTTTGGTTTGTACAATTATAAGATACACTCTTGGCGCACTATTTAGTCAGTCTGCCTGTAGCAGATTTAAAGAGACACTCACCTGGAACAATTGTGTCAATACTCTGTTGTGTGACACTAAACCAAATATAAAATAGAAAACAGCTATCTATGCTGCTATTCTATACTATATAGTCACTTATGTGAAGTAGAGCATTTGGTGTATACCGTATTGAATCTTCCTATAACAGATTTAAAGTTGTACATACCATACATGTTGCTGTATTACTCTCTAAATATTTGGACCTTTTTCCGTAACATATTTGGTACAATTATATACACAATAGCCATCTTTGGGCAAAACAGCTCCTGGATATCTTGCACCAAATCAAGGTGCTATTCCTTTTGAATTACATTTGTCCGGACAGGTACTTGGTGAATTCCTGTCTCTGTCCAGTTTTTGAACGACCCATCACAAATCAGACTCCCTCAGCTCTGTGTGTTGCATTAGACATACATGATTTTTATATTTTTAATATTCAGCACTTTGTTTTGGACTTTAGGGATGGAAACTTCATAAAAGTTTTAGTTTGTTTTTCTGTTTATTTTTTTCTTGGACTGTAAACGTTTTGGTTGACCGGTTCATTTAGAAAGTTTAATGGCCTTCACTTGGAAATATATAGAAACTCTGCACTTTTGTGTTTTTTTTTTTTGTTTGTTTTTTAGCTCTGTAAGTCTATTTCCCAAATAAACTTTTCATTCCATTTTAGGTTGATTATCGTCAAAAATCTGCTGCTGCCGGAAGAATACCAACAAACCATTTAAGAAGAGAACTTGGTTCAAGTCATAGTGAAATATTAACTAGTCGAATCATAGGTATTTTTAAATATTATAATGTTTTGATATAAATTGTCAGTTGCTTTTTGAGTATATTGTAATGACCCTTGTCTGATTCGGTAGTAGAGTATGAAAGTATCCCAAAAAAAAAGTAATTTAAAGAAATAATGTATTTATTGTAGAGCAATGTGTTTTATTGCATGTTGTCTTCTATATTTTGCTAGGCAAATAACTAAGACATATAATGATGCATATTACAAGTTAAAGGGTTACTCCAACCTTCATAATTACTACAGCCTGTGCAGGGTCTCTTGTAGAATGATTACGACATCCAGCTTCTGCTGTGCTGCAGAATCTGGATGTCAAGCCTGTCACTCATTCATAGGAATAGAGGGTCAGCTTATCATTCTCAGCCAATGAATGACATTCTGTGCATAGAAATATGCACATAATTGATATTAGCTAGCCAGGAACTCTTTTTCTGGGCTGGCTAGTGATTCCCCATTTGTGCTGCCAGAGGTGGTTACAAATCCAACAACAAAGGGATTAAACTCCATAAGTGCAGTGTTTCATAGTGAAATGCTGCACATACATACTCCAGACACTGACTATTTCAAATCACTGAACTGGTCATGGTGCTCGGAGTAGCCATTTAATTAAAATATATATATATATATATATTTATTTATTCTAATACCAATCAGAATCTGCCTGAATGTCCTCTTCGCTTTAACTCAACTTATTGATCAATGCTTAAGCTGGAATTTCGAAACCTTTATAAACAGGGGAGGCTGTTTTGTTTTGTTATTTGTTTTTCCAAAAACAATGCATATCAGTTTTCTCAAAAGAGCCTTAGTTGTTTTGATGTCTTAATGAAGTTGTTTTGATGTATAGATCTTGCCCCTGCAGTCTTACTCAATTCTCAATTCAAAAACTCCACTGCCAAAATAAGAATAAATTACCGTTCAGTAGATATTCCCCAATGGAAGTATGCATGCATTAAATTATGCATACAATTACGCATTTTTGATTGGGGGTGTTATTAAAAGCAGCTTGCAAAAACTGCAGTTCTCTTGTCTGAAGCCTTTACAAGCCCTCCCCTTCTAACCCCGCCCAGGCTTTCTGTGGCTGTCCAATCACAGACTTCCCAATGCAGCTCTATGAGAAGTCTTCCCAAGGTAGGTGCTCCAGGCAATTGCTGCCTCTTGATGTTAGCTCCACTGAGTAAACCACACCAGCAAGTAAGAGCCAGCGGTGTAAGAAAGTCAATTTATAACAGTGCCAATTACTGAAAAAGTCCTTTGGATTTTAACTTCCCTTATTGTACAATGTGTCTAAATTTAGAAATTCTTATCTCCTGCTCTGTTATTTGCATGCTAAACTCAGCTTCAGCCTCCTCTGTTATTACATTGCAATTAACAGAGCAGGGGGATTTCCAAAGATGTAAGATGTGATTAAAAATTAAACTTTTTTGCTTTATATCTCACTTGTTTCTTTTCATGAAGGCTGTATGAGTTACAACCAGGAGAGGTGTGGCCAGGGTTGCATAAACAGAAACAAGAGTGGTTTAACACATACAGTACTTTGCAGATAATTAAGTAATGAGGCTGCTGGGTCATGATCGGTACACTAAAATTGCTCAAATAAGCTAGTGTTCCTTTGGGGCTTAGAAAAGCTCTTAATAGCTCAGCATAATGAAATTATTTGTGAAGCAGTACTTACACATGGGAGCTTTCCTTTCCCTCTAATGGTCAATTTGGTACATTCGTTATATAAAATCTTCAGTCATCCTTGGAACCCCAGAGCTTCTAGTCTTTTTTTCTGACCTACATGGTATCACAATAGGCAGATCCTGATCACGTGGGTGGTGAGGCCGCTGTTTTTTTTTTACCTTTACTCCAATGGAAAATGAATACAAGACCATTTGTTTTGCAGATCGATCTATTAGACCACTATTTCCTGCTGGATATTTTTATGACACACAGGTAAGTTTTGCTTTATTTCTGACAGTATTCAGTTTGCTTGAGTGGAATGAATCATGGTTACCGTGCCTAATGGTATTTGTGGAGGATGCATACAGGTTTAATTTAGCTGTACAATTTGAAATAAAAGCACCAAGCCAATCCAGGGACCCAAACAGCTGGGTAAAGAACAGTATAATACAGGTAAATTTTAACTTTCCTTTCTTATTTTCTTTGTGAAAATAAACTTGATAAATTAAAGCGAAATTCTTGTGCCATTATCTGAGATAGTGTCAATGCCATCTGCATTTATTTTCTTCACGACGCATGACGTAATCATCCAGTCATGAATGTTCTTCCCTAAACGATCCATGACGAAATAATTTCGTTATGCGTTATTTTATCAGCTCTGATTGTTTCCCTGCTTGTAACTAGGGAGCTCCAGATATCACTGGATAGAATTAATGACTCCATGCTGACAGATGAGTTGCATTCAGCTTTCCAAGTGAGTTTTTCAATGGAATTTAAACCTCCCCACCCCCATGGTACCAGTTGGTGTGAGCAGGGTTAAATCTTTGCTCACACCAGTGAGACATAAATTTCAGTCGATACATGGGGCTCCCCTTTTGTCAGCTGTGTCCATTTTTAGTGACCCCAGATTGACAGATGAGCTCAATATAATCTTGGCATATTGGTTGATTCATAAGTATATTTAGTTGGTTACCTAACGTAGACAAAAGATTGCAAGACTACAGGGACAGGACAAGCCTGACCTAGAAGTCAAGAAGGACTAAATGGGTAATATAGGCCTAACCCAAGGGATACAATGAGAGAAATTAATAGAATATTTTTTGAAAGACAAACAGCTCAGTGGTGAGAACCACCTGGGATATTGACTGTCAAAAAACAGGGAGAATTTCTCACATAAATAGGAAATAACTCAATATAATTGTTAAAAGCACAAATACATAGATCTTTTATTACATGAATAAACACACAGAAATGGGAAACAACAATTGTGATAAGAGAAAAGTGTAGGTGAAAGAAAAAAATCAGTATATTAAAAAGGAGACACCCCGAATACCTACCGCAGATGGAGTCACAAGGTGCAATTTTCCAGTCCCTGGCGGAGGTTAAGTGCTTTAAGTCCCTGGCGGCAGAGTTTGAGCGCTCAGCAAAGGAGGTGAAAGCTGAAATCCAAGCAGTAGGCCAATGCACAGAGGCCCTGGAATGGCGGATGGACCACGTTGTAACAGACTACAACGAAGCAGCTACTGTCACGAACTGCTTAATCACCAGAGTGGCCGAATTGGCAGATGCATCCAATAGATCCAGGCGGAATAACCTGCGTATTAAAGGTCTTCCTGAGAGCGTAAAAGATGCTGACATACAGGCAGTACTTACCAAAATATTCCAAGCACAGCTGCTCCACATGTTAGAACACTTCTGGACTATAGATAGGGCACAGGGCGCTGAGGGCTAGAGGCTCTCCACCCACCCCCCTCAATGGCCCCTGAGAGATGTGATCATGCCGTGGCACTTCTTTTCCACCAAAGAACCGATTATAAAAAGCAGCAGAAACAATGAATACACCCATGAAGGCCAACCACTACACCTATACCAGGACATTGCTCCAGCCACGCTGGCAGGAAGGAAATGGAAACCCATAGCGGATATGGTAAGGGCCAAAGGCTACAACTTTGCCTTCAAAATGCTGATCTTCAATGGCCCGGGACCCGCGGTGCTCCTGCCACCTGCGGACCTGAGAGCCTTCCTTCGGGACATAGGCATCGAGGTCCCAGAAGACTTCCACATCCCCAGCAGGGGCCTCAGGGCGCTCAACCATCTGCCACGGGAAGAGGAGAAACACAGGGCATTCGTCCCATAGACTGCCACGGAACAAGATGGACACTCACAAGTTGCCAAAGGCCACTAATACTGCCTAGACACACAAGTGCAATTGCGAATATGTTAAAAGTGTTAATTTTTTAAAGTTTAATTGTGTTAGGTGCTAGCTCGTACATGCACACAGTCCCACAAAGATGAATCCATAAGATAAGCAGGCAAACACCAGTGGCACAACATATATGGCATCCATCACAGGAGTGACCCCACAAAGCTTGGGTCAGGGACTCCCTATCAGTCTCCCACAAAACCTTTACAAAAAAGGGAGAGTACCCCCTCTCAAAAGGAAAACACGCAGCTCCCAAAGGAATCAAAGGCGTTTTAGGGGCAACACCAAAACAAAAGTACACAAATGAGCCAACAACGACACACGGGATGCCATTGGACACCACACAAAGGGAATAGATTTAAAGACGAAAAGACATTCCACATACTAAACTGAAAACGCTGACAACTTACCCCCCCCCCAAAAAATAAAAATCCACAAACTGAATATATTGCATAAGCTTATCACTCCCCCCAAACACAGAACACGGACCCATACAATAGATGGAAGAAATAGTGCCCATACCAGTATAATACAACTCTGCCCATGCTAGAGGCCACAGACGCATGTGAGATCCCACACTAATATAGTGGAGGATTCCTATCCACGGGTTATTACAGCAAACAGTAGTTGGATACCTTTTTTGAGACCGGTAACACCTAGGGTTATTACAACTGTGACAAGTGGGAGGGGACAGCATTAGGCCGATGGAACAGACAAAGTATGAGACACCAAGGCACAGACGGCAATGCAAGTACAATGGGCTACTTCAATATCCCAACATACGTTTGCACAACTGAGCAATGGTGACTTAGTCCAAGCACGTAATAGACACACAGATACAGACATACCAACCCATCCAAGACAGGACTAAGCAGGGCCTATCAGAAGGCAATGTTAGGAGCATTTACAACTTGAAACCGCACCCTAACAATACTGCTTGGATCTTGAGGGGGCATGGAGGGAGATTAACCAGGGCAACGACTGACACAGGCTCCGACAGGGCTAGATAGCAAGGTTCAGCATGCGAAATGGGTCATTCCTCAGGTTTAATAGTTATGGTTTAATGTTAATTGCTAATAATGTGAAATGTTTAACAGATGAAGATAACATGGGATTACTTTTCAATGACAAACCACTGGAGCTGCGAAAGGGTGCTCGGCGGCTAGATATCCTTTCCGTGAGTGGTGATTCCCCTCATGGAACGGATGGTCACCCCCGACAGACCTGGTCTAGCATAAGACCGGGTTTCTAATCTTGTTTCACCAATTCGGCAGTTGCAAGCCCAACTGCTGAAATACCCCTACAAGTTAATTTTTCCTAACAACTCCCCCGCACCGCTCCCTACCCCTACTGGACAAGTCATCCGCATAACACGCACAACTCCACTTGGGACCTTACACAGACTCCCTCTTCCCTGTCTCGCCGGGGGCAAGTGACACTGCGGGACCGGAGGAACTCACGATAGACGGAGACCAACAGAGACCTACAGCCTTTGCCCACCATCCCATAAAAAAATGGCCATACTTAAAATCACATTGTTAAATGCCAATGGCTTGAATGTACGGAATAAAAGGCAGCTCCTGCTTAAGGAAATAAAACAACAAAAAGCAGACATAGCATTCATGCAGGAAACACACGTTGCTCTCAGCCCGGGCTCAATTAACTGACCACATCTATACCAGAGCCTATGCCTCTAGGGCCCTATATAAGAAAAACGGGGTAGAGATACTCCTACATAAAAGATGCCCGCAACAAACGCTCTCTACCCGAACTGATACGGGGGGGGGGGGGTTGGCGAATTTGGTCACTGCCCTACCACATGGAGTAGTCCTCATTGGGGGAGATCTTAATGCGACACCGTGCCCAGCGGTTGACCGAAGCAGACGAAATGAATGCAGAGATCGCACGTCTGTGGGGACCAAGACAAACTGCTAGCGATTTTTATGCGCAGCACCCGGGAACCAGCGATTACACATTTATTCCGCGGCCCACTCAAAGTACTTGCGCATAGACCTGTTCCTTATTAATCAGGGGGTGGTCTCATGGGTCCAATCATCCCGCATTAACCTTATATCTTGGTCTTACCACACGGATATAGAGCTCACACTACGCTTACCCGCCATGGAAGTGGAGAATGCCCGACCTTACGCACTCTACGGTGTGGACTGCGCACAAAACGATCCTCAGAGGCTCCCTGATTATTAAACTGGCGACGATACGTAAGAGAAATAGAGCGGAGTCCCTGTTCGAGTTGCAAAAAAGCACCCCGAAAAGCGGAAATGCAGCATAAGGAGTTGCTTGCGACCCCTAAACTCTGAGAAATAAGCGTGCTGAAGCACAGACTGCGAGACCTGGCGTTGGAGGACCTGGGTAGGGACCTAGTCCAAACGAAAAGTCTCTTTTACGAATGCTCCAAAAAGATAGACACCCTTTTAGCTAGGGCATTATGGAGGTTGGTGGTATACATCCGGTCTTGACCATATTTGGTTGTGGGTTTTTTTTTGTTTGATGGTTTTTTAATATACATATGTTCTAAATTGTATAATTACCTGTTCTATTCTTTGGCATATATAAAGCCAAGCATGCTCAGTCTGAGAGATATATGCACCTGAGGAAGACCTTTGTAATTGTTGAAACACGTTGTGCTACTTTGTTTTGCTTTTAATAATTTGTTAATAAATATTCACCTTAAAATACTTACCCTGGACTCTGGAGCTCCTGTGCTGTAACCATGCCGAGTTTTTGAGGGCGACTTCTAGAAATTCTACCATATATCTCTTTGATGAGATGAAAAGCGCCATAAGTACTGAGCCAGCTTTTAATGGGGAAAATATTTCTTTCTGTGTGCGCAAATCACCCTTTCTGACTATTTTTTTTAACCTAATCACATTTTTAAAGTGTAAATGGCACTTGGGTAACTTTTAGCTGCACCAGATTGCTTAATGTAATAAGCACCACTTTGTCCTTTTATCTTTTTTATTTATTTTTTTACACTCTCAAGACATTGAACTCTATTTAAATCTATTTAATTTATCAAATTATAATAGTGTAACTTTCGAATCATGACTGAAGTAACTGCTGTTTTTTTGCATTATTGGATGGATTTCACCAATTTACATACAGGACAGGTCTTAGTAGATGTCTCCTTTTAATAAACTGATTTTTTTTATTTTATTTTTTTTATTCTTTCACCTACACTTTTCTCTTATCACGATTGTTTCACATTTCTGTGTGTTTATTCATGTAATAAAGATCTATGTATTTGTGCTTTTACCAAGTATATTGAGTTATTTACGTGGGTAATTCTCCCTGTTTTTTGACAGTCAATATCCCAGGTGGTTCTCACCACTGGGCTGTTTGTCTTTCTAAAATTGTTCTATTAATTTCTCTCATGGTTACCTAACTTACTTTAAACATGCCTTTTTAAGTTTGTGTTTTGCTTTCTTTAGGAGACTTTATGTTTGCTTTTTCTCTTTCTTAGATCCTGTGCAATTTATTAGCCGTGGATAGTATAAATGAACCGGATGTCTTGGCCATTAATGGAGGTACTACTTTTCCGCTACTTTATTTTACACTTGGTTCATCTTAAAGTGCTAATATACTTCATAGTGTTACATATTAAAATATATTTTGATTCTGGATTAAAAAAAATTCAGAGTAGGGGCTTAAAATTTAAAGTCCTATGCTACTGGTTTTCATGCGTTCTTCTTGTGTGGGCTAACTTTGTGTTCACCAATGGGTAGGATAGTGTAACTGTTGAGCCTTAATTAAGCATATGGGTTTCTTTGCCTTAAATTAATTTCCCATAATTTCATATTACATTTTAGATGTTATTTACTTATTCTTTTTCACTGCATATACCAGGTGCATATACTCTGGTGCAAGTAATCATCATAAAAAAAAAACTCTGGCGAGTTGTATAAAACCTAACAGAAAATTAGTCATCTTTGAAGATTGCAACAAATGTAACCAATATTCCAGCCATTCCACAACTCCAGCTTTAATTGATGCCATTTTTGAGAAAGTTGTTGGGTATGACAGTGCCATTCTTTACACCAAAATCTGAATCCGTTGCAAACTGATTAATATTTATTTGACTTTATGTTCTGGAAGTGATTTCTGAATTTAAACGACACTGTTTTTATTTAATTTATTTTTAGCTTTTAGTGCTTTGTAACTATCTAGTCACGCTTATTGTACATAGTGCTAACTGCATGTTCAGAAAAGGAAAATCAGTCTTCTAGAGATTTATGCCTGTTAAATTTACTTGCTTTTTTGGAATGTTTTGTTGAAAAAAGTTTATTTTATTTTTAAATGTGTTTTGTTTTATTTGAAGCTTCTGCAGCACTTGCTATGTCAGACATACCATGGAATGGTCCTGTTGGTAAGTATTGTTTTGTTGACTGTAACTTGATAAAAACTTCTCAACCCCACCCGCCCCTTAGGTAAAACAGATCAATCTTTTAAAAAACACATTTAAATCACATTTGTTTATAGTAAAACCTCTACAAATCTACTTTTTGGTTAATGTGACATTGTAACCGCTGGTGGTTCCCTTATTTACCACTATAATGTCTTAAAGCATAGAACTTAGTAGGGCTAACCATACAGATATCTTAGCCATAATTTTATATAGTGTAAGAGATCCTCTATTTAACATATATAAATAATTGAGAATACAATATAAAATAAGGATTGTCTTGGAAGCAATAGTTTTGTCTTTTTGGATATTTATTATATAAAAATATAAAATCCATTATAGCAGAGTTTATAAGATTAAATTACATGCTTGCAAATATCATTAATAGGTTAACATACCCTTCTGAACATGTCATCATGTCAGCCTCTCTGTCATTTTAAGATGGAGCAGCGTCTGTCTCCAAGTCTCTCCTCTGTATCTTAACATTTAAAAGTACACCTATTTATACCTTAGGTGTCTCCATTTTAGGTTACTGTAGTTCAAATATGAAAAAGTAACACTTCTTTTACTTTATTCAATTTAGGACCTCCCTTAATTTGGCAAACATACAAGGCCATAACTAAAGGGTGTATACGTCATGGAAATTTTCCTGACTTAGTTCAAGATGGCATCTTAAAGTCTGAATAGGTTATGTTGTTTATAATAAGTCGTAAGTGTACAGTCGTGGGAGATTCCCGCATTTGGGGAAGTTCCATTAACTTGGGGTTACCACAGTATATTGTGTACTGCAAGTGTCGTAGTATAGCCTTGAAGCTTGTTTATGCATTATTGTTATTGTAATTCGTCTGGGACAAAATGGCGCAAACATATTATGCACTGAGGTTATTGCTTAAAGAAACAGTTATGAAAAACAATATGTTCCATTTCTAACACCTTGTCAGTTTGCAATATCTCTTAAAGACAAAGTACACAGTTTAAGAAATACATTTCATTCTAAAACTTGTAATATTTGCATTTGCCCGTAACAACATCAACCTCTCATTTACTATCAGTTACTATGTAGGATACAAATTTTGACCTTGTGAAAATCAAATTGTCTTTTAATTTAGGAAAATGTGTCTGAGAATGGATTGCAGGATAAAACTTACAAGGAAAGGTTAAAGGATCTTAACATGTATAGCTTGGAGGAAAGACAAGACGGGGGGATTTGATAGAAACATTTAAATATATAAAGGGAATCAACACAGTAAAGGAGGAGACTATATTTAAAAGAAGAAAAACTACCACAACAAGAGGACATAGTCTTAAATTAGAGGGACAAAGGTTTAAAAATATCAGGAAGTATTTCTTTACTGAGAGGGTAGTGGATGCGTGGAATAGCCTTCCAGCTGAAGTGGTAGAGGTTAACACAGTAAAGGAGTTTAAGCATGCGTAAGATAGGCATAAGGCTATCCTAGCTATAAGATAAGGCTAGGGACTAAAGAAAGTATTTTAAAAAAAATAAATACAATTGGGCAGACTAGATGGACTGAATGGTTCTTATCTGCCGTCACGTTCTATGTTTTTATCTAAGAATACAAAATCTGTTGTGTTTATAATAGGTAATGTGAGCAATATTCTAAGGCTTTGCATTATAATTCTAGCTATTTTAATTGAATAATGATGCTTTGAGCTGCCTTGTTATGATCAAATGCCACTGGTGACTAGCTGTACACCCCCTATGTGGATTATGTTTCCCATGATGCTAAATAGGGGAGTGAATATTATGGTGTCTATAGCTGGATTGCCAAAGGTTAGTCATGATTGCCATGAATACACACATTCCAGTTTCTCTATCTGTACAGTCCTGCAAGGAGAAATGGTCATTGCAGATATTGATTTCATATTTTGTGCTTAATGCAAAACCTATGTTTTATTTTTTATTTTTTTTTGTAGTTTATTTTTCATGCTCCATACGTCTCTTGTTTTATTCAGGTGCTGTGAGAGTGGGTTTAGTTGATGGCGAGTTTATCATTAATCCTACTCGAAAAGAAATGTCTACAAGCTCACTAAACCTCGTAATCACTGGACGTGCCAAGAGTGAGATAGGTAAGATGAATTTTCTTACTTTTTACTACAGTTATTGCTTTAACTGAAGATTAGTGCGTTTTGGGTGGTGGTTGTTGTGTTTTTTTTTTTTGTTTTTTTTTAGGATTTTTATGTTATGTTATATCTTTAAAAAAAATAAAAATGAATCCACCAAGTCAGTCGTGGAAGAAACAGGTTTATGAGGCTGGACATAGGAAATAAGGCTTTGACTCGAGTGAGAAGAGCAGAGAGGAGAAACCTCCAAGCAACGAGACCGTGTGGAGACAACACATGCGAGTTTGGGAGCATCCTGGAAATAGGGATTGAAAACCATAGACAAATTTGAATTAGTATGCCAGGAAATAAAAAAAGTAACCCCGTCAGGAGAAAAAAATAAACGCATCGACATTGAAAGCGTGCATTTTGGAAACTTGGCGTAAGAAAACAAGGCACAAAAGCAGTGCAATCTTAGCCAAAAGCTGACTAAGGGATAAATTCATGTTATCTGGCCAGTCTAGAAGGAAGCGAAGAACGAGACTCACATCTCAAAGTTAGGAATATTTAGGGGCAGGAGGACAAGACAACTTAATGCCCCAAAGAAGCTTGCAAACCAAAGGGTCTTGGCCGATAAGAGAACACTGCACTGGGACATTTGCCGCCAATATAGCAGATCGCACAATGTTAATAGATCCGTAAGATTTCCCCAGCACAAAAACATGAGAAGAAACTCAAGACAATGGCAATAAGGGCAGTAAATGGATTGGAACCCCTTAACAGACAGCAACTTCACCATGTGTTCTATGCCGACAAGTAACAGCTCAGAGTTCCAAGAGGCCAGGAATCCCTTAGTCATCTTCTGACGTTCCAGTTTCCCAAGAAAGGGTCCAAGCAAGCATTTGCACAAGTTGTTCCCGAGCCCCAAAGACTCGTTTGAGTGAGCATGACCCATGATGTGATCTGTACTAGGTGTAGAACTAGCGCAGATTAGGAGTACCAAGATGGCTGATGTGGGCAGGATCACAAGTCGAGAAAGGCACAGCAAGCCTTAAAAGGCTTAAAACATATTTGATGTTCTCTGGTTGTTTCTCTTGTTTAGTTTGTGCTGCACTGGAGTGCTACTAAAAAGACACTTAAGCAAAAAATGAAGCCTCCGTTCATGTGATAAAATTGCTCTACAACTGTTTTTGTTGTGTATCAACTTTGAGTTGAATGGTTTATATTCCACAGCCCATAATAATTATTTTGTACTAGATTTGTGTTTTATGGATTGAGCTTTAATACATAATGGAGTTCAATTCTGTTTCTATTCTTGCAAAGTGATAACAAATGTTCATTGCAGTTCCAAAAAAATGCAACAGTTATACAATTCCATCTATCAGCTGTATATATGTTTTGTTTTTCGTTGTTGTTTTGTATGTGTCTGTGTGTTGTAATATTTGATATGTATGTTCCAACCAATCTTATAACAGTATTCAAATTGTGTGTTGAGGCAGTTAGAATTATGCAGCCTCTGCGTGAGCAACCGTTATTTTCACCTGTCTGCTGTCTTTAATAAACAGACACTGATTTACCCACAACTGGCATTCGAGCTTTACTGGTACAAGCGCCTGATCAAAAAGACAACAAAAAAACATTACGTGTGTCTGTTTTCTCAACCTTCCCGGGGGTATTTTGTGTATTCTTCATTCTCGAGTCCTCTACCACAGGCCCGGGAGTCTCAGTGATCTGCACAGTGTCCTAGATCTGCACTCTTCTGGGTAGATCTTGCATGTCCCACATGTATTCTGCTGAAGACACTTTCCCAACTTGGAGTTTACATCCCCGAGTGCTCCTGTCGCATCTGGGACTACTACTGCTTCACTTTCCACATCCTTTTTTAGCTCCTTTTTTAGCTCCTATTTCAGCCCTATTGGCTCACCTTTTCATGTTATAGTCACTGGGTATTGCTAGATACAGCACCACTGCAATATTCCGTTCCTTGCCTACTTCCATGATGTTGGGTTTGTTAGCCAGTACTTGTTTGTCTGGTTGCATCTGAAAAACCTACGCCCTTTGTGGCACCTTGCATCTGGACTTGGGCAGGTACGGCCGTATTCTATGCAGATGTTTCAATAAACAATGTATAGTATGTGCTGCCCGTGCTGACATCTTGCACCTGGCTACTATGTGCTGGATTGGCTCTGCGGCCCCTCTGCACATGTGTCCTGTCTGGTGTGCTTCCAATAATTTGTTGCTGATTGCTATTTCCTTTGATGAATCTCTCGGATTGTAAAAATGATGCAGTCACTTCTCAGCCTTTTGATTCTCTCATTAGAAGGATGTGGAATATTTTAATATCTAGAGTCCCACTGTGCTCCAGGCCTGGTCACTGCAGTTGGTGCTTTTCACCACATGATGTTTGACCTTGTAGAATGCACAACAGCTCATAGTGTGGCATGCCAATCGACCCTTCTAGAACATTTCTCATTCTGTGCCGTTGGATGAGGAGCTGGTGAAAATTTGTACTTCTAACTAAGTGCTGGGTGCCAGCAATGACTTTTTTTTATTTACTTTTATTCATTTTGCATGCATACAATCTGACACACATATAAATTATTGGCATTCAGTGAGATACTAAGAATAAAATATTCATATGTGTGGTGCATTCTGAAAACACATTTATCGTGATGTAATCTGCATATTTTTTTTAACTCCATATTGGTGATATGTCCTCTCTTGTCTTGTAGTTATGATAGAGGCTGCAGCTGAGAATGTGTTACAACAGGAGTTTTGCCATGCTGTGAAACTGGGGGTGAAGCATTCCCAACAGATAGTTCAAGGTATTCAACAGTTGGTAAAACAGTGTGGGAAGGAGAAGCGAACAATACAGAAGGCATTCCTTGCTCCATCTGAAATTGTTGACTGTGCAAAACAGTGAGTACCGCTCCTGCCTGAAGGTTGTACTGTTTGTATCTATTCATTTCCACAAACCTGGTGAGGGGAATCAATATGTATTGAGGTCACTCCAGACCTGTAAACAACTTTAGCTTGCTGAAAAGCTTTACGTGTGAAGAGTGTGTCCTCTTTTTTTCATTTTGCAAAAAATACAGATTGAAATAGAAATGTACACTTTTATGAATTAACCTGGTTACACCCCCTTGACTTTTAAGCTGACAACAGGTAATGTTACTTCCTGGTTTGGTTTGCTCAATGCAACTGACCTCAAGAGGCAGCAATTGCCCAGAGCACCTGACGTACAAAGACTTCTCATTGAGCTGCATTAGGAAGTCTGTGATTGAACAGCCACATGAAGTCTGGCGGGGTAAGAAGGAGAGGGTTTGCAAAGGCAGCAGACAAGATCTGCAGTTTTTGCAAGCTGTTTTTAGGTATATCCCCAATTGAAAAAAAAATACATAATTAAATGCATGCAAGTTTTCATTTGTGGTATATGTGCTAAACAGTGATTTTTATTTAATTTGTATTTGGGCAGTGGAGTGCCCCTTTTACTTAATCACTGAAGGATGCGTCAAAATAGTTGAGGTAATACTGAAAGATTCCTGGTACTCTGTCTTGCAAAAGAGGAGGATCAAGTCTCTTTTGTTTTTTGTTTTATTTATTGATCTGCTATTTGGAACTGTACACTGTTATTGGTTAATATAATGTATACATAGTTTAATGGTGTTACACAGGGCTGTCTTTAATAATGGTTGAGCCCTGGGCATGCATTTGTTTGGGCCACCTAGACCCTGCCCTCCCACTCCCTGGCATGCAATCACACACGCCACTACAACGCAGTGGCAAAACTAAAGGAGAGAGGGCACTGGTGCAAGACTCTTTTGGGCCCTGTTATTGCAAGGGTTGCCAAAAGGTAGATCCTCATCTGTCATGCAACTCTATCAATGCTTTGACTGCTGGGGCTCTACCATTTTCCCATGCTTGCAAGGTTGTATTTAGCAATGAGCAATGTTTGTGTGTTTAAATGTAAGCATATTTTTGTATGGAGTATGTTTGTGTGAATGTATGGGCGTGTTTGTATGTGGTGGTGACGTTTGAATGCAAGCATGCATTTATGTGTAGTGTTCATTTTTTTTTAATGCAGGGCTGTGATTATATTTCATTTTGGTGTTTAACACAGGTGTGCTTGTATGTAATGTTGACATTTGAATGCAGGAGTGTGTTTGTATGTAGTGTTGAAGTTTGAATGCAGGGATGTATTTGTGTGTAGTATTGAATGCTGAGATGGATGCACATAAACACTGACACAGATACATGCACACAGATACACAACTTTACACACATACTGATACACACACTGACACACATGCAGATACACAGATTGCTTACATATAGATACTTTGATACAATGATAACATACAGATACAGAACCTGACACACCTGCAAATACACACTGACTATACAGATACACACACTAACTATACACATACACTGATCATATACAGGCAACATGCAGATGTGCGCGCACACACACCGACAACATACAGATACTAACAGACATACAGACACACGCTAACACACAGATACATACACTGACAGACATACTGATGCACACATTTACACTGACGCATACACTGACAGACGCGCGCGCGCACACACACATTGAAAGACCTATGACATACTTAACACACGTAGACACACACAAAGTAGAACACACTCAGACACAATCACACATACAATGACAGACATACTGACACACAAATGGATACACACGCACGCACATACAGTGACACACACACTAACACATCTACACTGACAGATATAGTGACAATCAGACACATTGACACACCCACTACACACACACAAAATACAATGACAGACAAGAAGCCCATGCTTGGTGAGCACCACGCTTATCCAATCAAAAGCTTTGTTGGCAGACAACTGCAAATGCAGTCTCTTGCATTCCGTGCATTGGCCATGTTGTAGCAGGCAGGTGCAATCTTTAAGTATGTGATATATATATAGTCTACTAGAATTTGATGCAGTGAATTACTTTAACTCTTAATTACCTAATGTGATTTAATTCATCTGACCACTAATGCCTAGTTTTGTTGTTTAATAGGCATGCAACTGAAAAAATATATGCAGTATTTTCAGATTTTACACATGACAAAGTAAGTAAGGTGAAAATGTATCTATTGTAAGTCTGCTCCCAATGTGGTGTAATGAAAAAAATAACCAGAATTTGTTTGTTTTCTTTATTCTCCTGAAGTACAGGATGTCTGGTTGTCATATCTTTTATATACAATAGAAATACTGTGAACTACAGTTGTATGGGGGCTAACTGTATTAAAGAAATACAAGCATTCTGAACGCTATATTGTTCTATTCTATTTAGATTCAGGGGCCTCTCTAAAAAAATTTTTTTTTTTTTTTTTAAGTGTTTTACTTGCCTTTTGTTTATCACTGTGTCTTACTTCATGCTGTCTCCTCTTCATCTTTTGTCCAATCCAGTGCTTCTCATGGAGAAGCATTGGAGACAAGAAGCACATACTTGGGGAGCACCACGCTTATCCACTCAAAAGCTTCTCGTAGGGATGCAATGCTTCCCTGTGATAAGCATTTGACGTCTTTCGACATCCTCATGCAATGTGTGATGATGTTGAACATCAGAGCAGAAGCACCCTCTTGTGGCTGTCAGGAAACTACCAACTTACGATGAAACAAAGTAATATCACCAGGAATGTCTGTGCCACAATCTCAGCCTAACTGCAATTTTTGTTTAGTAGAGACAGGCATTGATCTACCTCTTTCCTAACACAAAATTTGGACCATGTCAAAAGGAAAATATAAAAACATGTTTAAGCTAATTATGCTTTCGGGGATGTATATTTGTTTTCTTTTATGTTTTGTTTAATATCAAGCAAGACAATGCAAACTTCGTCTTAATTTTGTGCCTTTTAAATTATTTTTTTCGGGAGCCGCAATGCATTGTTTCAGGAGTTATACCTCGCATGCTTTCAATAGGACTGAGTTGATTTTTGCAATGGAAGTCAATGTATCTTATGCAGACGTGTGGACGAAAGTCATGGAATACTTGCTTTAAGATAAAGTCATTGTGCTTGATGTGAGCTATATGAATATCTTAGACATATCAATCAAGTCCAAACGTGCCATCTTATTACCTTTGTGATTATTAACTTTTTATTTGTGTTTTCCTCTCCAAAAGTTTAAATAGTGCTATTATGTTTTTAGATTTCTAGAGATGAAGCTATAAACAAGATAAGGCTTGAAACAGAGGAAATACTTCGAGGTACCTTTCCATATTCTAAACATGTTCACATTTTTAATCACAGTAAAAGTGCAGTTTTAGTGTGTATTGAAATGAGTGAAAATAAAGACAAATATATTGAGCTAGCATTACCACGTGGCGATCCGGCTGTATTCCAGGTGCAAGCTATTTTTAAGTTTGCATCCCTGCTCATCAGCCCCCATTACTGATAAAGGCTTAAAGGGTTACTGCATTCTTTTTTTTCTTCATTTTGCTGTTCATGGTTATATAGGTTATAGAGCCATTTTAGGCAGTGATCACTTGATCCTTCCAGCCTTTTTGTAAAACACCTGGAAAATAAAAGTAAAGCTTACCTTCAATCAAGCGGGGGCCCAATTCTTCTCTCATAGAAAATCATTGTAGAAATCCTTCGCCACAAGTGCACCAGGCCACTTATAATAGAAGAATTGAATCCAATGCTTCTCCATCATAAGCAGTGAATACTACACTGCACATATGTGTGGTGTGAGCCTTCATTAGTGGCAACATGAACTGAGTAACCCTTCATCTCACCACTACAGCCCACCCAACAGCCAATCTGAAGACTGGAGAAACTTTAGGAATCAACAGAGGGAGGAGGGAAGGCTTCTCCTTGAAGGTGTGCTCACAGTGCTGCCTTTAAGAAAAGAAGTGGATTATGTCCTTTGTCAGCGTACCGTTCATGCCGACAACGGACTTATTTTTTTCCATATAACTAACATTAGGCAGTCTGGATCAGAGTTCTGGCCTGCCTAGATCATGTGTGCCGGGTTGCAACTACACCCCAACACAAAATGACAGATATCTCTGAATAGTCAGCGTTTCAAGCTCAGACACTGTGCATACAGATTGCTTGCTCCGTAATTACTTCTAAAAGCAGTAGTGGTCATGGAGGTGGCTAAAGTTATTTCTGTGCATGTTCGGAGTCTGAATAAAATCCATGGGCTTTACAATGTTGTTGCTCACAGGATACAACAAAACATTTGATGTTTAAACCTGTGAGCACTAAGAAACTTAATTATTGAGCACCTACGTAGTGAGGCTCATAGGTTGTATTCTGATTCTCATGTAGAGGACCACAGATCCCTCTTTCACAGAGCTCCTGCCCGGGTCCTGGTGATCTGAGATCAGCTATTGCCTAGAGCAGCGGTGCCCAAAAGCTAGATCACCAGGTGTTGTAGAACTTCAACTCCCATGATGCTTTGCATGTCCTTAGAATACGTTTAGAATGGAAAAGCATAATGAAAGCTGTTTGAAAACCTCTTGGGATCTACCTTTTGGGCACCACTGGGATAAAGTGCAACACTACATAATTTTCCCTGAAATTATCATGTCTGGAGTATGATGCCAGCACACTATTACCTCACACTACCAACCCTCACTGTCACCACCACCCCAACGTCACCATCCTCACACACTACCATCCACTGTCACCATCTTCCCACACGCCACCACCCCACACTGTCTCCTTCCCCACATAGCTTGCTGGTGGGAACCCATGCCTGTGCCAAAGTCAGCATAGGAGAATTGAAGAGCTTTTATTTTGTGTTTGTTTTTTGTTGAGGGGGACCAAGAAAAGAAGAGTTACTTTTGACTAAAAACAGTGTTTTCTTAAAACACAGGTTTTTTTTTTTTTGGTTCTAGGAACTTTTAAGTTGTCATGCAATGTGAGCAGCCAATCAGAATGATAGACATGCACCACAAAGTAGACTAGGCCTTTGCATTCTCTTGTGAAGAAAAGATCACGTCTTTGTTTGAAATACCCATTGGTAGTTAATTTCCACAGAAATACCAGCTTTAACAAAAACTCTTGAAAAATTTTGCCTGTTATTTTTAATAGTGATAATTGAGGTTTAAATGGATTCTATAGTGCCAGGAAAACAAACCTGGCAGTGCCCCCCTTCCTCGGGTTAAAGCCCCTTCAGCCATTTACCTGAATCCAGCGCCCATGTCCCTTGGTGCTGTGCCAGGCTCCAACTCTCTCTCTCTCTCTCTTCCATCTGACGTAATGTGCATGTGCAGCAATGGCCGCACTCGCTTTAGTATCTCCCCATAGGAAAGCATTATTCAATGCTTTCCAATGGGTAAAAATCTGACGCTGGAAGTCCTCATGCAGAGGACATCCAGAATCCGATAATGGACCAAAGGTCCGTTTGGATTCCCAACATCCCTCTAGTGGCTGTCTGATAGACTGCCACTAGAGGAGGAGTTAACCCTAAGAGAGGTAATTATTACAGTTTCTCAGAAACTGCAATAATTACTATGGTAGGGTTTAATGGACATGGGGCATTGCACCCAGACCACTTCAATGAGCTGAAGTGGCCTGGGTGCCTACAGTGTCCCTTTAAGACTGTTTCTAATAAGTGATTATTATTTTTATTTTATTTTTATGTGAGTTATGGGGTCAATATGTCTGTATAACCATTTCTTTATGTATCCATCCCTACTCTGAAATTTTTGCCAATCTATCATCTAAATGAATAATTACCTTTTTTTTTTTTCTTATCACATTGTTCTTCTAGAAAGATTTCCAAGTGCAGACTCATATGAAATAATGGAGTCCTTTGGTGTTGTTTCAAAGGAAGTTTTTAGGAATATTGTTTTGAATGAATATAGAAGGTATTTCCATTTTTATTTTTTATTATTTTGTAATGCACACGACGCAAGCATTATAAATGTTATTTCTGTTTTCAAAGATGTGATGGTAGAGATTTGACATCTCTACGAAACATAAACTGTGAAGTTGATCTTTTTAAACCCCTTCATGGATCTGCCCTTTTCCAGAGAGGCCAAACACAGGTATGTGCTGAAACAGCCCAGGATAATTCAACACAATCACAAAAAACAAAATAACACAAAAATGTGTTATTTCAGAGAATAGAGCAAACGCTGTTGATATTTAAAGGGACACTCCTGGGATGGACACACATTAGGGGCAGTGTAGAAGTCTGGTTATAGTTATGCTTGGTGGATTACTGTAATATGCATTTTATTAAATTATAGATTCTGGCCATAACCCCCAATCTAAACTCTTCGCAAATTGTTATCCTTAGTTGCAGAGCAGGAGTTTATGGGAGCTGAAATCCTGCTCTGTATGTTAAAGTGAAATGAAAACTGAAGTATAACTCCTATAAAGCCCTATTGGATGGCATTTATGGGATATGCTCGGCATTCCCATTTAAAAATAAAATAAAATGGGGGAGCATCATGAGTTTGGTGAGATGAGATGTTGCAGCAAATGCAGGGCTTTCAAATGTGATCCTTTTTGGAATTTTGCATATATAATTTTAGTGTGTCATTAGTTTTTTGTATTCTAGGCCTCTAAATAAATAAACTGGTTTTATTTTAAAAGAAAGCATATTAGAATATTAGGTAATTTGTTGACATTTAATTTGTACAATAACACACAGTTGCTTTAGGATACACCAGATATTGCATTTTGTAGGTTTGGGATGTTTTTGTTTGTTGTTTGTTTTTATTTTTTGTGGTTGGGTTTTTTTTTTTTTTTTTTTTTCAAAAGCAACAATTCACAACTTGGTAAATTACCCAAGTATTCTTCCAAGGAATGTTCCAGGGCTTTGTTGTTTTTTAGAGGTGTCAAAGTTATGTGCACATACCATATTTGTAATTTCTTTGAGGTAATCAACAAGAGCCTTCAGATGTAATCTGACCCACAACACAACAGTTATTTAGCTGCCAGGAACACTGGCTTATGAATGGTAACAACTCCCACAGGAATTATTTTCCATCTCAAGAAGTGATGGTAAATAATATTGTCTTGCATAACAGATATTGGCATGAAGCCACAAAAATACTACGAGGCCCAAAAATACTGATGGCAAGCCAATAATATCTTACAAAGTAGTTGCACATTTCAGTAACATGTTCACATAGAGCAGGTGGCTTAGAAGATTTGCGTGGGTATTATATTATGAATATTCAACATGTTCACTCATATTAATCTTTCTTTATTCATACAGGTTTTATCAACTGTAGCATTTGACTCTATTGAATCCAGTATGAAATTCGATCACATTGCATCAGCATTAAGGTATTTACCACTATGTAGATGTTGTTGAATACGTAAGCTTATATTTTAATAAAAACAAACGTGGATATTTATTGACATAAGTTATGATAAATTAACACAAGTCTGTCATTTGCTTTTGAAATAGATTAAATATGGGAACTCTCTATTTAGGCAAAATAATTCCATTCAGGGCTTCTGGACACATAATATACCATGAAACTAAAGAATAAGTGGTTTCTGATTGCATCCAGAATTCAGAGAGGGGCTAATGTGTTAGGATATCTTCAAAGGAACACTATAGTATCCTTCTGCCCCGGCTTTCACTTACCTTATGCCAGTGCTGAGGTTCCATGGCTCTGGCTCTGTCACTGCCTCCTCTGATGTCATTGCGAGGGTGAACTTAATACGCATTCACTAGGCTTTTCCCATAGGAAAACCTTGAATCAGTGCTTTCCTATGGAGATTTAGACTTAGGAGAATCAAAATAGTGGCATCTGTCTCAAGGAACTGTAACTCCCACTTATCTTGGGCAAACTGAGACTTTCATGTTTTGGTGCTCATTCTTACTCCTAGTATCCAGGCTCCTACCTCACATCCAATCAGCCACCTCAGTCTTATCAGATTCTAAACCCTGAAGATGCACCTTTCTACTAGTGTCCTCAAGTATTCATTAATGCAGTCCTCTAGTTGGCTCCCCTAAGTTCACCTTATTGGATTCCCAGTATTTCTTTCTCGCAACCTGTGTAACCTGAACTCTGATCGTTGCCTCGCCAGACTGAAACAATCATATATACCACCAGTGTAACACCGTTGTTCTAGAATTTAGTTCCACGCATCTTTGTTGTGCTTTGTATGCTCAGTAGTTTACTGCAAAAAATGAGAACTGAGAATGGACAAAAGCTTAAAGAAACTCCGTAGTTTGCCCAACGGTAAATCCCCACTCAAAATAGCTTTTGTTCACTTGTGCAATTACAATCAGAACCTTTACCATTTACATATCAGACTGATCTCACCCGTAAGGGCAGTCCAGAACAGAAATGCCGGCAAGTTCTCTCTGCACGAGAGATACAGTAATCCCAGGCGATCATTTCGGCTTTCTTTGGGCCTAGTCAGTGAGGTGTAGCTGATACCCCTCTAGGCACTGTGAGCACGTGATCCACGTCTGGATTACCCTTTTAACAAAAACAGAGAATATAAGAACTTTGAGAACGGACAAAAGCTTTGAGAAACTCTGTAGCTTGCCCTTGAGTAAATCCCCGCTCAGGTCTCCGAATAGTTTTTGCTCACTTGTGCTATTACTGAGAGAACCTATTCCAAGGCATAACAGACTGATACCACCCATAAGGGCAGTCCAGAACCGAAATGCTGGCAAGTTTTCTCTGCACGAGAGATACAGCAACCCCAGATGATCGTTTACTGGAATTTTCTAGCCAGTCAGCGGTGCCCCCACCTGGTGGCACTCTGCTCTTCCTTAAGCTCAATTTCAGAAACCAGATGCCGCTGGAAGAGCAAGAGATCTAGCCTGGGAGACAATCTTTGGAGTTTAACTACTTGATAAGGGTTTACCCCCTCAGGTAAGAAAACACCAAATGGGCATCCTGGCACTATAGCAATTTAATTTCAATTAAGTTGTTATAGTACCTGGAGTGTTCTTTTCAATCTCATTGAAATTATCTGTGCACACTGTATCTGTCCCCTTAACACTGCAATGGATTGCAGTTTCTGTGAGACTGCAATGTTTATATTGCAGGGTTAAGATTGCCTCTAGTGGCTGTCTCTGTGGGGATGGCTTAATGTGTGTGCAGCGCTTGCTGCACATGCACATTAAGTTTTTCTTGACGTGCTAATGTCGGAGGAGGAGATGGAGCCGGTGCCAAGAAACCTCGGCACTTGAATAAATAGTGTGTTTAAAAAAAAAAAAAAAGGCTTTTAACCCTTTATTTGCTGGAGGGGTTGTGGCACACCTTAGTGTTATGACTACTAAACTGTATTCCTAACATTCAAGTTGCTGTAAGGCAACATTGCGATTTGTAACTCTCTCCTTTAATTGGCTTTGAGATTAAATTTACTTAATCGTTGTTTAATTCTACATTACAGAATCAATGGTTTCGGTTTCTAAGCAAAACCTTTCATCAAATAAGTTTATATTAAAATTATTAAAATGTTCTTTAGATTGTGTTAATGCCAGTGCATTTTTGTTGGTTTCAGTTGAATTATTTAGATGTTATTTATATACGTCAGCAAGCAGAACTGTATCGTTGTCGAAATGTTCTTGTTTTATTATAGTTGGAAAAAGCTATAATTTGATGTAACCTGGAATCCTTTTCTCTTTTTTTTTTTTTTTTTACGTCTTAAATGGCAAAGTGATGTACTCTCCTTTCTTTTGAAATGGTTTTAAGCATCTCTTACATTTAAGAGGTTAAATAAATACAAGGACCGTGTTTTAATGGATGTTCTGGCGAGGAAAGGTGTCCTTTCAATTGGTTCATCTGAAATGGTTACATATGGGCTAAACATGATTCAGTAGCTAGAAAGCAATTTTTCTAAAATGTTAGGAGTGCACATTTAGCACAAACGAGTCAGTGGTCTGACATTTAAATTGCCTCGCTTCTGTTTTCATGAATGATAAATGTGAGCGTTTTAGTAATTGCAAGAAATTAATTGAGTGGGTGTTTACAAGCTGTTAGATTCAGATCATATTAAACAATTTCCATATAAACTATTTCAAACACACATTTCTGCGTGACTGATTTGGTTTTTGCTTTAGAAGAAAATTAACTTGCGCTAATTTTAGGTGAATTTTAAATTATTTGAATTGAATTGCTTTACAGTGTTTTTTTTCTTCTTACAGTGGTCTAAAAGATAAAAATTTCATGTTACATTATGAGGTAGGAATTTAAGAGGATTCATTTTTGTTTTTATATTGCTTGATCAAAATATTATACCGTTAAAATACTTTTATATGTTCTAATACAAACTGTTTAAAGTAGAATATGTGCTAAGATAGGGCTTTTCCACATATAGTGTTTAACTTCTTAATCCCTTAAAGGACCACTATAGGCACCCAGACCACTTCAGCTTAATGAAGTGGTCTGGGTGCCAGGTCCAGCTAGGATTAACCCTTTTTTCTGTAAACATAGCAGTTTCAGAGAAACTGCTATGTTTACCTATGGGTTAATCCAGCCTCTAGTGGCTGTCTCATTGAGAGGCCCCGATAGAGGGCTTCCGCGCTTCTCACTGTGATTTTCACAGTGAGAAGACGCCAGCGTCTTTAGGAAAGCATTGTGACGGGAGGAGAGGAGGAGGAGAGTCCCCCGCCCGGCGCTGGAGAAAGAGGAAAGTTTAACCCCTTCCACCCCCTAGAGCCCGGCGGGAGGGGGACCCTGAGGGTGGGGGCACCCTCAGGGCACTATAGTGCCAGGAAAACGAGTATGTTTTCCTGGCACTAGAGTGGTCATTTAAAGGAACACTATAACACTATAGGGTCAGGAATAAAAATGTGTATTTTTGATGCTATAGTGCAGGCATAGGAAACCTTCGGCACTCCAGATGTTTTGAACTACACCTCTCATGATGTTTTGTCAGCATTATGGGGTATGTAGTCCACAACATCTGGAGTGCCAAAGGTTGCCTAACCCAGCTATGGTGTTTAAAACACGTTACGCCCCCACCCCAATACCACTCTTAAAGAAGTTGTTTATTTGCCTTTAATCCAGTGCCATGCGGGTATGCCACTGCTGGCCCCTCCTCCGACTTCCCTCCTTTGCTGACATCATCAGAATTGATGATCTCAGCCAATCACAATGCTTTCCCACAGGATTGGCTAAGGTTGTCAATTCTGATGACCTCAGCCAAAGAGGCAGGATGGGCCAGAGCCAAGCGCTGCCCTGGCCAATCAGCATCGCCTCATCAATGCATTTCTCTGAGGAAAGTTAAGCATCTCCAAGCAGAGCGTGACGACAGTGGACCCAGGAAGCACAGTACATATGTAAAATAAGAGGACAGGAAACACAATATAGGGTAGTATGTTCTTCTACTCAATGTAGAAAATATAGAAACGCACTTACAGTTTATTTGAGCTTCTGATCAGCTCCAAGTATTAGCACCTGGGCGGTATGATCTCCTCTTATGGATAAACTTGTTCAGTGGAGTATTGGCAGGTAGTGTCATCAGGATCCGGTCACAGAAGGAATGTGTGTGAGTCCCGGCATAGACCGCAGCTAATCACGGATGTAGATATTATGTAAAAGAATAAAAACACCCAATAGTGCTCACTGGTAAGAACAGTAATACAAATAAATTCAAGAAGAGGTACTCACAAAAGGAGAGTAAAATAGGTTTTGCTCAATCCAAAAAGCATAGGTGGTATAAACCCCACCAAGGATGTTATGGAAATCATCTCAATAAAATCTTCTAAAAGCACTCAGAAGGGTCCATGGTAGATAAAAAGTTTACTATTTTTATTAGGTGATAAATATATAAATTATGAAAATACACTTGTCGCGTTTTGCCAAATAACAGGCTTTATCAAAGTGTTCCTGAAAAGGCAGTTTACAGGAAAATGCCTGCAGGGACTGACTATACTCAACAATATAGCTACATTAAGCTGTAGTTGTTCAGGTGACTATAGTTTCCCTTTTTCCATTTAAGGACGTAGCCAATTGTACACATTCTGGTCTGAACAAAACGTATAGCAAGCCTAGAATTTGAGCAATATGTTTGTTCAACCATAATTGACCTCTTTCATATTAAGTGCAACCGCACTTATTATATATCATTTTGTTTAGGAGAAACAAGGCTTTCATTTCACTTCAAATATTTATATATGAAGCATAATTTAATATGAATAAATTCAAAAAATTAGTCATTTTTGTTCTTTTTCAAGTTCTGCATGGCTTTTGAACTGTCACAATACTGTTGGCTTTTACTGCAATAAATTAAACATATTTGTTTGGCAATGTCTCATGGGTACAACAGTACCCACCCTGTATAGATTTTTTGATATTTTGGAAAGTTACAGGTTAAATGTAAGGCTTTCCCTTTTTTAGTTTTTACACATTGAAATTTGCCAGTTTAGTTTGCTGGGCTTTGACATCTAGCAGCCCAGGAATGAAAATTAACCCCATCATGGCATACCATTTGCAAAAGTAGACAACACAGAGTATTCAAGATTTGGGGATGTCCAGTCTTTTGTAACTGCCAATTAGTCACAAAACCTAAACAAATTTAGTGCCCATATATTTTTTTTTTCTTTTGCATTTTTACATAAAAAACGCACTTTCACTGATATCATCCTCATCATTACAATTGTTCATGTTTTAAAACACTCATATTTGCGTTCAGCATAGTTTTAAAAACACCTAACCTAGGCAAAAAACTATGGGATTTTAATTGTAGTATATGATCATAAATTGCATAAACCTGCCACAACTTAAATGTATCCCATTCTGGGCAGGTCCTACTCTAGCAACCTAATGCCTGCTCTTATGAGATTAATCCACTTACTTGGGATATACTTCCTCCTGGAACGCTTTGCAATACAAGGTTAAAGGACCACTATAGTCACCCAGACCACTTCAGCTCATTGAAGTGTTCTGGGTGCCAGATCTCCCAGGTTTTAACCCTTCAGATGCAAAGATAGCTGTTTCAGAGAAACTGCTATGTTTACATCGGTGGGTTAATCCAGCCTCTAGTGGCTGTCTTCCTGACAGCCGCTATAGGCACTTCTTCGCCACTCTAAGCGAAAAGCGCATTGAGCACACAGAACGTCCATAGGAAAGCATTGAGAAATGCTTTCCTATTGGCGTTTTTAATGCGCGCGCGGCTCTGGCTGCGCATTCGGCTCCACTCGGGAGCTGACGTCGGAGGGGAGGAAAGGTCACTAGCGCTGGGCTCCTTCGTTTTAACTCCTTCAGCCCAGCGGGAGGAGGTCCCTGAGGGAAAGGGGAACCTAAGGATTATATAGTGTCAGGAAAACGAGTTAAATAGGGCACTGGAATGAGGCACTAGTGACAGGGAGGGGTGCAAATCAAAGGATTTGGCCTGGACTCCCAAATATATAAATGAAACCATCCATACTTGCAAGGGTGCCACTTGGGCCAAATCACACAATATACAAAATCCAGCGCACTCACTCATTTACTATATATTCTTCATCTATATTTATGTAGTCTTTTCACGTAATTATGTGTTTTTATTTATGATAATTTGAGGGACCTGTCTGACAACCAGGGCAGAAAGTAAAGACAATGGTGCTATCTTAGAAAATCCCCATCAGCTATACATTAATACGAGGCCAAAACCTATAAAATGTACTTTAACATTAAGTATACAAAGCTGTTTCTCACTATTGAGATTTATTCTCCCAACCCCCTAGCATCCCACCCCTCTCCCCCTGAAAAAAAACCTTCAGTTATAAATTAAATAAGGATTTCTTACTCATACACACTGTGTGTATGAGTAAATAGTATGTAATATAGTGTTAGTTACATAAAAGATGTCCTCTTCCGTACATTGACAAGCAAGTCTCCATATGTTAAGCATTCATTGTATGTAATATCATTGAAATTGGTTCATTCATAAAAAAGTTTTTGACCCTTTAAACCCTACTCTTTTTTTTATTATTTTTTTATGAATGAATTAAATTCAATGAATGCTTTACATATGGAGACTTGCTTGACAATGTACAGAAGAAGACATCTATTAAATGAGTTCCAGTACAAAGAAATCAGCAATAACGAAAAAGAGAAGTCACCAGAATCACAGCCAAAGAATATCTAGCAAAATAAAGGACTCCATTACAGCTTTAAAAGGAGGGAAATACATCACTATATACTCTACTTATATATTTTGTAAACAGTCACAAATACGACAGACTACAGACATGTATAGCTCTTCAGGAAGTATTAAGAGATTTATAAGCTTCTTAGGCTGAAAACCGTAAAGGTGCACCATGCCAATTAGGTCTGTCCTGGGCCTAACCCTCAAAATTTATGTAGACAAACTGTACTGGATGTCCTGTAAAAATAGTGATTGAGCCTGATAAGTATGTTCACTGCTCCTACTTCCGCTTGCAAGCATTGCTTTCCCTTAGGCTGAATTTGTGCAAGAGGTATTCCCATAGGAGTGTTTCCATGATAACACTCGCAGAGTCCAGCCTTCTAATCTCTGTGCCAAATGGCACAGACAACTAACTGAGAAGAGTTGGGAACAGCTTTTTATTTAATTCTGCTAGCACAATGTATAGGTGCAATTTCATTCTACGTTATCTGAGATTAAGTTGTATTGTCATGACAGCTACTCTATCAGTGCTTCTTTACTTGTATCTGAGCATGATATTTTAAATAGAATGTTAGTGACTTTCCTCAAGAAGTTTCCTCATTGGCATATGTACTAGTAAAGCTGTCTTGAGGTACTTAATAAAGCGGTTTTCCCCTGTAGGTAAATCTCCACTTTAACCCCCCATCTACTTAAAGGACCACTATATGAAGTGGTCTGGGTGCCAGGTCCCCCTAGTTTTAACACTGCAGCTAAAACCATAGCAGTTAGAGTAACTGCTATGTTTACACTGCATGTTTAATCCAGCCTCCAGACCTCCAGCGTCAAAGATCCCCATAGGAAAGCATTGAGTAAGGCCGCGCATGCCCATTCGGCTCCACTCGGGAGCTGATGTCGGTGGGGGAGGAGAGGTTACCAGTGCAAAGGAAGCCCGGCGCCGGATTAGGGTAAGCAAATAAATGGTTGACCATTTAGTCGCCGCAGAACAGGGCACTAGTCGCCATATAGGTGACTAGGGCTCTATAGCATTAGGAATACATATTTGGATTCCTAACTCTATAATGTTCCTTTAATGAAATACTCCTATTGAGTGTGTTGGAATTTCACTGATCATTCAGCCCATTTAAAAGATATACTGAGTCAAAGTAGAACCTATTTTATCTTAGCCTGACATTTATTGACATTGGACGGTGTGAATTCCCCAGCCATCACCAGTTTGTTTTTGTGTTTGTTTGTTGTTGTTTTTTTGTCTCTTGGTCATACGTATGTTCAAAATGAGGCTGGCAGAAATTAAGGAGACTCCACTACTGCCCAATTGATGAAATTAATAATACCTTCATTGCAAGATTCTGTAAAATCTCCAACATACAATGATTAAAAAAAATATGCTCCTAGGAATCATGGTGATCTACATGTTTCGTACTCAAAGCACATTATCAAGACCATATGTATGTTCACAAAGAATAATAGTTTGCTAATGTTTTATCTCTAGTTTCCTCCGTATGCGACAAATGAAATTGGTAAAGTCACTGGCATTAACAGGCGTGAAATGGGTCATGGTGAGTTTTTAAAAACATTTTGGGGTAGAGATTTGGCTAAATCCAATTTATGCAATGGCTGAATAACTGCAACATTTATATGACTTCAGGTGCTCTGGCAGAAAAGGCATTAAGACCGGTAGTTCCAAAAGACTTTCCTTTCACAATCAGAGTATCTTCGGAAGTATTAGAATCCAATGGTAAGTCCTTACAACTTACTCTTACTAACAAGCAAGAAAATGTTAGGAACCCTTCATATCTAACAAACCGTCATTATCTGTGTGATATCAATAGGTTCTTCGTCCATGGCTTCTGCATGTAGTGGCAGTTTGGCATTAATGGATGCAGGTATGCTTGGTAATTCGTAATACGATCATTTTGTTATGAGTACCACAATAATGACCTTTTGACAATGTGACCATTAGGAGTTCCAATTTCTGCTGCTGTTGCTGGAGTCGCAATTGGACTTATTACAAAGTACAACCCTGAAAAGGAAGGTGACATTGAAGACTACCGTTTACTCACAGATATTTTGGTATGTGTATTTATTGTAAATCTGTTAAAGGGACTCTTTGGCATCATAACTATTTCATTTCATTGATAGACTTCTAGTGTCTCTTCATTCCAGTTTTAAACTGCATTTGAGCAATTCAACACTAAATAAAGGTCCCTGACCCCCTCTGAAGATATGGCTAAGACAGAGATTATACACTTCCTTCTAGCAATGCCAGTTTATACCAGCAGTGGTAGCTGTAATAGGCTGAAAGAGGTCAGCTGGCACTCTCAACCACTCATTGTTACTCAGGTTAATACTGCCAACACCTTTGGTTTGTATTAAACCTATTACTGTACCTACACTGTCCCTTTAACTCTGTTTTATTTCATGATAAACATCAATTGAAGTGTTGCCTCCACAATGCCTATTCATAAAATGGTTTACTTGAATAAACTTGCTCTGTGAAGAAATTTGTGTGTATGTACAAGCTTGGATTAATTGTTTATCGGATCTGGCCTTAATGATTTGTTGGCTTTCCACCATCTAACTTTAGGATGCTAATTTCATGGAAGGTAGACGAACCTTAGATAATACTAATTTCTATCAGAAACCCCACTCAGTACTCTGAATGAAATACCCAGGTTCTGGGAGTTGCTGAGATGTTCTGTCAGTCCTGGTATTCCTATTGTTTTAAAGGGATACTATAAAGGCACCCAGATCACTTTATCTTGTTGAAGTGGTCTCGGTTAAGTATCCTTTTCCTCTTAACCCTGTAATATAAAACATTGAAGTTTTAGGGGAACTTCAATGTTTACATTGCAGGGTTAAGACTTTCCCTTTCGTGTCGGTCTATCAGACAGCCACTAGAGGTGCTTTCTGCAGTTTCACACAGTTTCAATGCTTTCCTATGTTAGTGGCCTAATGCACGCAGCACTCGCCGCACATGTAATCTCATTAATTTAGGTGCTGCTTATTTGTATATGTGTTGCATGTTTTTATTTTTTCTTATGACTCTTTCTAGGGTATTGAAGACTACAATGGTGATATGGATTTTAAGATGGCAGGTACAAGCAAAGGAATAACTGCTTTGCAGGTATATCATATCGTATTAAATTTGTTTTGTTTTTTTACTGTCAGAGTGCACAATACAATTTTAACCCCCTTCCCGAAGCTAGACAGAAATTTTCCATTATACTTGTCCATGCCTTAAGAACGCATGACGGAAAATTATAAAGTTAACCCACGCTGTCCTTGCAGCTGTGATCGCTCTGACAGGCTGTCAGAGCGAGCATATATGCTGCAGGGACCCCTGATCCACCTCCCTGCTCTTCCGCAGTCAGTGTGAAGTGCAGGGAAATGGATCAACAGTGATTTTCTCCCTGCAAAAAAAATAAAGTAAAAATTAAATCCCACCCCCTTTACCCTGCTTTATTAAAAGTAACCCCTTCACTGACATTTGATCACTGACTACACTGACTTTTTTTATTTATTTTTTTTAAACTCCTGAGGGTTAACTTTTATTAACTCAGGGGTTAAATTTATTTTATTAATTTAAATATTTTGAAATTATATATTTAGCTAGCTGAGGGGGTGGGAGTTGGGGAATTTGGTGTTAGGCTAGCTAGGGGTTAACGTTCAAAAAAGGTTTTTGCTTTAAAAAGTTTAAAAAACTTTTAATAAAGTTTAAAAAGTACAAAAAAAAAATCCCAAATTAGGGGTTAATGGCATAAAAAAAAGTTAAAGTAAAAAAAAAAATACATTAAAAAAAAAAAAGCTCATTACCACTACACCTGGAACAAACTAGTGGAAAAAAATGATCCCACGCTAAGGTTCAAAATATGCTTTTTTTTTTTTTTTTTAAATTACTCCGGGGTGTATTCTTTAATAAATAGTATGTGTTTGTGGGGAGGTTTGAATAACCAACCAGCTAAACTACTCCAAAATGGATCATGGACATAGTGTAAAACATCAATGTTAGACATAAAAATTGAATGGCTGTGTCTCAAATGTGCCTCTTCAACATCCACATATACCTGGCAAAGGTACATACGGGGATATTGTTGTACTCAGACGACATAGCTGAGCAACATATGAAGTATTAAACAGTCTTAGCACACATAAGGTTTGCAAAATATACTGTGCAAACTCACTTTCTCTGTCAAAAAGGCAGGGGAAAAAATGCTTATTACCACTACACTTGGTACAAGCTAGCTGAAAAATGATCCCACGCCAAGGTTCAGAATATCCCTTTTGAAATACTCTAGGATGTCTTCTTTAAGAAATGGTATGCCTTTATGGGGTAATTGGAATATATAGCCTGCCAAAATACTCAAAAATTGAGTAAAAATGCAAAGTTAAAAAAAAATAAAATAAAAAAATGAATGGCTGTGTCTCAAATGTGCCCCTTCAATGTCCACATATACCTGGCAAAGGTACATACGGGGGTATTGCTGTACTCCGACAACATAGCTGAGCAAAATATGAAGTATTATACATTGATAGCACACATAAGGTTTGCAAAATATACTGTGCAAACTCACTTTGTGTGTCAAAAAGGCAGAAAAATGCTTATTACCTCTACACTTGGTACAAGCTAGTGAAAAAATGATCCCACGCTAAGGTTCAAAATAGGCCGTTTGAAATACCTTGGGATGTTTTTTTAAAGAAATGGTATGCCTTTATGGTGTAGAGTTGGAATATGTAGCCTGCTCAAGTGTTCCGAAGTGGGACACGGAAGCATCAAAACCCTCCATGAAAATTCACACTTAAAAACCTGAACTTGTCACATCTCTTTTACAGCACTGTAACTTCACAAAATAGTGTCTAGGTCATACATTGGGCATATTGTTTTACTCAGAAGATGCAACTGAGCATAATTTGGGGGAGTTTATGACAGTGGTACATATAAAGTGTAAGAAATACTCTGCAAAAATGCAACATGTATGTAAAAATGCAATTTTTTTTCCCCTCAACACAAACCTTGACATAAATTGGTGAAAAAATGGTGACAATTTAAGGCACAATATATGCCATATAAGATACCCTGGGGTGTCTTCTTTATCAAATGGAAGCCCTTAGTGGGTTTATTTGAACAGTCAAACTGCTATAATACCTCAAAATGAGACACATGCCCATCATATAAATCTATGAAAATTCTAACTATAGAAACTGAAATAGCCTTGTCTCTTATATGGCATTGTAGCTTCACAGAATAGTGCCAAAGGCATACAATGGGGGTATCGTTATAATCAGCATATGTAGCTGAACACAATATGGGTTCTGTGCAGGAATAGTACACACCAGCTTTACGAAATACATGTTACAAAGACCTTGTTATATGTGTATATGCCAAAATAGAGAAAAAACACAATTTTACGCCAATATTTAGCAGAGATTGGCGATGAAATGGCTATGTAAAAAGTGTCAAAATAGCCTGTGATGTCTACTTTATATAAATTGCCAACTTTTGTGTGGCAATTTTGTTTTCTGTTATGGCTACTAAACCTACAAGACAAAAATACCAACTTCTAAAATTGTTTCACATGAAAATTTTATTTTAGTCCTTTTTTTTTTTTTTTGTGACCTGTAACTTTCAAAATAAGCTGAAATCCTATACACATTACATACTCTTTAAATCAAAACACATAAATGAATGTATTTTGAATTACTTTTTCTAAGTTGGACATATTATGCACATGCTATTATTGCCAAAACTGGAAGAAGAAAAAAATGTTGTTTTTGTTTCTTCCATTTTTTGGCTTTTTTTTTATTTTTATTTATTTTTTAATAATTAATAAAAATGTATCTATGTATATGTGACATCAAATTAAAGCCATTTTTGCCCTCTTAAAATCGGTATATGATATGTGTTGGTGCAATAAATGACACAGATGCAAATTGCGTTTGAACACAAACAGCAAAAATGGCTTGTGTCCTTAAGGGGTTAATTAACTGCTTTTTTTTAATTATTATTTATAGGCAGATATCAAAATACCTGGACTACCAGTTAAAATTGTCATGGAAGCAATCCAACAAGCAAGTGGTATGTCTTGGGGAAGTTGTGTTCTTCTCACCCTCTCCACTTGCCTTTTCTTTTGTATTTTGTACCTTATTTGTTTTAACATACTTGCTGAGGTCTATTCACTAAATTCTTAATGAAAAATTCCATATGCCCCCCTAAAGTTTGCTAGTGAAACCAGTGCAGCTATTCATGAAAGGTTTTTTTGTTTTGTTTTTTATTTGCACTGCCATTCACTTACCATTCAGGCTGATTTTTAAATCCGCCAAATCTTTATACACATTTGCTAAGTTGGCTGTTCAGGTGCAGATGGGGTGAAATAATTTGAAATTTTTTATTTTACTTTTTTGGTGTTTATTTTATTTATTTATTTTTAATATGTGAGATGCTTGTAGGTGCCTTGATTTTGACAGGTCTTTTTTGAGTCCCGTTAGATCTCACATTATTTAAACTTTCTTTCATATAATCCATGGGTCTTGTCCATCCAAAAATGTGTTCTATTTTCATGTACCTTCTGTTTTCCCTGTATGTTTTAAATAGGAACTGTTATCCCTATAATAAACACATCTGTATTTGGGAGGTGTGAAATAAAATGTAATATACCCATGCCTCTTTAAATTGCGACTGAACTCCTCCATCTTAGCTTCCCATCAACCATTGTTATAAGCTCAGTCCTTTGCACCTGGCAGTCAGCATACAGAAAGCATACAGCAAAGAGGAGACATGAAAGAATGTTTCTATTTCTCTGCTTCGTTGGCAATGTTTGCCCTGGTTTTGCCTTGCTTGTATCAGATTTTTTTTTATGTCATTTACTCAATGTTTAATATAAGTTGAAGAAAAAATAGAGCATCTAATGGAAATTAATCTTTATGTTTATTTAGTGGTGTAAATTCCAAAGAAGTAACAACTTCCCATTTTAGTCCGTTGGTATATATCTGCAATAAAAAGTTAAAAAACTAGTTCGATGATAGAAAAGTTTAAACAATTTTGTTTGTATTTTTCAATTGTTCAAGTATGCGTTTTATCCGGTGTAAATGTAGTGTAGGCAAAGTTCAGTTGGGACCGTTACCTCTATTCAGTAACCTGAATTTGTTGTTAATGTTGTGCCTAGTTCTGAACATTATTCTCTGAGAATTACACTTTTATATATTATGAGTAACACTTTTTTTTAAATCATTTTACTTTCTGTAATTATTATTTTTAACCCAACATGTTATATTCCAGTTTAGTCAATGTATTGCTTAAATATTTATTTTTTTCTCAGTGGCAAAGAAAGAGATTCTTCAGATCATGAATAAAGTAATTCCAAAACCACGAGCAAATAGAAAAGAAAACAGTCCTGTTGTAGGTAATGAAAATACTTAGATTTTTGTTCTGTTTTTTTTTTTGTCAACTCCTACGTATATCTTTATTTAAACTATGAAAATTCTGTTACTTTATGGTCTTGACCCAAAAATGATTAGTGTTTGTTGTTTGTCTTCTTGGCATTTCAGCTAATCTATAATATTCAGTCTAGCATTACAGCTGTAGTACAAGATTCAGGAAGTAAGTTATGAGATTCCACTTATATTAGAGCATAGTCTCTCCACTTTATTATTGCAGTGTGTGTCTTTATTACTCCAATTCATACCATTGTATTAACTAATTTAGACAACTGGAAAAGCAACTGTTGTTTTTTCAGCCCTTTATTTTATTCACCCCTTTAAGATCCTTAACATCTTTGTCAGTATCCCATGGTTTATAAAGGTAGTCACTATTTGTTACAATAGACAAATCTTGGCCAACAATATGGTGTTTACTGAGGTGGAACTGCTTTCACTACTGCAGTGGAGACCTTTTCATACCAAATGTATTTACACTCTATTATGACTTGAAGAATACGTTCATTTACAAATAATGTACAGAAGAAGTCCAATGCCAAGAAAATTCTGTATGTGCTTTGTGGCATGTATGCATTATAAGGTACTTCATTTCCCTGGCCTATTGCAGCACTAATCATCTTTAGTGTTTATTTTTTCAATTTGTGTTTTTTGTGCACCAAAGTTGCATATGTTTGTCACTTCGTCTAATAGCATTCTGGCATGTTAACTGTTTTGTAAGTAGGTCCTAGTTATCCTGTCCAATAAATCAAGAAATACTAGTGGAATGATAAACCATTCAGATTTTATTATATGACCCACGATTATTTAATGACAGTGAGTGACCGATTTATGTTTGGTTTTAGAAAACATTCAAGTTCCCATGTCAAGAAGAATGAGATTTCTTGGACCCGGTGGTTATAATTTAAAGAAACTACAAGCTGAGACGGGTAAGTGAATGTTCTTCTGTCATATTGTAGTTTACCTGTTGCAAGTTTACCTGTTGCGTGTATGTGTCCATTGTTGTTTGATTTTTTTATTTTTTTTTCTTCTTCTTCTTCTTTTATGTTTGCATCAGAAACATATATTCACTATACCACACAAACTAGGTTAAATGTGCTGTTGTAATTGTATTCTGATATTGAATAATTAAAACCATGATTATTAAACTTGGCACTTTGATGTTTCCAGTGAAACTGTTATGTGGAAAGGATGAACAATAAATATAGCAGTGGAGACTGAAATACTGTTGACTTTCCATGTTTAAATGGAACAGGACTAAATTGGTTACAAAAAATTTAAACTAGAAGAACCTGTAGTGATCCCTAAAATTAGTCTTGTGTATGTGCCTACCGCCTAATGCATTTTTGGTTGCCGCTTGTGGTAGCCCTCCCATCATAAAATCCCCGATATTCGGGATCCAGATCCATCAGCAGGTTTAGGCTTCTTGGAGCGTTTTCCATTTGTGGGTCTGATACAACATATGCCAGTGGTGCAGCGGAATGAAGGTTAGCAGTAAAAATATAGCTTTTTAGATATGGCATTTATGTGAGACACATCTCCTTCAATCGCTAGTCCGCTCGGCCTACCACATAAGAACATTTATATGTAATTTAAATGGATTGACCGTAGTCCCTTTAGTTGTACCTCTGTCTAGTCTTGACTATTTGAAATGAGACACTACTAATTTACAATTTGCCTTACTGGCGTACATCTTTGGGTGGTGTATAAAAATGTCTTATTGTTTATGATGAGTTAAAGTAAATTTTGTAGTGTTTCAACTTTCCCGTTTTGATATGAATCTTTCTAGTAAAAATTTAAGCAAGTTTCCGTGCCCGATTTTTAGTTCCAGGAACACAACGACCAAACACTGCTGCCTGCGTTCATGCAAACAAGATGGCCGCCACCTCATGGTCGTCCATGTGAGCAGCGGCCACCCAGACAAACAATTAGAACGCTGCGGTTAGAATCGTTACCAAGTGTTAATAGAGTCTAACAAGCTACTGGGTAGTCTTTGGTTCGTGCGGCTGTTCGGTTCCCGAACCACATAATCACAACTGCACGAACAGAGCCTTTTTAAAGTATTTTAGTCAAGATCTATTGCAGGGGCCATAGTCCTGAGGCAGGAGGCTGGCAAACAGGCCCCTCCAAGAACAGGTGGCAGAGGCATTTCTGCCACAACAGAGGACCTAAATATTGCAGATTCAACAAACAATAGAATACTGATGAGAAACAATAGGGGATGTTGATCCCTTACTTCTGTGTAATGGTATATATTTTTAAATAATGAAGTTCTTCTTTCAATTCTTGTAGTGAGTACAGTGTAATATATTAAGCAGAATTAATAGTTAATTTGTAGTTAAGAGAAATATTACCTATCCATTTAGATTCAGAGGAGAAAACCCAAGTAGATTGTGTTAAAGGGGGGATGGGAGAAGTGGAACAAATTTCAGCAATAACCGTTTTGCTGCAAGGCTAGCAGCTTAATCAGGAACAAAGTTAACTACATCTGTATGTTAGCAACTGTTGTTTAGTTTGTTTGTTTATGGCCCAGAAAACCATGCTGTTGGCTCATAAGCAGGAATCCCGATTTGTTCAGCATGATGAGACTCCACATTATGTTAAATATAATTATTGTCTTTCTTAGGTAGCTACTAGCTAAGACTGAAAGAAAACGTAAAAAAAAAAAACATACTAATCCTGTTTTCTAGAAGCCATTGTTTTAGTTCAATATAGTCTACCAAATCTTTTACAAAATGAATTACAAAATGGGTTTCTCAGGGTGACAGATATGGCTCACAGAAAAATGTGACATATACTGTATAGATAGAATTCCTCAACAGTAAGCATTTCAATCGTTTGTGAAAGAAGATTGCCATGGTCTTGTGTCACAGCATTACACTTTGTTCCACTGCAGTGACAGGATATTGTGCTTCTGTGGTTTGTCGGGTTTAAAGGAAAAGCATATTTTATAAATCTAAAATATCGCGTGACAAACATTCCACTTCAGCCCCTTTATTTCTGTTTTCCAAATGTTAATTAAAAATGAACATAACATATTTTTTTTTTAATGTATCATTATACATAACATTTCTCAAATTTGTTTGTGTGTCAATAAACGTTTTTAGTTTTTGTTTCTAATATTCTTTGTTATTGCTATATAGGGGTCACTGTGAGTCAAGTAGATGAAGAAACCTTTTCTGTGTTCGCTCCAACACCCAGCGCAATGCACGAAGCAAGAGAGTTCATTAATGAAATTTGCAAAGATGATGTAAGATTATAGCTGATACTTCACTCCGATCTTATAGTAGTGGATGAAATAGCAGTGGTCGTTATAAGATATTTGATATGTATTGCCACTGTTTTTCAGCAAGATTTGCAGTTGGAATTTGGATCCATATATACTGCCACAATAACCGAAATCAGGTAATATAAAACACCTTGGCTTGTGTTTTTTGTTTTGTTTTGCTTGTTTTTATTTATTTTTTTTATTTTTTTATCTCCAGTCCTGAATAACCTATTGAAGCTATACTCAAACAAACTTGTCTTTGGATTTACTCATTAAGCATTTGCTTTATAAAATATCTTTGTCCTGTTAAACAGTTGATTTTCCTTCGGGTTAGTTGCAGAAACATGAGAAAATGTACAGCTTGAAGCCTGTTTTGCCAATTTGTCTTGTAGGGACATGGGTGTGATGGTTAAACTTTATCAGAATATGACTCCAGTGCTTCTCCATAATTCCCAGCTTGATAATCGAAAGGTAAGCTTATGTATACTTGATATAGTTTAGTGTTCATTCACCCAGTTGAATGTAGAGCTAATATAGCAGGTTGTAAGAATTCTATTCTGGAGAATAAATGCGTCCTGCTGCTTTCATCATACTCATATATGGTTCTCCGAATTCTCACATTTTCTTCCTCCAGATAAAATGTCTATTCCTTAAAAGAGAGAAACAGAAAACTGTGTGTTTTTGTTAACCACTTTATATTGTGAGAATTACAAATAGCAGTTTAAAAGAACACTATAGTGTCAGAAACACAAATGTGTGTTCCTGACACTATAGTTCTAAATTCCCATTTATTCCCCTCCCCCTCAACCAATCCAGTGATTTGACGCATGTGCAGCAAAACACTGCTCTGCACCAATCATCATCTCTGTAGGGTAAGTTTAGCGCCTCCATGCAGAGTGTGGAGATGCTGAAAGTCAGTGCTGTTCATTGTGCAGCACTGACCCACCAAGAACCACCAGTGGCTGTCTAAGTGACTGCCACTGGATGTGTCCCTAGCCAGCAGAGTACAAAATACCTTTTCTCTGAAAAGACAGTGTTTATATTAAAAAGCCTACAGGGACAGGCTATAAAAACCAGAACTACATTAAGCCGTAGTTGTTCTGGTGACTATAGTGTCCCTTTAACATGTATGAATAAATATGTTCTATGCGGTCATAAAATATGACATTAACCTGTTGCTTTTATTTTCTTACATCAAAATAACCCAATTGTATGCTTTTAAAGTACTCACAACATAATAACAATTTTCTTTTTCTTTTTTTCATATGTAACTTGAAATATCTAATTTCTAACTTATTTGTTCCATTAAAATGAAGTAAAAATATTGCATTTCGTGTTATTCTGGATAATAATGTACGTTTTTGACTAAATTTGTAAGATGGAATTTATAACATCTCTCCTTAATTGAGAATGTTTGTAAATTCCTAACTTAATATTCTGTTTATTACGTAACTTGACATGCTGACGAATATTATGAATAGTACATGTTGTGGAATGCTTTTTGTAATTTCCATAAATGTTATTAATTTTTCAGATAAAACATCCAAGTGCTCTTGGATTTGAAGTTGGGCAGCAGATCCAGGTACATTATATTGACCTCCCTCCCAAGGGATAATTCAGATAAAAATACCTTATAGCTATATAATAGTGTTCATGGCTGACTAGTTGTAGTAGAGTTGTGCTAGATAAAAGGGAGTATGGTTATTTGTACTAATCCTTTCAAATTTGATTTTTTTGTGGCAAGACTTTACTATAGCTAAAGACCATACATCTGCTATCAAATATGATGCAACACGTTTTCTTTTCTGCTTTTCTTTCTGCAATGTAATTAATATATATATATATATATATATATATATATATATATATATATATATATATATATATATATATATATATATATATATATATATATATATATATGAAAATAAGTTTAGTTCATTTTCAGTTTAGTTTTTATTTTTTTTTATTTTTTATTACATATACAGGCTTTTTTTATTTTATTTTTTTTTGGGGGGGGGGAGGAGGGGGGAGATGGAGGGGTTAATTACATATATGATTCTGTAGATGCCATTCTATGGGGCTACAGTCCTTACTAGCCAGAACTAATGAAGTCTTTTAACAGGTAAAATACTTTGGGCGTGATCCAACAGATGGCAGAATGAGGCTTTCCCGAAAAGTACTCCAATCACCAGCAGCTACTGTGATTAAAACTCTAAATGACAAGCAGAGTATTACCATAGGAGGGTCAGAGTCTTCATCTTAAGCTGCAGAAAATTTTGACCACAGATTTTTCACGTTATTGTACATTTTGTAGATATCTGTTTTAATTATTTGGATAAAAATGGATTTCATACAACCAGTTTGTTGGCCTCTTTAATTCAAGCATTTCATTTTGAGACTGAGATTTAATAACATTTTTGGCACGGTGTGTTTTAAATTGGAGACCATATTCAAATTATTTTCTATAGTTTTAGGTAATCATGACGTATCTTTTCATATATTTTCTGACATATGATTAATGCGATTTACATTTTACTGCAGGTTTATGGTGTATCATCTACATTAAAAATGTTTATTTTTGTATGCAAGATATATATACTAGTATGTTCATTCTGTCAGGTATGGAAATCAAAATTCATTATGGACATTCTCTTGACATGTGTTTCAACCAAAATGTGGAAACATCATTGGTTTAGATAAGGAGTAGACAACCCTTGACACTCCAGATATGGTGGACTGCATGTCCCATAATGATGGCAAAGCACCAGGGGAGATGTGGTCCACATCTGGAGTGCCACAAGTTGCCTACCCCTGGTCTAGATAAAGGTGTGAACCCATCCAATATCACAATAATGATATAAAAGCATATTATATAGCTCATTGCCCTAGTGGTTTGTTTTTGTTTTGTGGGCACCTATCTCTTCGTGGTTTAGAGTCTTAAATGTCCATGTTTATAAAAGATTATGATTTATTTATTTTTTTATTTATTTTTTATTAAAGTTTAGAGATCTAGAAATTGTTTGGTCACAAAATGTAGAGATTCCAGACTGAATCCAGTACTATCCACAGAACCTCATTGTGATATGTCTGGAATGTCTGTTTAACCCCTTAAGGACCAAACTTCTGTAATAAAAGGGAATCATGACATGTCACACATGTCATGTGTCCTTAAGGGGTTAAAGCAGATTACAAATAAATATTTATTATTTAATATTTATTTATTATTATAAATATTTATTTATATTACATTTATTATTACAAAGGTCAGTCTAAGCACCATAATAATGTTCTGTATTAGTGCATAGACCCCCTGAGCTCACTCATTTCTGAGATATGGCTTAGGATGGCAGTGTCTCATGAAAATTACTGCCACTAATGTCGATCAGACTGCTGGAAACCGTATTTAATGATTATTTAATTTTCACCATGTTGTTCATGCACCATTTGAAATAGTGAACTACACTCACGTGAACATACATAAATTATAGGGTGCTGCTGGGGCCAATTCATACAACATACAAGATCCAGCACACTCACTCATTCCCTAAACAGCAATTTCAAGGCTCACAGACTATAATTGTTTTATTTAAAAACACCTCATGTAGGCAAAAATAAATTGGTTTAGTTACAGTATATGTAGGTTAAAACCCCTTCAGTGACTTACCTGTACCCAGCGCTGATGTCCCTCGGCGCCGGTTCAGGGTCCGCCCACACTCCTATTGCGCATGCGCGACCGACGCGGGGGAAACCTAATGCGCATTCGCGGCAATGCCGTGCACGTGCATTACACCTCCCCATAGGAAAGCATTGAAAAATGTTTTCCTATGGGGATTTCAGCGATGCTGGAGGTCCTCACATAGCGTGAGGTCATCCAGCTACACTATAGCACATAATGTCTGTGCTATAAACCTGGAAGTGCCCTCTAGTGGCTGTCTTGTAGAGGAGGAGTTTAACCCTGCAATGTAAATATTGCACGTTATGAAAACTGCAATATTTACAGTTGCAGGGATAAGGGTAGTGGGAGTTGCCACCCAGACCACTCCAATTGGCAGAAGTGGTCTGGCCTTGATTGTCCCTTTAACTAGCTCATCCACTCTCCTCTGTTTATTTACTTTTTCTGGCTATTCTCAGCCAACCTGCACCTTTCACTTTCAGGCACATCTTCTATTTATGACACCCCACTCACCTCCCTCCCCTTTTCTAACACCAGTTGTTTTAAGTGTTAAACTCTATCAGATTTATTGGTATTGCTTCAGACCTGAGGAAGAGAGGAAAACTCTCGAAAGCTTGTCTTTGAAATATTATGTAAGTCCAATAAAAAAAGGTATCATTGCAATACTCTATTTTTGAGATATGTGCAATATTCTGCAGCTCTCCCCCTCATTATTTTACTCTTCAGTCCTCTACAAATGACACCAAACGGTTTTGTCCATTTTCCTCCATTTTTGTTTGATTCCTCGTTCAGTCAATTAACACTTCTGAGTTTGGACTTATGGATAAACTATTGATCACGCATAATTCTGAATAATCCGTCTTTTTCAGCTGTACTCCATTATCACATTGCCAGTATGCCTTTTATACAATTATTTTATCCCGTTGTCTTTGAAATTTATCAACTGTTACTCATGCCATTCTCATATTTGTATTGCAAGAACGTACACCCACACAAAAATAAAGGAACATTGTAGTCACCAGAACCACTATAGCTCAATCTAGTAAGCCAAGCCTCTCCGTGCAGGGCCAGCAGTGTAAATGCTGCTTTTTCAGAGTTTTCAATACACACAATAGTATTTATAATAAAGCTTTTGAAAATCAACAATGCAGATTAAAAGAATAGATCATGCTCTCTATTAGCAATAGTTGTAGGTGTGTATGCAATCCCTACTTTAACGATACAATAGAGAAGGAAGGACGTTATATGTGGAGGAAGAGGAGGGGGGGGGGGAGCAATTTGGGGCACATCCACATCATGCATTTCTTAGTAGTGGTACTGCACTTCTGCAGAGCTTGCAAGGATGAGCTAATGTGCGTACTAACAACTTGCAGGGAGAGTGAAAGTGGAGGTTTAGTATAGGCAGGGAAGATTAAAAAGCTCAGTTTTAGAAAGCGGGAAGACATCCAATCAGAGATGGAAAGAGGCAACCAGTGCCACGTTCTAGGACCGCGAGGGAGCAATCAGTGGAGAAATAGATCTGGTTGTCACTGCATACTGGTGGTAGTGGAAACTAAAGGAATTAATAAGTTTGCGAAAAGAGGTAGTTTAAAGGGTACCAAGAAAAGAGCCTTGGGAACCTGACCAAGATTGCATGTGCTGGGCCCTCTTTTCACTATACTTCACTATATAGGAGTTGTGGTGGAATTAACGTAGCAAGGGCCTCTAGCACAAGGGTGGCCAAAATGTAGATTCTCCAACTGTCGTACAAGTCCCACAATCCTTTGCTATTTAGTACTGAGCAGTATTTGTGTGTTTGAATTCAAGGCATGTTTCTGTATGGAGTATGTGTGAATGGGAATGTTGGTGTTTGAAAGCAGGCATGCATTTGCGTGCAGTGTATACACTGCCACATACAGTGATATACACACACACACACTGACACACGTGTCTTAATTTTATGTTTGCAGACACCCTCCTGTTTGTCTGCAGGAGAGTGGCTTGCTTGGGGTGCTGCTAGCTGAGTTTGATGTGTGGGAGCCATGCAGCAGCTCAGTCCTTTCTCCCTGTGCTGTGCCTCCTCCTCCAAACCATGTGGTGCTCTGTCTCTCTGGGAGGAAGTGGTCAGCAGTCACTTTGTCCCAGCACCCGATACTACAGGAGCCCAGTCATGCTCTTTAAGTTCCCCAGTGACTGACTGGACCCCTGTTATGCAGTACCCATCAGTTGGTCCTAAGTGCATGGGGCACCCGATTGGCTTTCCCCTTCATGCGGATCCCGGTGCTGCCAAGACCACCGGGCTTCTGACAACCATCACGGTTGGCACGACCTGGTGGCAGCCCTAGCCATAAAGAATCATTGAATATGATGATTCTCTATAGAGGAGGAGGAGTAGATGCCTCGTGTCAAGTGCCATGCATGCGCCTACATTCCCTAATGCTCCTCTCTGAGGAGCATTGAATTGGCACATCACCATGGAGGCACGACTCAATGGAAGGTCAGTGCTGGGATCTGTGCCTGGCGTTGGATTTAGGTACGTTTAAAACCTACCTAATAGTTATGCCCCATCAGTCATTTATAATGTAACTTTTTTTTTTTTTAAATCAGGGTTCAAGTAACCTGTTATGCTGTCCAAAGGAGGCTGTGAGAATTTCTCATGTGTCTTTGTGTCCATGAGAGTGATACCCTGTCTGGAAATGTACAAATATTTTTTTATTTCTTCAAAAAGGGAGTGTGGCTGTTTGTCATTGGCTTACACAATAATTAAATAAATTACAAAAAAAAAACGGAAACAAACACATTTTGTACCTGTTCCTTTTGAATTTAAATAAGTAATAAAGGATGGGTTGTCAACATGCCTACAGTTTACACAGGATGCCCTCAGGACTAAGACTAGCCCTGATCAGTTTGTAAAGTGAATTGTTATACTTGTCGTAACAATTTAGCTTACTGTAGTTTCAGGAGACGTCAATGTAACCTAATTGAATATGCAAATATTGGGGATAAAAGACACATTTACAAGTGAATTGCATTTAATGAATAGATAGCTGGGGTTTTACATTCCGTTTGGCCAACTGTTGCACACAAATTTAGCAATTCAGCTACTAATTTCAAACTTGATGAATATCTGCTAAAATAGTGATTTGTGGTTAATGAAAATTCAAGTGTTTTTTTTTTTTTAACTGAGCACTAAATACGCAGCAATATGGTAAAAGTTTAAAATAAATGCTAAAAGGATAGTAAAATCCAATCCAGATATATATTAAAGGTAATGCAGAGCTAAATTGTGAAATCTGGCTTTGATTTAAGAAAATCTCCTTGGAAAGTTGAATATTTAGAATTTTATTTTACTTCTATAGAATATAGAGTAGAAAACGAGAGAGAAGATATAACTGTGACTAGTTGGTTTTATAAAGTAATTTAAAAAGACACTCCAAACACCAAAACTACTAACCACTACATCTTATTATAGTGGATGTGGCTAGAAAACTGAGTGCACTGAAAGCACACTCTTTCATCTTAAGATATTATCTTTAAGGAATACCCTTCTTTATTATCCATCCAGGCAGAAGGTGGGAATGGGAGGGGGTCTGGCAAGAGGGGCAGAGTGGCAATGGTCCGTTGGGCCACTAGAATGGAGAGGATTGTGGTCTGCTGCCTTGTATAACGATACTAAAATATATCACATAGTAGCATTTTCTCACCATTATTCCTTTCTAGGTTACTAGGTTTGTTCTGTGTGTTCACAAAGTGCAGTGTTTGTAAGAAATGAGTATATAAGGATTCTGCAGTGGCGCATTAGTGCGTTCCATTCATTGTTACCCTTTTTGGTGCTGCTGACCTGTCAAGGGGCTTATTAAGGTTTATTTACAAAATGGAGAATTGTAGCAGAAGAGTAGCAAGGTAACCAGGAGCAAGTCAATTATTTGTGTATCCCCTCCAAACCATACTTGTATAGCCCCAACAGATTTCTGGTCACATACACATAATTGTATACCCACCCAGTATCAGTAGCATACACAATCACATACAGTCACTACACAAGTCATATAGACCCAGTAAGGGCTGGACTGGGAATAAAAAGCATAATTTTTTTTATACCAACCTTATCATACATTGTGCCAGTATAGTGAGCAAATATTCATGTGGGGGGAAAAAAATTGTAACACTGAAAATTATGTAAAGGATCACTATAGTGTCAGGAAAACAAACTCGGTTTCCTGACACTATATAACCCTTAGGTGCCCCCCTCCCGCTGGGCTGAAGAGGTTAAAACTCCTTCAGCCTCTTACCTTTATCCAGCGCGGGGCTCCCACGGCGCTGGTGACCTCTCCTCCCCCGCCGACGTCAGCTCCCAAGTGGAGCGGAATGCGCATGCGCGGCAAGAGCCGCGCGCGCATTCAAACAGTCTATAGGAAATCATTTCTCAATGCTTTCCTATGGACGTTCTGCACGCTGAATGCGATTTTCAGGAAGACAGCCACTAGCGGCTGGATTAACCCTGCAATGTAAACATAGCAGTTTCTCTGAAACTGTTTACAGCTGCAGAGTTAAAACCTGGGGGCCCTGGCACCCAGACCACTTCATTGAGCTGAAGTGGTCTGGGTGACTATAGTGTCCCTTTTAACCAACATGAAAAAGCTGATATATACTTAGCAGACAACATTTTACAGTCAATGCTTCAGCCATATTGCCTTGCAGTTTAATGGGATTGAAATATTGTCTGTAGACTGTTGCATGTCTGATTTAAATAAAGACGTAATTGTGTTTGTTTGACACCAGGCCAAGAAAGGCTGAAAGACATGCAGGGTTATTATTAATTAAACTAATTTTTGCAAATGGAAATCTGAATTGCAAAATTTAGGCTAAAATATTCAAGTTACCATTCTAGGAGAGTAGGACAATCTTTCCAAATCAGCTATTTTGACCTTGTTTATGCTGTTCGGATTTTCACTTCTTGTAATTTATAGTTTTGTGAATATCCCTATGAGGAATGCAGAGCCCTCGTACATTTTATCTATGTGTATGGGATTTCTAAGTGTGTTAAGTGGGGATCTCCCCATCGGGGCTCTGATTTGCCAAGACCCCAGAAGGTGACAGGGCCCCTTTAAGCCTTGTAATTACACTCCAAACTTCTGGAATAAAAGGGAATCATGACATGTCACACGTCATGTGTCCTTAAGGGGTTAAAAGGATTCTATAGTGCCAGGAAAAAAGGAGTTTTCCTGGCACTATAGAATTCTACAGTGCCCCCTCCCTCGCGCCTCTTCTCCCGCTTGACTGAAGGGGTTAAAACCCCTTAAGACACTTACCTGAATCCAGCACTGATGTCCCTCGGCGCTGGGTCAGGTTCCACCCACGCTCCTCCCCCAACGTCAGTGGCCGCACTCGCATTAGGACTTCCCCATAAGAAAGTATTATTCAATGCTTTCCTATGGGGAAACATCTGACGACGGTGGTTCTCATGCACAGCGTGAGGACGTCCAGCGTCAGATAACGGACCAAAGGTCAGTTTTAAACCAGGAAGTCCCTAGAGGTGGAGTTAACCCTGGATAGTAATTATTGCAGTTACTAAATAACTGCAATAATTGCAAGGTTATGGTACATGGGACTTTGCACCCAGACCACTTTAATGACATGAAGTGGTCTGGTGCCTACAGTGTCACTTTAATGTAGTGTTATTTAACTCATGAGTCGGATTTCCATGCACTTTCATTCGGTGCCCACCGATTGGAGTACATTTTAGGCCGTAGGCTAGGGTAGGTGGCCTTTAGCACTCCAGATATTGTAAACTACATCTCTCATAGTGCTGTTACAGTTATAATGTCGGGTGGGCAGACCATAAGGAGCAGCCTCATGGGGTTTGATGGAGCGGAGGTTTGTGGGTAAGTATCAATAGGTCAATTTTCAGGGGTAGCGCGTGTGGCAGGTTTCGGCGGGAAGCTCGCTCTCAGGTAAAGTACCTGATTGGTTAGTTGCAGCGTGAGCCACCTGGCGCCAAAATTCAATTAATCTCAGATGGTGACAGAACAAAATCGGAGATTGGCTGTTAAAAGTATAAAGCTGAAGCCCTACCCACCCTCCCTCTTTTTCTTTCAGGAACCTGTCGTGATTTTATTATGGGATATAAGTCACCCTCCTGGGCATCGCAGGTTGGTGGATTTGGTTTATTTGGTTGGAAAATATATATTTATGGCTCCTGGCTTTAAGGAGCGGAGCCTGGCTATTTGGTTTTGAAGTTATGGTTGTTATTATTATTATTATGGATATTAAATCAGAATTGTTAAATCCGTAACAAAAGTCACATTTGCCAAATGTTTTCATTTATAAGTCAATAAACAGTTAAAGTAAGAAGTTGTGTTTTTATTTATATTATGTATCATTAAGAATGCAACATTAAAACCCCATGCTGGCAAAACATCAGGGGAGTTGCAGTTCCCATCTGGAGTGCCAAAGGTGTCTTTCCACTGATTTAGGCAAATGCCCACAGTAAATGTTTACCTGTAGTATTGCCTTCCCTTTGTGCAAAGAAGACCTCCCAGCACTGGAAAGAGTCTTAGAAAATGTTAGTACATACTACATACTAAAACACTGAAGAATAGTAACTGAGCTAATGTTACCATTAAATAATGGGTCACACTAAGAATTACATATACATAAATTACTGTGTGTGTGGGTCCCTGTCAAAAAGGTTTAAAACCATCAACTTAATGTATGCAGTGCTGCTTTATTTTACTGCCACAATATATTTATATCTGAAACTGAAACCTCATCATTGGTATGCTACTGCCTTTAGTGTAAAAGGTATTCAATGAGCTGATGAGGACAAGGAGGCACAGGAACTGAGAGGAGGTGTAAAGTTTAATTGTCAAGCAGCTCAGCTCATTGGCTGCCAGGATTGTTTGTTTTTATGCTGTTTCCTTGGCGGTCATAAACAAGAGTAAACTCCAACCACTTATCTCCTCTAAAAGTCTGGTGATCTAAAGAGGCGCGTTAATAATAAAAAAAAAAGTTAAAAATAAATAAATAAATACTAGTGTGAAGCTCTGGGCGCCATCTTTATTCATGGCACTAAATTAAATAGGAGTAATAAAAGTTAAAATGCCTTCAATTCTTAAAAAAAAAAAAACATTAGTAGAATTCACCCTTTATTGTCACTGTCGATCTGATACTGTTTAATATAATTTTAAACATTGTGGCTGTGTGTAATCTTTCATGCTAAGCCTTGTTGCTGATCTCTAATTTCCCCAGGACTCTCAGTCAGTCAGGCTGGTGTCTGTTATGAATGGGACAGCAGCTGGATAGATAATATTCACCATAAATGCATTAATTTGACAAGTTTATCCCATTGGCCCTCACTAAAAATGGCCGGCATTGTCTCGTAAGCCCCGCCCATCTGCTGGAACGCCCACAGCTAGACGTGACTTCCTGTTTCGCGTACGAGGTTAGAACGTTGGAATGTGCCCAGCGCGCTGCCGTAGCCCCTGCGAAACCATTCTGTAGAGCCCGTTCCAGTTCTCGCTGGAGGAAGAGAAAGAAGAGAATCGGGTTACAAGATGGCGGGCGTCTGATGTACGAGTTGAGCGGAGGAGGAGGCTGGGGGAGACCGTAATAAGAAGCGGGGCAGACAGCGCGCCCGAGCCCAGCAGCCCCAGCTCTTTCCACCACAGAGGTCCGACCCCGTGTAATCCGCCCAGCATGGTCCGTGGCGGGGGCTGCTCGTGAAGCTGGCAGGGGACAGAGCAGCTGAGGGGAGCAGCGGCGGGGGAGAAGGGGAAGAGCGGGAGCAGCTATCGGGGGAGTCCGGGGAGTGCGACGGCATCATGTCGGACACCAGGCGGCGGGTGAAGGTCTACACCCTGAACGAGGACCGCCAATGGGACGACAGGGGTACCGGGCATGTGTCCTCCACCTACGTGGAGAGGCTGAAGGGGATGTCCCTCCTGGTCAGGGCCGAATCCGACGGTGAGTATGGGGGACCGGGGAGAGCACAACCGGTTACTGCCGGCATAGAGGGAGTGGGTGTGCACAAAAAAATTGTGTACATAAATTACACATTAATGTGTGTGTGTACATAAATTGGTGTGTGTGTGTACATAAATTGGTGTGTGTGTGTACATAAATTGGTGTGTGTGTGTACATAAATTGGTGTGTGTGTGTACATAAATTGGTGTGTGTGTGTACATAAATTGGTGTGTGTGTGTGTACATAAATTGGTGTGTGTGTACATAAATTGGTGTGTGTGTGTACATAAATTGGTGTGTGTGTGTGTACATTGGTGTGTGTGTGTACATAAATTGGTGTGTGTGTGTGTACATAAATTACTCTGTGTGTGTGTACATAAATTACTCTGTGTGTGTGTACATAAATTACACTGTGTGTGTGTACATAAATTACTCTGTGTGTGTGTACATAAATTACTGTGTGTGTGTGTACATAAATTGTGTGTGTGTGTGTACATAAATTACTGTGTGGAGTGTGTGTACATAAATTACAGTGTGTGTGGAGTGTGTGTACATAAATTACAGTGTGTGTGGTGTGTGTGTGTGTGTACATAAATTACTGTGTGTGTGTGTACATAAATTACGGTGTGTGTGTACATAAATTACTGTGTGTGTGTGTACATAAATTACTGTGTGTGTACATAAATTACACATTACTGTGTGTAGTGTGTGTGTGCATAAATTACTGTGTGTAGTGTGTGTGTGCATAAATTACTGTGTAGTGTGTGTGTGTACATAAATTACTGTGTGTGTACATAAATTACTGTGTGTGTACATAAATTACTGTGTGTGTGTGTACATAAATTACTGTGTGTGTGTACATAAATTACTGTGTGTGTGTACATAAGAATTACTGTGTGTGTACATAAATTACTGTGTGTGTGTACATAAATTACTGTGTGTGTGTACATAAATTACTGTGTGTGTGTACATAGAATTACTGTGTGTGTGTACATAAGAATTACTGTGTGTGTGTACATAAATTACTGTGTGTGTGTACATAAATTACTGTGTGTGTGTACATAAATTACTGTGTGTGTGTACATAAATTACTGTGTGTGTGTACATAAATTACTGTGTGTGTGTACATAAATTACTGTGTGTGTGTACATAAATTACTGTGTGTGTGTACATAAATTACTGTGTGTGTGTACATAAATTACTGTGTGTGTACATAAATTACTGTGTGTGTGTACATAAATTACTGTGTGTGTGTACATAAATTACTGTGTGTGTGTACATAAATTGCTGTGTGTGTGTGTACATAAATTGCTGTGTGTGTGTGTACATAAATTGCTGTGTGTAGTGTGTGTGTACATAAATTGCTGTGTGTAGTGTGTGTTTACATAAATTGCTGTGTGTAGTGTGTGTTTACATAAATTGCTGTGTGTAGTGTGTGTGTACATAAATTAGTGTGTGTGTGTGTACATAAATTAGTGTGTGTGTGTACATAAATTAGTGTGTGTGTGTACATAAATTAGTGTGTGTGTGTACATAAATTAGTGTGTGTGTGTACATAAATTGCTGTGTGTAGTGTGTGTGTACATAAATTAGTGTGTGTGTGTACATAAATTAGTGTGTGTGTGTACATAAATTAGTGTGTGTGTACATAAATTAGTGTGTGTGTGTGTGTGTACATAAATTAGTGTGTGTGTGTACATAAATTACTGTGTGTGTGGTGTGTGTACATAAATTACTGTGTAGTGTGTGTGTGTACATAAATTACTGTGTAGTGTGTGTGTGTACATAAATTACTGTGTAGTGTGTGTGTGTACATAAATTACTGTGTGTAGTGTGTGTGTGTGTGTGTGTGTGTGTACATAAATTACTGTGTGGAGTGTGTGTGTGTACATAAATTACTGTGTGGAGTGTGTGTGTGTATAAATTACTGTGTGGAGTGTGTGTGTGTATAAATTACTGTGTGGAGTGTGTGTGTGTATAAATTACTGTGTGGAGTGTGTGTGTGTATAAATTACTGTGTGGAGTGTGTGTGTGTATAAATTACTGTGTGGAGTGTGTGTGTGTATAAATTACTGTGTGGAGTGTGTGTGTGTATAAATTACTGTGTGGAGTGTGTGTGTGTATAAATTACTGTGTGGAGTGTGTGTGTGTATAAATTACTGTGTGGAGTGTGTGTGTGTATAAATTACTGTGTGGAGTGTGTGTGTGTATAAATTACTGTGTGGAGTGTGTGTGTGTATAAATTACTGTGTGGAGTGTGTGTGTGTGTACATAAATTACTGTGTGGAGTGTGTGTGTGTGTACATAAATTACTGTGTGGAGTGTGTGTGTGTACATAAATTACTGTGTGGAGTGTGTGTGTGTGTACATTACTGTGTGGAGTGTGTGTGTGTACAGAAATTACTGTGTGGAGTGTGTGTGTGTACATTACTGTCTGTGTGTACATAATTTACTGTGTGTGTAGTGTGTGTAAATTACTGTGTGTGTAGTGTGTGTGTGTGGTGCATGTGCAATGCTTGTACATATAGCTACATCCAGTGCAGGTATGACCAGAGTGTTCATTACACACAATTTTTTTATTTAAATTTTTTTTTTTTCTGCTCTCACTTCTTGATAAATGTATTGTATTGTAACTCTGTGCCTTCACCATTTATAACTAAACATTTAAATTAAGATGGACAAAGGCTGCTGCACCTTTTGGGAAGCTTAGTCTACATTACAGTGGTGGCCAACAGATAGGTCCTCTATTTGTGGCGAAAGTACAATTGCCATGTTGCTTTAAGAGTCTGACCAAGCATTGTGAGATTTGTGCAACGGCTGGTGATATCTGCTTCCTGGCAGCTCTATGTCTACAATAATTGGGTTGCCTGAGGTCATCCACCTTTTGGTTTTATTGTTACATCTCCACGTGTATTTTCACTGAGTGTTGTTTGACCTGGGGTATATGAACATGTCTCCATTTGTGTATATATAAAAGTAAAAATGGGTATTGTCAAAATGTGCAGTTTTAGTAGTACTCATTATTTGAGGCTGATGGACTTTCATACATTTATAGTGGTATTGAATTCAGTTATTTGAAATACACATCTAGGGAAATTGCAGCAAAGAAACTGTATATGTAAGTGACAAAGATCAACATGTTTATCTGACATTTTATTGCATTATTTTTAACCTACTATTTAGAGCTTTGATGTTGGATGTATTAGAGCCCTGCAAACCTTTAAAATCAAATTGAATTCACAATTATCTGTGCATGTCATCAGTGGCATCTGTCATGATAATAAAAACAAAACCTCAGAAACCATTTTATGCTTGCCATCCCTGGTGCTTCTTGCTGGATCCCAGATGTTAAAACTTTTCCTGATTAGAGGTTTTTATTCATGGCTGGATCTAACCAATCAGGATAGTCCTTCCAAATAATCATAGATTAAATGTTAGAGTTAATGGGCCACTCCAGACAGGTTATCGTCAACTGAGTTTGTGTATGGGTGTTTAGTAGTAATGGTACGGTACTAATGCAAGCTCCTAGCATAGGATGCCTTTAAAAAAAAAAAAAATGTACATTTTTTTTTTAATGAATGCTTTGATATTTATTTTTTAAATCTGTGCTCAAACATTCTATCCAATATTTGAAATTTGCAGGATGCAATGGCAGAGCAAATCTGGAACTTTGTGTCATAAACTTTCACTGTTGAAGCCCTATGTTGTCCGGCTTGAAATTCCAGTATTGTTCTATAAAGTAAACATAATGTAACATAACTTTGGTACAGTTCTTTTTACAAAGCTTGCAATTTTCTACATGTATCTGCAAAGCATAAACATTTTTATTAATTCAACATGAAATTTAGTTTAATGCCCATTTGGGTAAATGAGAAGTTTAAAATATATATTTTCCTTGTTGGTGAACTTTGTTTAGAAATTTTTAATGTGTCTTGTACTAAAGCTTTACAGATTTTAATTTTTTTTTTCTCTCTTCAGGCTCCCTGCTTTTAGAATCCAAGATAAATCCGAACACGGCGTATCAGAAGCAGCAGGTATGTATTAGCAATTTTTAAATACGAATGCTAGGTTTGTCACAGGCTAAAGCAGTTTAAAGCGAACTTAATTATTATTTTTATTCTATACCTATAACCAAAATCTATTCTTTGCTGCCCAATTCTGGCAAAATATTGCTTTTAAATTTAGCATTATTCTCTTCCCTTGCGCTGAAAGAATTAAGGTCATGTTAATTCTCCTTTAAAATTCCCAAGTGTACAAATATTTTAACCACATGCATTAAAAAGGTAAACGGTTAAATGAACACTCCAACCAGTATGTCGTTATTATGCACAGAGAACCTGGTGCCCCTTATTTGTTAATGGTTTAACATCTGGGTGCTGGTCCCTGCCTACTGTGGCTTCTTGTAGAAGTGGAAGCTCCTGCATGTAATCTCCATTAGCTCTCATTAATCAAGCCCTGCACTGTCAGACTTGACTCAGATCTGCACGTTTCTGGCTGCAGTTGAGGGAGGGACTGGTGCCTTGCAGACCCCTGGTAAGTAGTCAAGCTGTTTTAACAGTTTGACATACTTGGATTGGGGGGGATGTGGCCACGCCACTCAAAGGACCACAGCCACTGCAGCATGCTCTAATAATTATGGTGCTTTGTGTGTTGCTTTAAATTGTCTTGTTCATATTTATTTTATTAAGTCATTTTTCTCAAGTCATAGAAAACAAGGGTAGGGTCGCACTCAGTCACAACAGTTCAACACAGGGTGCTACTGAGCATGGGTCAGCAAAAAACCCAAAGGAATATGTACAAATAGAAAAATCCCAGGCACTCACTGCGATTGTTTCTAGGCAGATTTATTGCAACGTTTCGAGCTGTAAAGAAAACGTTTGCTAAAGACCTTAACAGGTCGAAACGTTGCAATAAATCTGCCTAGGATTTTTTCTATTTGTACATTTTTCTCAAGTCAGTGATGGGAAAAAAAGTGCTGTCCATCATAATAAATATACATCTCTGTTTAGTATTACTACTTGTCCTTTCTGTGCTTTGTGTTAACCAAACTGCCAAGCTTTCCAAATTATTTCAGTAGTTGCATAGATCTACTTAACATACTAGTGCAAGTTAAAAGTATATATCTGGTTGCTGCAAAAGCACCCCACTCCATTTGATGCGCACCTTATCTGTTATTTGTTGTTGGGGCATGCAGTTGCAACAGCTTACATCTGATGATAAAAATTAAATTTTGTTCTATAAAATTACAACATGTATTATATAAATGCGTGCGTGTTTCATACCTATACACAACTACATATTTACTATCTTTTGATTTTCATAAAGTTTTATTTTTGTAACAATTTTAACTAGTTCACTTAGCAGTATAAGTAAAACAAGTTTTCTCTTATCATACCATGTTTATAAATAATTTATCGCTCAGTGAAAACATAACCCCATTTTCCACATTAGCTTGAGCCGCAATGTGTGGTAATTATTGGAAGGACCACAGGTAAGTTGTCAAACTCTTTTTAAACAGTTTGGCTTTTTGCTCTTTGGCACTCCTGGTACCATAGTTACTATAGCATGCTCTAGTGGTTATGGTTCTTGGTGTGTTTCTTTAATGTGGCCCAAAAAAAGTTTTGAGAGTTTTGTTTTTAAATGTTTTTTTGTCTTTAAATGGGAATATCATTAAAGTAAATTGAGAGCAAAATTAGTATTTTTTGCCTACCCATAGAACTATGATGACGAGTATGTTTGTGTATTCATGAATTAAGTCAGAAATGATTATATTTATATATAATATATATTATTCATTTTTATATTCAGGATACCTTGATTGTTTGGTCTGAGGCAGAAAACTACGACTTGGCTCTTAGTTTTCAGGAAAAGGCTGGTTGCGATGAAATCTGGGAAAAAATTTGCCAGGTAAAGTACTTTAAATATTTTACTTTTATACATTTTTAATGGCCATTTTAAATAAATCATGAACTTTTACTATCACTGCCCTTTTTTTGTTTTCTATTGTAATAGTTATCATCTACATAATGTTCTATGATAGGTACTCCTGAGAAGCTTTACTATACAGTTTTAAAGCCTGATAAATATTCTTTGTGTGTTAGTTCAGGGTGAGAAAAGTTGCCCTTTTAACTTGTTTTTCCTGTGGGCTTGCTGGGTCAACCCGCATAAATACCGTAATTGAAACCAATGTTGCAATTTCCATACAAAAGTGCTTGGGAATGTGTAAATAATAGAGTATTTAAACAGTTTACTAGTTTACTGTACACATGTATTTTGAATAAAAGATAGATATATATTATATAGATATATAGAGATAGATATAATAGGAATTGATCACTAAACAAAATGATGGAATCAAAATATAGGGCTTGGCAAATTTAATCGAGTGATTTCATTTTATTGGTGTGTTCATGCCCATGTGCCAAAGTTGTCTTGACAGGAAGGAAGATTGTCATCACTGACAGGCTCCTGGGGTAGAAAGGGAGGGGGGATTTTATATATAATTAGATGTTTTCGTTTGTGTGGCCACCTGGCATGTAAAGAGCTAAGGGAACACGCCAAACGTTAATGCTGAATACTGGTTCCTTTAACACTGACATTGTTAGGGCTGTTTCATCCTACCTGGATGATTGGCTGCTCCAGTCCTTTCCGCCATTCACCACTGTTCAGGTTAGATTAAATTTACATGGATAATGCAGCAATAACACTTCTGCATTATCATTGCGGCCTAGATGGAGCAGAGGCCTTGAGGAACTAAGGAATTTTATATTACTACAGTGGTTTGCTGACAGTCCCAAAAAGTCTCTGAAATTTTTTTTATTTTTTTTTAATAAATTACTCAGTGCCATTTGAAGTCCTAAAATACTAGCCAAACCCAGAACTTACTTGGCACACTAATCTCTGCTTAATTTCTATTTTCTTTTTTATTTTATTTTTAGCTAGTGTACAAGATTGAATACCAGCAGAGTTTTGCTGTAATTTGCTTAAACTAATTTTTTTGAGGTTTTTTTTTAAAGGCAAGTTATTTCTGAAGAGGGTAATGCATTTGTTAAATGGACACTCCCATCACCTTAACAACTCCTGTTCCCTAGATATTTTATGGTGCAAGGACATTTCATGTCTTGCTGCATAAAATGTATTCTAACTGCAGCAATTTGAAGGGGAAAAAAACACACCTGTAAACCTGGCATTTCTGTAGTAGATGTTATTGTGAGGATGTTTCATCCACTTTTGCCATCTATATGTTTGATATCTATTTTTGCTGCTGTTAAGACGTGGTGTATAAAATCCAGTCTGCGGTTTATTTTTATATTGATAAAGTAGTCGGCCATTGAATTTCTCAACTGTAAAAGATAAAGATGCTATTACATTAGTAACCTTTCCTCATTCTCCTTTAGGTTCAAGGGAAGGATCCATCTGTAGAAGTCACACAAGATCCCATTGATGAGTCTGAGGAAGAGCGCTTTGAGGAGATGCCAGAAACCAGTAACTTGATCGATCTTCCTACTTGTGAACTAAGCAAACTTGAAGAGATTGCTGACCTTGTTACCTCTGTTCTTTCATCACCTATTCGAAGAGAAAAGCTGGCATTAGCTTTGGAAAATGAGGGCTACATTAAAAAAATGCTTCAACTCTTCCAAACTTGTGAGAACTTGGATAATACCGAAGGCTTACATCATTTATACGAGATTATACGAGGAATATTATTTCTCAATAAAGCAACTCTGTTTGAGGTGATGTTCTCAGATGAGTGTATTATGGATGTTGTGGGATGCCTAGAGTATGACCCTGCCTTGGCCCAGCCGAAACGACACCGGGAATTCTTAACCAAAACAGCAAAGTTTAAGGAAGTAATTCCGATCACAGACTCCGAACTTAGGCAAAAGATACACCAAACGTACAGGGTACAGTACATACAGGATGTCATCTTGCCCACACCCTCGGTCTTTGAAGAAAATTTTCTTTCTACACTCACTTCTTTCATTTTTTTCAACAAAGTGGAGATTGTCAGCATGTTGCAGGTAATGTATGCAACCTATATATTTGAATGTTCTGGATTTAGAATGTATAGGTTTCAAACTTGTCTGTCATATGATCTATACTTCTTGAACAAGGAGGTCCTTATCCCAGTCTCTCTGTACATAGTCACTGCTAGACCGCCTATCATTCAGGTTTCACAGAAGAAACTAAGCTTTAATTTTCTCATACCTGTATTATCTTGGGTTGGTTTCAGTTAGTCTATTTTGAAAAACCCAGCTTTAGCAAGTTGGTGGATCATCATGACAAAATCTTGACCCCTTCTCCATGTTGCCATGGTGACTTGGAGCTTTAGATTTGTCCAGCTATTCACTAAAAGATAATTCACCAGAGTCTTTGGTCTGGCTTTTTTCTTCCCCTTAAAAATATTTACTTTTGCTCATAATCCTTTTATTTGTAAACATATGAAGGTGAGTTTTCAAGTCAATTAACTCTTTCCCGATGATAGGGCGTGCTATTCTGTCCTACAAAAAGAGGACTTAAATGCCGCTATGGTGGCACAGCACGCCCTAATGATCAGGCATGCTTTTTTTACCTTAGTTGCTGATCACAATAGGTGGACCTACCTGACAACCCAGGTACTCCCCCTGCAGCCGATCGATCATATGATCGGCTGGCTTGGCTACATGAGGACTGCCTGGGTTACCACACAGGGCCCCCGATATACAAGAATTAAAATTATATTAAAAGTGTATTTTGAGATTTTTCTATATAGTTCTATATTGCACTAAAAAAAAAAAAAGTATATATAAAAAAGAAATGTACTACATTTTATTTTTTTTAAATTGAACTTCCAGAATTTTGAAATATCAAGCTTTTGGGTGATCTTTATCAGAAATGCTTCAGACTTGACAAAGGGAGGATCTTCCAAAAGCTTGTCATTCCACAATTCTGTTAGCCCAATAAAAAAGGTATTACGAGATATAAATTTAATCTATTATACACCAGCTTCACTGGACTTAAATGCCAACAATCTCTCACTATAAATCATAACAACCCAGCAGTAATACCAGAGAATTTAATTTGCAGGCCCCTATATCTAATGATGTAACTTTAAAAAACCCCATAAAACCTGCACATTGCGGGCATTGTTGCACGTCATAGCATACAACTGTTTATTTTATTGCTGTAAAAGCTATAACAATATTGACATTCACTGTTAAAATGCCGTACAGAACTTGGAAAATATTTACATTTCTTAATTTTGTACACTCTATTAGATTTTATTCATATTAAGTTATGTTTCATATATAAATATTTGATGTTAAATTAAAGCTTTTTTTTATTTACCTGAACAAAATTCTAGGTTTTGTTTTTGGTTCAGAACTTGGACAATTGCCTCTGTTATTAATGGGTTAATTGTATGTGTGTGTGTGTATTAGACATGCAAGAAAACATGCTATATGCAATTCTCTTGATAACGCATGTTTACCACAATCACTGTGCCATCATGGAAAATGAAGTTCTGTTATCTGCTAATTATGCAATCAATGATTTCTCATTGTAATGTGTAATTCTCCTTCTACGACATCTGGCCGCTCTTGTTGTATACACTCTGTGCCTGCATGTCTTCTTTTAAGTTTGCAAACTTATTCCAGCTTGTTTCCTGTTTGAGTGGGAAGCGTTTCTCTGTTGAATCAGATTTTACAAAAATGTTATACATGGTTCTATGAGTAACTATTTCTGTAGATGAAGATCTGGTACATTGGCTGTTCAATTCTTCTGTTATTTTGAATCATTCAGAACAAGTTTACAGTTTATAAAACTAATATGTCAAGAACTTTAAAGCAGCACTATCACTCTGCAGATTGTTTTTCAATAATCCTTTTTTTTTTGTCCTGTTTCTCCTTATCAGGCTTTTATTTGTTTTTCAATTCACCTTAGTTTTTTTTTTAGTTATGCATAACAAAAAGTGTGGACTACCTTCTCTTATGGGGTTCGTGATCTTTGACAATTTGGGGGGAATAGATTAAGCTTTAAGGACAACTGTTACCTCAATATTTTAATATAATCCTTTCGCAAAGTTTTGAAAGGTTTTTTTTTTTTAAATTTTTTTTTTATGACTTCTTTGTAAAACCATAAGAAACACATATCCTTGCCTTTAGTATATGAGAGGATCCTTCAGCTATGTATAACATGCACGTTGGATCAGACTGCTTGAAACCTGATAGTCTTTGTGATCTTTCCTGCTTCACTTCCTGCAAGAAGGGCAAATTGCACATATTACAGAGGAGAACAAAATGGCAGTGCCCAAGTATTGAGATCTGGTGCAAGGAAGAAAATATAATAAATTTAAACAGAGCCAGGTAAGAAGATAGGGACTATAATTCATATATCGGCATCAGTTATCTGCAATCGCCCCGAAAGGTGACCAATAGTCGGTATGGCATTAGCTCTGGAAAAATATTAGTCGATCCCTACATCCTAGTATATTTCCATGTGCTGTGGTGGCTTTGGGTGGAAAGCAGAAGTATCTCCTTGAAAGGTCCTTCTGCTCTCCCGGTCAATAAATTCTTCAGCATATAATCTGTACAGAATAATTGACAGATGGGAGAAAAACCTACTTTTAGATAGTCTATACATTTACGATCAAAACTGCTATAGAGATATATAGATATATTTATATTTATATATTTTTTTTCATGCTCTGTCAAAGGGAAATGAGTGATTTTGTAGGGTGACCAGTCCCCCTTAAATTTGGCTTTCAGAACAGCTGTTACACTTGCTTCAAATGATGCAGAGATATTTGTCAAAATTCCTACTAAACTGACATACATTATGGAATACTACAAAGATTGTTTGGACTGTATACATTTTTGTTGGGCATGTTGGTGGAAGATTAAGTAATCTTCACCAAAATTGAGTTGATATCCACGATATCTTTATTGTATATGTATATGATGTCCTTGACATCTACAAACATTGTGGATGACAGATCTACTTTAAACATGTATCAGATACTTCACAAAGATAAATTGTCATGCTGTAATTGTCTTGATTTAATTGAGTGAAATAGCCTTTTAAACAGCAGTTTTCTTCTATCTTAGAATACTGTGCAGAGGATGATGCATTTAAAAAAAATAAAAATGTATTTAGCGGTCTCATAGGTAGGTAACTAACATTAAATAAATCATAAAGGCACACAAACCACTTCATCTCAATGAAGTAGTCTGGGTGCAGTGCCCCAGTCTGTTAAATCCTGTTTACATTGTAGCTTTAAAGGAACACTATAATGTCAGGAACACAAACATGAGTTCCTGACACTATAATGGTAAAATAACGGTTTAGGTCCCTGCCCCCCTCCTTGCGGTAAAAAGGTGATTTTACTCGCCTTTTGACCCACACAGTGCTGGTATTGCCAAGGCTGGCCTTGCTTTCGCCTTAGTGGCTGAGATCTCCGCCAATGCAATGGTTTCCCAATGGTTTTGCACAATCCTAGATATTAATTGAATCAATGCATCTTTATGGGGATAGTTCAGCGCCTCCATGTAGACTGCAGTACTGAGATTGGAAGCACCTCTAGTGGCCTTTTGAGTGACTGTTGCTAGAGGTGTTCTCTGAAGAGGCAGCATTTAGATTGAAAAGCCTGCAAGGACAAGCTGTAGACACCAGAAGCACAACATTAAGTTGTAGGAGTTCTGGTGCCTATAGTGTCCCTTTAACTCCAAAATGGGAGAGAACTGAGCAGTGAGACTTCTGAGGTATGATTTCTACACTAGACCTGCATGATTAAAGGGAAACTATAGTGCCAGGAAAACAAACTCTGTCAGCCATTCATAACCCCTTCTGTCACTTACCTGGCTCGGCTCTGGCCACGCTCCTCCTCCACCAAAGTCAGCCGTGGGGGAGGCCTAATGCACATGCATGTCAATGGCCGCGCTCGCATTAGGATTTACCCATAGGAAAGCATTCAGTGCTTTCCTATAAGGATTCTGGTATACAGACACTAGAGGAGTTAACCGTAGCAGGTAATTATTGCACTTTATTAAAAACCGCATTAATTGCATGCTCTGGGTCAAGGGTGATGGGACATTGCAACAAGACCACTTCAATGAGCTGAAGTGGTTAGGGTGCCTACACTGTCCCTTTAAGCAAAAGTTGTTTTGGTGACTTTAGTGTCCATTTAAATAAGATTTGCAAATTTAAATTATAGACCCAGGAAAGCAATCAATTCATAGTTGACATAGTCTGTATATTCTACGTGTCTGAGTCACCAATGCTTAGCTAATGTTCACACAGATGCAACAAGCTATGTGACTAACAATTGGCATGTAAAATGGGAGTTCTTAGAAAAGAAACTAGCAGAATTATGCCAATATCACAATGTTTGTGTATGGCATTACCAATTGCTTATGACAGGAAGTCATTGCTTCTAAAGATTGCATTTTGGTAATATTACATTTTATATTCTTAATATTTTAACCACAAGACCTCAAAATAGCTCCTAAATTAAAAATATAATGCCATTCAATTTGCTTAAACATTTGTAAATGCGTGAATGCGTCTATATTTGCCAACTGATCCAACCATGTTTCAACCTAATTAAGTGTGTGTGTGTGTGTGTGTGTGTGTGTAACTTATATAAGACTGAGCTTCTAGCCTAATACAACCACCACATTGATTAGTAGACAAAATCCTTTACTGCAATCTAATAGATTTGGGAGTTCAGCCACTGTGGCCTGAAAGTGTTTGTTTGAATTATGGAAAAACTGAATAGTCCATGCTCATTGCTGGTTGACTTCATTGTAATTTTAAAGCAAGTCAAATGACTGGACCCACACGGACCATACAACAGAATTTTTAGATGGTGATGGCCTATGTCTGTAATCTTCAAACATACAGCCAGGTAGCTTAAAGGGACACTCCAGGGCTCCCAGACCACTTCTGCTCATTGTAGTGGTCTGGGTGCCAACTCCCACCACTCTTAACCCTGCAGGTGTAATTTATTGCAGTTTTTATAAACTGCAATAATTACCTTGCAGGGTTAAGTCCTCCTCTAGTGGCTGTTTATCAGACTAAACTGCAATAATTACCTTACAGAATTAAGTCCTCCTCTAGTGGCTTTCTGTCAGACAACCGCTAGAGGGACATCCGTGTTCTTAGAACACAAAAAGTGTTTTAAACAGCACTGGACATCCTCACGCTATGCATGAGGACCATGCGCATTAGGTCTCCCCCGCCGGCTGACGTCGGGGGAGGAGCGTGGGCGGAGCCTGACCCAGCACCAAGGGACATCGGTGCTGAATTCAGGTAAGTCACTAAAGAGGTTTTAACCCCTTCAACAACATGGGATGTGGTGTGGGAAGGAGAGGGTATGTTTTCCTGGCACTGGAGAGTCCCTTGAAGGCCTTTTTTCAAACGGAAGAAGTAAAGTGAGCAGCAGGCTTGATAAAATTTCCAGTTTCACATGATATTCTAACATGTTCTGCTTCACATTTTCCAAAAACATACCTAGTATAAGTGAAACAGATACATATGCTGTACCACTTTATTAAAAATTAAGGCACAACTTTGTTTTGCACAAGGTTAGTGCAGAATATTTAACTTAATATCTCTAAAACCCACAAAGAGGCTGAGATATTTATTTACTTGGCTTCGCTACCATTCTGTTTGTCTAGAATTTTGTAAATGACTTTGATCACTATACTCATCCTGTTGTGACTTGCCTTTATATTTTATTTTTCCCACATGCCGGGTGTTAGAACATGGGCGCTTCCCTTTTGTTCTCCTTTGTCCATGATGGCTGCAGTTTGCCATTCTGTGGGATTCTTTTAACTGGTGGATATTGTGTAGCTTGGCCCTGCAATTGAAATTGAACTTTGATTGAAGGAACATGATCATCCCAGATCACTTCATCTCAATGAAGTGGTTTGCAGTGGTCCTTTCACTTTATAAACTGAGACAAAGTAAGGACAAAGACAAACTTCAAAGAGACAGTTTTACATTTGTCAGAGAACTTGCTTCCTGTGGATTTCAGGCTGACAGCCTCTAGAGACATTTTCTCATGAAGACTTTTGATAAAGTTTTTCATGTTTAAAGCACAACATGACACCAGATGCATGCAATGCTTCTCAAAGAGAAGCACTGGATTAGTGACTTCTCTTTGGGAAGCTTTGGATTGGACCCATGTCTTTTGTCATGTTCAGAGAAGATAGACAGCAGCTGTATTATTTGGAAATTTAAAGGCTTTTTGTATTTTTCTGATTTTAAGATGGGGGAGAAGGTTAAAAAAAAAAATTAAAGGGTTCAATCTCAAGTCATTGTATATAGAGGTTTCTGATTCAGGTTTCTAAATAACTTTAATATTCTGATTTTTTATTTAGGAAGATGAAAAGTTTTTGTCTGAGGTCTTTGCACAGTTAACAGACGATGCTACAGATGATGACAAAAGACGTGAACTGGTGAGTTTTGTGTAGTTTTCTAGTCACTTTTGACTCTTGACTTGGAAAATGCTTAGGTTAATAGTGATTAATGTGTGTAAAGAGATCTAGCATATAAGGAAAGCCCTGCAATTTCTACTATAACCATTCGGTTCCAATTTACCATTTTCTCATTAAGTACGTTATAGACTTTTTTTTTTTTTTGGTTTTGTTTTTCTTCTTAAATAACCAAATTGACATGAATTATGCTTCTTTATTTATAAAATGTTCATTTTAGTTTCATGGTAAGATGGTGGAGTAGGGGCAGGAAAAACGAAGTTTAAATGATGCTAAACATCTACAAATCTTCCTTTGTTTGCGATCCAGTTCCAATGTATGCATTAAGAGAGTGAGACATATCCCGAACCAACATTAAAATGTTTAAAACTTTTCACTTTAGCCTCATATTAAAGTAGGATGTATAGCATTGTATTACAGATTACGTAAAACTGTTGAGTTGGTACTGCTAAAATACTCACTTTTTTTTTTTTTTTTTTTTTTTGCAGGTGAATTTTTTCAAGGAGTTTTGTGCATTTTCTCAGACTTTGCAGCCTCAAAACAGAGATGCATTTTTTAAAACATTGGCAAACTTAGGAATTCTTCCTGCCCTTGAAATAGTCATGGTAAAGCTTTTTATTTTCGACTCTTAATTTTGATCCACTATCTGTATATATTTTAATGAAAAATCATAATATGAAAATGTAGTGATTGAGCCCTAACATGTTCTTAACTCTTTAACGCTATGACATGCCTGCATGACCAGTGCAATTGCATAAACCTGTGTAGACATTTCGTGTTTCCTTTTTACTCCCAGAAGGAAAAGGACTATTTGTAAATTTTACAGCGTATAATAAAATCAGCGCTCTTATGTAAAATGTGAGTTCTGTGCTGTACTCCAAAACATTATCAGAAACACAGCATTCGAAGTTTATTGTGAAATTCTAACAATCAATTTTACACAGTTGTAGCTTTCTTCCTTGTATATATTCTTTACTCTTATGTATTTCTTGTATTTTTTTTTCTTCTTTACAGGGTATGGATGACTTGCAAGTAAGGGCAGCTGCTACAGATATATTTTCTTATCTGGTAGAATTTAGTCCATCCATGGTTCGCGAGTTTGTAATGCAAGAAGCCCAGCAGAGTGATGATGTAAGTAAAACTACATTGTTAATATGTAAAATTGTGTGTGTGTGTGTGTATGTATATATATTTATGTATATATATATATGTATGTATGTATGTATGTATATATATATGTGTGTGTGTATATATATATATATTAATAAAAAAAATATAAACCCTATTTTTCCGTGTAGTAGAAGACAACCCCTATTTTTTTATTCCAAAATTAAGAAATAAATATTTTAAATATCAAGGTGACTTCTGAGGAGAACAACACATGTCTGATTCTAGTGCCTCCCCTGTGCTTTGGTAGTCTGTGAAGTTGATGGCTCTAGAGTGCATGCTGGGAGACTACAGCACCCACAATACATCAGGTGGTGTGAGGGCATGCTGGGACATCACAGCAGTATTCAGTCTGCTCTCTGATCCCCATTTCCTCCCCTTTTAAATATAAATCAGAAAGCAAGACCTACCTGAGGTGGCGTAAACCTTAATATGTCTGCTCCTTTTATGGTGTGGCATGTCTCTGGAGCTCCCTTGATGGTAAGTGCTGATGTCTGCTGCAGCTCCCACACATATACATAGAAACCTCTTCCTCCTTGCCACAGCATTCAGAAGTGGATCGGCAGGAGGGAAGCCAAGTATGTGTGCGGGCCGTGGCACACGGAAATGTGGCAGGTGCCATCTTAATTTGGGCCCAGCGCATGAGTGTGTTTTTTTTTTTTTTTTTTAAACCCATGCAGTGATTGATAGAGAGAGAGATAATCTCAATATCTGTCTATATCGATACAAAAAAAAATCAGCGCTCCCAGGTAATTCACACAGAACTTGGAAAAGGTTACAAACTAGAGAGAGACATCTACACTAAATTTAGTAAATGGCAATTTTTTCTTTTCAATATTTTAATATGTGAATAAACACCTCTCTCCCCATTTTAGTTGGAAATAAGTTTTATTGTTTTACGTGCATATCATGTTTAGCACACCTCTACTTCGATCTTGATGAAAGTTCAAAGTTTCAGAGTTAAAAGCATAGCTAGGTTAGAGAATTTTCAAGTTTGGCTATTTTGACTTTGTTTTACATTTACTTTGAATTCTTACTTTAGTGAATAACACTGTGTGAAATAAAAGCTTCTGGCATTATGCAGTGTTTCATGTGCTTTCATTTCTCCACAGGATATTCTTCTGATAAATGTTGTAATTGAGCAAATGATTTGTGATACTGACCCAGAGCTTGGAGGAGCAGTTCAATTAATGGGACTTCTGCGAACATTGATAGACCCAGAGAACATGTTAGCAACAGCTAATGTAAGATCCTGCACATGGGTAAAAGCAGCTTTACTATTTGCAGTCTTTCTTAAATGTGGTTTTATATTATAAATATACTTGTCGTTTTTTTTGGTTTTTTTTCCATTTATTTATTTTTTAAACTAAATTTTAGGTTGTTTTTTTGTTTTTGCCAGAAGTGTTTGAACAATTTCATTTCTGTTACAGAAAGCTGAAAAGAGTGAATTTTTGAATTTCTTCTACAACCATTGTATGCATGTTCTCACGGCACCTCTCTTAGCAAACACTTCTGAGGATAAGCTGGAGAAAGGTAAGACTCAAGACCCTGTTTGAAGTGTATTGTATTCCATGTAATGATGTCAAATTCCTTGAGAGAGAGGATAAGTGAAGTCAGATACAGATCATTGATGTGACTTAATCCTTCAGAGAAGGGCTTTAATTCCATTAAGACAACATAAAATGTTTTAATTTTGGTATGAACAGAGTTAAATTCCTGATCTCTATTAATTACATCAATACCTGTGGCCACCCTCTGTTCCGCTTGGGCCATGCTTAAATACCCAGACTGACATATGAACTTTCAAATCACGAAAGCTGGACAGCTGATTATCTCTGAACCAAAACATATTCCGAGGTTCACTGTGACAGTGAGACCCAGAGGTCTAAAACAAGCCTTGTACTTTTATTTTGGCATCCCATAATTGTAAGAAAGATGATTCCCAGTGTGAGCTGGCTATATTGTGGAAAGATAATTATCAGTTGCCAAAAAAGAGGTAAGTTAGTATGGATCTGCGATAACATGCACCTGACCATGAACGGTGTTGGCTGCACCTCCCAATGACTTGAACTCAAAAGCCATAGCTTTAATGGATATGATTATTAATTTTTTGTTTTGCACTTGCTTATTAGATGCAGTTGTTGGATCCACCAAGAGTAGCACAATCTGCCCTGGTAAGATTTTTGTATTGGTTAAATAGAGTATTGCTGCACCCTTTTGGCCATATATTTACAAGAATGTGTGTACACTCCAGGCAGGTATATCAAGGAAATCTTAATTATTTAGATTTAAACTTCGAGAACTGGAAAGCTTATAGAGGGAATAGAATGTCAGCATCACAGTGCTTATCGAAGTGTAATGGATTATGCCACTGTTGGTTAAAGTCTGACTAGTAGCATATAATGTTTTGTATGATTTTTAAGCTGACATTGTGTATTTTGTTTTCCAGATAATTATCAAACTGCACAGTTGCTTGCCTTAATATTGGAATTGCTCACGTTTTGTGTTGAACATCACACATACCATATTAAAAACTACATAATGAACAAGGATCTACTTAGGAGAGTTTTAATTCTGATGAATTCAAAGCATACGTTTTTGGCTTTATGTAAGTCCTTTAAATGTTGTCTTTATTCCTATAATTAGGATTAGTCTTAAATATATCACAGTATGTCACCCTAACACACTTTCTAATGCTCTCCATATTTTCCTTTGGTACCCCAATGCACCTATTGTCTGTGGCAATTTCATAGGCCCACTCCATGTTAATTTTTAGCTTTCTTCTCCTTTGCCTACCTTTCTGCAGTATGAGTATGGCTGCTCTAGTGGGAGAGAGCATGCGATGTGTATTTTGGACAGTTGCTGCTTCAGGGCCCTTGATCCTGCCATGTGTCTAGATTGTACCCAATCACAACATAAGTTTTGTGAAAAGTGGAGCTTGATGGGCGTATATGTTTTTTCCCCTTTTTGTTTAATTTAGAATATTATGTAACATCTCCCTGCATCAGAGCAAGGAGGTATGGCCTAACACATAGCATGCAGAGTCAAAACTCTTGGATCCAGATCTCGTTTCAATTTTGCCATATTATCAAGTCCTGCCCTTCTTAAGTATTTCATTTTTGTGTGTCATTTATTTTTCATACTGTGCTTTTGTTACATTTTACTTCAATGCCTTTTCTGTGTTTACAGTACCAATAACCAATTACTTTCCCCAAATAGGTGCATTACGTTTCATGAGGCGGATAATTGGCTTAAAAGATGAATTTTACAACCGCTATATCATAAAGGGCAACCTTTTCGAGCCGGTTATTAACGCACTTCTGGATAATGGAACCAGATACAATCTGTTAAACTCTGCAGTAATTGAACTGTTCGAATTTATTAGAGTGGTAAGTAACCGTTTTATCATTCAAATAAGTTATCGTTTTTAAATGAATGCAAATGGTTTTGAAAATTCCTTTTAACCAGTATAGTGGGAATTTTTGTTGCACAACTTCTAGTTCATATTGTGTTCATATATAACATTCAAACAAATATACATATTCAAAATTGTGTACACATTGCAATTAATTGCATCATTATGTATTTTGTTTTTTTTCAGGAAGACATAAAGTCTCTGACGTCACACATAGTAGATAACTTTTATAAGGAACTTGAACCCATTGAGTATGTTCAGACTTTTAAAGGATTGAAAACAAAGTATGAGCAAGAGAAAGATCGTCAAAACCAGAAATTAAGCAGGTACAGATTTAAGGGATGTAGGATGTCTGTTTGATTTGTGTGTGTGTTTTTATTGGGTAAAGTACTTACATTGCAATTTAACACAGTAAATAATAACAATATTTCAGTTTTAAGGATGCCTGAAAATAGAGACTTTATTGATAAAACTCCGGATGTACACCTCACATATATTACGAACAAAATTAATATCAGGCAGACTGAACTGAGAGTTTGGGCTGCCTGATTGGCTGTTGTTGATGGGCTTGCTTACAGCTGTAGTTTATTTTTATTTATTTTTCCTGATTTGATCTTTATATCAGTCGGCAGATTATGTGCTGACAACTTCCTTGCAATTATATACCATAATAAATGGGTAATAGTGCACAGATCACCTCTGTGTCGTTTTTAGGAATCAGATTTAAGTCAGATGAGGACTTGCATGTAAAAGTCTGCCAGACTCTCACTAACCTTGGGCAGCATGAGGACGTCTGTCTATCTGTATAAATGTAGTGCCCTCTCTCTTTAAGTATGTATAATGCCGAACTGTTATTTGGAAGGATGGTCTCTGCACCTTCAATCATGCAAACCTGTGGTGCATCCTTTTGTCCACTTCAAAGTAAATGCATACACATGAGCTAACATTTTTTGTGGGGAGGATATTAATTGAGAAGACCCCTATTTTGTGTATACGTTTGTGTTTCTCACAACACCCCTTTCTGCCACCTACCCTCATGACAAATTATCAATTTTATTTAATTGGACATCATTTTTAATGCACGTTTTTAACTCTATAATAGTTTAGTTTTCACTTCTGTTTAATTTTGCTAGCTACTATTACTCTAGTAAAAAAAAAAAAAGCATGAATTGCCACTGTGATACTGATCTAATATAGCTACTCCAAACAGACACCAGAGTAAAGAGCCAGCTTGAATTGCCTTGGGGCTGAAGGAAAAAAAGAAAATTGTCCAGTTCTATTTTTATTTTTCCTTTCATTTTGTTCTACAGTAACTAATAAATGTTAAGTTTTACCGAATACACACTTTAAGGGCTCCTGTTAACTAGGGACAAACTTTTGTACCCTGAGAAACTCCTGCTTTGGTTCGCTTAAGTATTGCAATAAAGCATGTGTGCATTTTGTAAAGGATTTTAAATGTGTGTGTGTGTGTGTGTGTGTGTGTGTATATTTATAAAATTTGACCAGTAACATAAAGGTTATGACTGGAAGACTACACTTCTGTGACAACTTATTTGTGAAGGTGGTATGTTTTAATAAGTTCAATATAATTTGTATTGCAGTGTTCCATCCATATTGCGCAGCAACAGATTCCGTAGGGATGCAAGAGCTTTAGATGAAGACGAAGAGTTGTGGTTTAATGAAGATGAGGAGGAAGAAGGAGAAGCTGTTGTACCTCCTGTTGAAAAATCAAAAGCAGAGGATGACTTTCCTGACAGTTATGAAAAATTCATGGAAACAAAAAAAGGTATTCTTTGCTTCACTTGAAAATCACAGCAAGCATGTGCCAAGAAAGATTGGAGGAGTCCGTGATAGATTTCACACTTGAGGTTGCAACAAAACTTTTTTGTATTTGAAGACATCAAAAAAAAAATAATCAAGAGTTAAGTGAACCCTTGCTGACATGGCAAATTTCCTCAAATAAATCTAATTACCTTTTCAAATTCCGCCATTGTCCAACTTGTAAATTCCTGTGCTGTTAGGGCTGTAGACAATGTTTTTTTTTTTACTCTAATATAGTCAGAATATTAATTCCAATTCCATACAGCGGCTTAGACCTGAGAATGAGTGTATCGTCTGAATTTGCATAAGTTGAACAGCATACTAATATATATATTTGAAGAGAGGGTGTGGAGGTTGTGTCGAGAACAATGCCCTCTTGCTCACAGATTTTAGGATACAGTGGGTATCGAGGGCTTAAAAAAAGGAAGAGATGTGGAATGTGTCAATCTAATTGAGTTTATTTTTTAATTAAGAAAGGTAGGGGTCCTCCCAGTGATCAGTTATCTTTAAGGACCTTGAACATGTTGGCCGTAGTTTGAGATGCAGTTTTGACAGGTCTGTCATGAAGCTTGATCTTATAACATGAAACCTCTATGAAAAGCTGTAACAGTGAGGGAACACTCTAGGGGGACCATAAGAAATATTATTTAATCAACAATAGCTTAGATCATATATTTCTGTCACACTAGAAGGCACCAACAAATCTCGCCAAAATCCAGATGGGTAAAGGAGAAGATCAATAGTCAAGACAAAAAGAGCATTAGGTACAAAGGCACTGTTGCCTATTCTAAGCTAGAAATGTTGGTTTCCTTGTGTGTTGTGAATTGCTAAAAGGATAGTGACAGAATATACTTGGCTTAATGAAGAAGTTCTGGTGTCTACAGCCTGTCCCAGCTGGCTTTTCAAATTAAACTCTGCCCTCTCAGAGAAAAAGGCAGTGGTTACATTGCTACCTAGGAACATCTGTAGGGGTAGTCGGTAGTCACTCAGACGGCCGCTAGAGGTGCTTTCTATGTCAGTGTTTCAAACTGTGCAGCACCTACACTCTGCATGGAGACGCTGAACGTTTCCCATAGAGATGCATTATTTCAATGCATCTCAGAGGATGCTGATTAGTGCGGTGTTTTAAAACACATGCACAGCTTCCCAATGCCTTCCTATGAGAGCATTTGATTGGCTGAGAACAAGCGGCCACAGCGAGATCGGCGAGGGGAAAAGGTGGGTAAATTATTTTTTTTATGCGATCTGAGGTTAGCATTCACCTAAACAGTTTAATACTATAATGTTAGGAATAAGTTTGTGTGTTTACCAACCTTACTGGTTCATCAACAGCCTATAAATGGTGTAACATTAGGTTTTCATGTCTTTAGGTGTGGATTTTTAAATAACCATGTGCATTTTGCATTATATTTACTTTATTCCTTTGTGTTTATCAAAGACATTGAGTGTTTTCCATGATCTTTTATATACACTGTTCAGGCTAGTAATGTTAATAATAAACATTGACTTGATGTGCTTATCAGTTGCAGTGTCTTGACGTATATTGACTCCACCTTAAACAGAATATGTGTGCATCTCCATTGCTTTGGCAATCTGTATTACATGAGAAGTTAAATCACATCTGTTTGATTTATTACTTTAGCTAAAGAGAGCGAAGATAAGGAGAATCTTCCAAAGAGGACTGCTGTTGGAGGATTCAAATTCACATTTTCTCACTCTGCCAGTGCAGCTAACGGTGCAAATAGTGCAAATAGCAAATCTGTGGCAGCTCAAACACCACCAGCAGGGTCGAACGGCTCTTCCTCGAAAAATACAAACTTGGCAACCACAGTAACAGCCACCAAGGTGAGATACATTGCTTATCCATGTTCTACAGTTCCAGATTAATTTGCTGAATATGTTTTGAACACAGCTTAGAATTTCCACTTACTTTTTTGCCATTCTTGAGTGTAAATTGAGCCCTGGCAAGTTGGCCCTGGGTAAAGTTGTAGTGCATGCCAGAGCAGGTACTGAAATCTCATGGAGCCTCCAGCTATTACTTATAAGCGCAGATCAGTGACATAGAATGCATTGGTCTTTGATGTTGCATTATGGCACCGTTTCTCACTACCGTGCAAACTACTCAAGACCCAAGCTAGCTAAAACACACATGCCCCACTAAAGAAAAGTTTCATAATAGCAAAATGTAAGAGGAGGAGAGAGGATCTGTGACAAATGGTAGGGAATTTTCTAGTAACTGAACTTTTAGCCTAAAAAAACAAAATTCATTGCGAAAGACACATTCTTGTTGTTTGTTCCATTTTAAAGTAAAAAAATAACTTTAATGTTGATATTAAAATGACTGTTTTGTTAGCAGGGAAGTCTAATTGGCTTAGTGGATTACCCTGATGATGAAGAGGAAGAGGAAGAAGAGGATACATCCCCACGAAAAAGACCACGTCTTGGATCATAAAGATACTGACACTCATTAGTTGTGCATTTTTTAATGATGCAAACTGATGTTGGAGCATAGTGAGTCTGAAAGCTTTCTCCCTTGAATACATAATGGAAGTAGCCAAACTCCACTAAAAGGGTATAAATGCCAAGCTTTCATCGAAGCCCTTCTAGTGTTCAAGAAGCCTTGTAGGCTTTCAAACTGATGGGTTAGCTATGAAAACCTAGATGACTGCTTCAATGCAATCTGCATCTTGTGTATAGGATGGGCACAGAATGGAATTTAAAAAGACCATTTTTATGTTGGAGGGTTGCCCCAGGATGTATGTCAACTAGAACAATAAAAAGATGCTTTCAGTTGCACACCCAGTAATCTTAATTTTGTAATGGTGCTGGCCATAGTGTTTTATCAATTGCCTATTTTATAAAACCAATTGAAGGGAAACTAAATCTGTTATTAAAGAAAAAAATGAAAATAAAACCTCGGGACCATTCTTTGTAAATTGCTTTACTGTCTACTCTAGTAGGGAATGGGAGGGGGGCACATCGTCATAGTGCATGTTACGTTTAAAAAGAGCGGTAACTTTTGTGTGTATTCTAATAAAACCTGAAGTCAAAATGGACAGTTGTAATAATAAGCAGCCGGTCCCTCTATACTGCACTTCCAGAAATACTGATGCCAAGGATCAGTAACTTCCATAATTTTGTTTGGAATCTGCCCAGTGACCTCTTTACCAGTGCCTCAATCTCTTGCAGTGTTAAATATTGTGTTGCGTATATGAACAACTGTTTTGTCATTGCAATCAGTTTCCTGGTTTGACAATGTCATCCATGCTACGGTATGATGAAGTTATATTTAATTTTTCAGATTTTAAACAATCGCTACAAAAAAAACTATACCAAAAGGGTTTTAAACATCCAGCAACAGATGCGAACTAATAAATTAGCTGACATCTAGCAGGAAATGTGTTTCTGGCTAATAATATATCCGTGGAAGACTGAAATATGCTGCATATATCTTCAGTAGGGGTTGCAATGTGAAGGCTGTTCAGATGAAATAATTTTTTTTAGGTAGTAACTCATTTTACATTCCATGGATATAATTGACATTCAAAACAAACATATAAAAGAGAAATGGAACCGTGGAACATAATTGGTTTGAATTTGGGTCAAGCGGCACATGCACTGTAATTGTAATACCCATATATGGTCTGAAATAATGATGAAATGCTACCCAATAATCCAATCTAGAAATGCAAAACAACCTACAATCTCTGCACCGATTGCCCAGTAATGCTTTGGGTCCATTTCTCCTGGAAATAATTTAAAACCGTTACCTGATTTTTGTAGTTCATTTTAATTTTAGTGTTTTTGTTTTTTTTGGAAATATATGGGCTGTTTGTGTAGATATGAAATATAGGTTTTTTGTTTTTTTTCTCCGTAAGAACAGAAGTTTATTTTGTATTAAATACCACTGTACTTGTTTTACACCATTTGTATACATGTGGTGATATTAATGCTAAACTGTAAATTCAGGAATTAAAACGTGACCCTGTAATTCCATAAAGTTTGGTTCTGTTTGGTTTGTTGCATAGATCTGTTAAGTTTAATGTGGCATTTTATAGATCACTTTACCCTTTGAGTGCTAGAAGAATGCACTTATGTCAGATCTTGCTAGCATAGGATATAACTTAGTAATATTGTGAGGTATTCTCTATACTAGCATAGTATATAACTTAGTAATATTGTGAGGTATTAGCTATGCTAGCATAGTATATAACTTAGTAATATTGTGAGGTATTAGCTATGCTAGCATAGTATATAACTTAGTAATATTGTGAGGTATTAGCTATGCTAGCATAGTATATAACTTAGTAATATTGTGAGGTATTAGCTATGCTAGCATAGTATATAACTTAGTAATATTGTGAGGTATTAGCTATGCTAGCATAGTATATAACTTAGTAATATTGTGAGGTATTAGCTATGCTAGCATAGTATATAACTTAGTTGTATTGTGAGGTATTAGCCATGCTAGCATAGTATGTAACTTAGTTGTATTGTGAGGTATTTGCTATGCTAGCATAGTATGTAGCTTAGTAATATTGTGAGGTATTTGCTATGCTAGCATAGTATATAACTTGGTAATATTGTGCGGTATTAGCTGTGCTAAAAGTCCGCAGCGGGTAAGTATATGGGGGTTAAAAATAGAACCAGGGGAAGAACCCTTGTATGGCTGGACAAAATTCAAAGATTCTTGTGTAATCAGGATGCAGGACACGTGACCTAGTAGTAATATAATTAGGAGTCAATAAAAAGGCAGTACAACAAAAAACAAGCCTGATTATTAATGCAACATGAAGTATAGTTCTATGTTAGGCTGAGGATTCTATGAGAAGAAAGCATTTATCCATAAACGGGGATTGTACCACTCAAGCACATTTTTTTTGCATTTTCATAGGAGCATTTGAAAAGTGTAAGGGACTTTTTATAGATTACAACAAATTTTTAAAGGATTACAACAAATTCTGTTAAACAGGTGACTACCTCCATGATCTTTAGTCATGGTTCAGATCAGCAAGCAGCCACTGGGTCTTTCTTTTATTTTTTATTTTTTTCAAACCACTGACTCTTTGTATGGCAAAGTTCTACAACAGCTGTTCTTGACTGGTCTTCAGCATTCTCTTGTGTGCCCATCCTTTTTGATGTGACTCAACTTTGCGAGCTCCCTTATCCCGCAAGTAATGGATCCTAGTGGACACTTTGGGGGGGGGGGGAAACGTTGAAGCTTACCAATTTTTAAATTTTTAGTTTGTGCGCTCCCTCCTTGGTTTTACCTACCAAGACTGCTGGGACTTGAGGATTTTTATTTTTTCTTCTGTCAGCTTCCTTGTACTTCCCTTTCCTTCTCTGTTTGGTTTAATTGCTAACTTGGGATATTCCGTGAAAAAGGAGGTCTCTCAGAGGTTTCTTGGATAGGTTCTCATTCTAGTTGCAGGATGCAATATACCACAAGTAATGAGTTCTTGTTCACTGTCAACAGACAGTTGAAAATTGATTCACTGGTAAGTGTAAATTGTTTTTATGACAAGTCCACTTTAAAGAAACAAAAGTGCATCAATTAAAATTAGTTTTCTGTAAAGAAAATGTCAATAATAAGGAAAAGTAATAGAACATGCATATTTGCATATATGTGTCCCAGAAATTGTGCAGCAGGAAATGCTATGGAATCTATGCTCATCTGTGGATTATCTGGTCCGTGAACAGGATTTGAATGCGATCTGTAATCTGATTGGATTAATGTACAAGTTTGATTTTAAGTGGGCCAGTTTATTGGTTTATTCAATTTCATATATATAAATTTTATAATAAAGGGACACTATATAACAATTTCATCTCATTGAATTGGTTGTAGTGCCTGTAGCAACCTAGCACACTCCTTTCATTCAGTGTTATTTTCCAGCTGTTGAACATTGAATGAGGCTTCTTGGCCACCCAAAGCCTGCTCCCCCCACTGGGGATATGGCTGAGGCAGAGTTTACAGTCTTCCTTAGTCATACAAATATCAGGATTGGGTGGCTAATGGTATGAGAGCAGTCAGCTTACCCTACAGCGAGTCACTGCAGCCCATTGCTGTTCATGCTAATGAGGGAGCACCGAGATGATGGGCTTCTGGGGGCCCTCTTTTAGAATTAAACAATTATAGTGCCAGACATTATAACCACTGCAATTAGATAAATCATTTGTGTCTCTTTAACCCCTTTCCCGACCTCTGACATACAATCCCGACCTGGTACCTCTGATCCCAAATCCCCCCCCCTCCTTGCGATCACATGGCCGGAATTGCCGGTTTGTGGAGTGCATGATCTCTCAGGCTGTCTCCCTCATGCCTGCACAAAAGTTTAGAAAGTAAATAAGTTATTAAAACGTTTAATACCGATGATAAAAGTTCTTCAATTTTATATATATTTTCTAAGTACTTTTTTATATATATATATACACACACACACACACAATCCATTCTAAGTGTATTTTAATGTATATAATTATAAACTGTTTAAATTTGTTCTAACTATATTGATATTAATATACATATATTTAAATCAAAATACATTTAGAATGACGTTAAAAATACGTGTGTGTGTAGATATCCCCCTCCCCTTCCCTCTCTTTCTCCCCCCTCCCTCTCTCTCTCCCCCCCCCAAGTAAAAATTTACTTTTATTATAACATTTTAAAATCCGGATCAACGTTTCGGTTCTCTCCAAGAACTTTCATCAGGATCCTGATGAAAGTCCTCGGAGAGAACTGAAACGTTGATCCTGATTTTAAAATGTTATAATAAAAGTTAATTTTTACTTGGAAGACCGTGAGTGCAGCCTTCTGCTATCTATTTTGGAGCCCTGGTAGTGCACCCGACTAAGAAATTTTTTTATTTTTTTTTATTTTTTTTTGGTATTGAGATATAGATATAGAGAGAGAGAGATTTTTTTTTTTTATTCTACAAATATATTTATATAATATTTTTACATCATTTTGTAAAGTCATTTTATTAATTACAATTTGAGGGACCTGCGTGACAACCCAGGCAGAAAGTCCAGAGAATTTGGTTCACAAGCACTATATTTAACCCTGTAACTTTCAAGAACACCATAAAAACGTGTTCGTGGGGGGTACTGTTTTACTCGGAAGACTTCGCTGTACACAAATATTAGTGTTTCAAAACAGTAAAACATATCACAACGATGATATTCTCAGTGATAGTGCGGTTTTTTTGTGTTTTTGCATTTTTTACACACAAACGCCACTTTGACTTACTATATAATTGTTGTGATAAGCTTTACTGTTTTGAAACACTAATATTTGTGTTCCACGGAGTCTCACGAGTAAAACTGAACCCCCCATGTACCGGTTTTATGGTGTTTTCAAGTTAGTGAGTTAAATATGAGGTTTGCATTTATTTATTATATTGAAATTTGAGATTGGTAATGTTGACTTTGAGACTGTATGGTAGCCCAGGAGTGCGCATTACTCCCATGATGGGATACCATTTGCAAAAGAACACAACCCAAGGTATTGCATATGGGGTGTGTCCAGTATTTTTTTTTTTTAGTAGCCACTTAGTCACAAACACAGGCCAAAATTAGTGTTCAAATTAGTTTTTTTGCATTTTTCGCACACAAACAAATATGAACGCTAACTTTGGCCAGTGTTTGTGATTAAGTGGCTACTAAAAAAGACTGGACATACCCCATATTGAATAACCTGGGTTGTCTACTTTAAAAAATAAAAAAAATGTACATGTAAGGTGTGAGTCAGAGATTTTTGACAGATAAGTGTTACAGTGTCACTATTGATACATTTTAAAATATATATTTTGAAACCGCAATGTCCTACCAGTACTTATAGCCCTATATCTTGCAAAAAAACCAGCTAAGAACATGTTAACATTAGGTATTTCTAGACTCAGGACAAAATTTAAAAAGTATTTAGCACAGGTGTTTTTTGGCGGTTGTAGATGTGTACCAGATTTTGGGGGTCAAAGTTAGGTTTTTTTTTTTAACATTTTATTTTCATATTTTATAAAACAAACTTATAGTCAATTATATGAAATGAAAATAATGGTATCTTTAGAAAGACCATTTAATGGCAAGAGAAACTGTATATAATGTGTGGGTACAGTAAATGAGTAAGAGGAAAATCACAGCTAAACACAAACACTGCATAAATATAAAAACAGCCCTGGTCCTTAACGGTAAGAAAATTGACAAAAAACGGGTCTGGTCACTAAGGGGTTAAAGGCCTATTGCACTTTAATAGTGAATTTCCCAGGACCTGTCTGTCTGTCATACTACCTCAAATGCCTCAGCATTTTGTTCATCTGCATCTCGAGAGTAGAGCAATTCCTAACATAACATTGCAGGATTATTGAGGAACTTATGGGGTCAAATTGGAGACTTTCCTCTTCTCGCTTCCCAGAGCAGGAATTTATAAGTGACCGGTTGTAGCTTCCAGACAATTACCAGCATAACTTCTAAATTAAACACACTGCAATAAAAGCTGTGTGAGTTGCATCCAGTGGAGGTTTGGTTAGGTCTTGCTAAATAGAAACAAAAGTGATTTAACTTCTACCTAAATGGTAGAGAATTGAGCAGTGAGACTGTAAGGACATTAACTAAATGCCCAAATCACTTAATTTTTTTTTTTTTTAAATGCGTGATGACCAAGGCTCTTTCTAAAATGAAAAGAAGTTATATATATATATATATATATATATATATATATATATATATATGTGTGTGTGTGTGTAAGGCCGAAGGCCTGTGTTTGTGGGAGGAGTTAGCGTTCCTCTAAAAATGCTACTTCCCCCCCTTCCTACCTTGACGAGGCTTGCGCTGTTCACTCCTGGCCTGCCCGCCTCTCCATCAGCCGAAACTTCTGGTTCCCGTCAGCCGCACTTCCGGTCCTGTCATCCTCTCCGCTTTCCCGCCTGTTCGTGCAAACTCACAAACAGCCGAACACTCAGCTAATCAGCGGGGATAGCTGTGTTCGGGCTATTCTCGCCATTGGACACTTCTTCAATTCATATTGCTACGTATTTCATGCAAACAAACTAATGCTTAACCCCTTAAGGACCAAAAGTCTGGAATAAAAGGGAATCATGACATGTCACATGTCGTGTCCTTAAGGGGTTAAACAAACGAATGCTTAAAACAAATGAACGCTCAGTGCAGTTTTTAGCTAGTTTTTTTTAGCTTAGAGTTTGAATTTGCTGCTTTACTCAGGTAATTTACAATGTTGCTAAATTAATAGCATTATGTACTCTTTATGCATGTAAAAACCTGTAGCAGGTCTACTATATTGATACTGTTTATTGTATTAACATTTATATCTTTATGTTCCTTTAAAAAATATATGCATGAACCAATAGAGCACCATCAAAAAACCATAACCACTACAGTGTGCCAGCAGAGCCCTGGCGCCTGATACTGTGAATAGTAAATCTGTTTAAAACAATCTGACTTCTTATCTGGGGTCTACCAGCAGCTGCTTCCCAACACTATGCAGAGAAGAGCCAGAATCCTGGTTTTGTTAGTTTACTGAGCGAAGTTCTTTTTGGTGAATTATTCAAATATGCCTTTTCATGCAATTACTGATCCTTTTCGCAATATCTGTTTAATTACGTATGAAAAAAAAAAAAACTATCAATGTGGCATTGGCTAGTCACATAGAGAGTGTCAAGTTATCCTAAGATGGGTTAATAATACATAAATATGGCCAATCATTCAGAATGTCTCATGTATACCAAATTTCGGTCATATTGGCATTATGTCCTTTCAGAATTCAGGTCAATATCTAGTCACTTACCAACCTGTCCCATTGATTTCTTTGTACATGGTATATCAGTTTCAGTACGTGTTCAAATGGGTACGCTAGCATCTATCCAAATACGCGATCTGTATCACACAAATACAAACCTATATTCCGTTCCGTATTATACCCATTTCTGGCTAAGGGAATCATTAGCACATTGCCCATTTCAATTCGGACACTCACTGTTCTGATAATTAACTATGGAAACTTAAGTATTCATAGGAATAGTGTTATATATACCTGTTAACCGTTAAGAAGGGGTTATTGGGACATAACCATATATTTTCAATATAATAAAAAAAAAAAAAACCTAAATAGCGTGTAATTCAGTCAGCGTTTAACCCCTTAAGGACCAAACTTCTGGAATAAAAGTGGTTATTGGGACATAACCATATATTTTCAATATAATTAAGCAGACCGATTTCCCTTATGGTATGTTCATGGGGGTAAGTGGTGTGTGAAGTGTTGCTTTCTTAAAAAACCTACATAGCGTGTAATTCAGTGAGCGCTTAACCTCTTAAGGGGACTTAGGTCTGTCCCCGCGCTTGGAAATAATTACACACAGGTCCCATACTTGGTTGAGGTCACTCCCCGTAGACACCTTAGAGGTCCCAATTTCCTCAGCTAGGTACGTACCATATACTGTAGACCACCAGCAATACTCCTAAACAACTCCTCACCATTGATCTGTCTGCTCCTTCGTCCACAACTCATACTTAACACCCATATATTATCCACATAATTCTCTCTACACTATGTCACAGCAGATACAAGTAATTGTGAGGGCGGGTAAACCACATGGCACAGTAAGACCGATTTCTCCAACACCTTCATGTTGCTAGTCATCTGTCTCTCCTCCCTCCCCCCCCCCCTCCCCTATGGTATGTTCATGGGGGTAAGTGGTGTGTGAAGTGTTGCTTTATTAACAGACTCACTTTGGTGCGAGTAGCAGGGTAGCAGGGAAATATTTGATGCATTTGCAAAGGCTCACTAGCTACCCCTCATTATCACTAGGTGCATCACGGTGATACATTATCTAGTAGATTTCTTAATAGTGGAATAGAAACTGCACTCATACAAGGATAAAGTACACTACAGCACGGTTAAACTCTAGGCACAACTCTGTCACGAGACAAACTAATAAACCACCACCAGACTTGATTTCATAGGTTCATACTGAATTCCGGTACCATACAGTCAAATCTCCCAGAGGATAACTAGTGCGCATTTGTAAAAACAAAACCGGTTCCTTCAGCTGGGAACTCATACTTGGAACACCGGCAAATCATTGCTGGGTTCTTGGAACTTCGCTATGCACATTATCCCTCTGGTGAGATCATTCAGTTACGTTTACACTTATTACCGGGTCTGCCTGACAGAGATATTGAGATTTAGATCCCCTGGCAAGGACAAACCTGGTCATGTGATAAGAGTCGTTAGAACCCGGGATTGGGGCTTCTATGTTCATCCCACCAGGATCTGTCAAATTCCCAGTCTCTCGTATAGAAGCAACCGCTAATACTGGGTTACAGCAATCTACAAACTATTGATTGGGGATTGCTGGGTAAGAGTCTCGGACTACCATCTTTCCGAAACACCGGCCTTAGTCGAATTACCCGATATATGGCGACCACATTTGCATAGAGAATCCTGGTAGGGCATGGCAGTCAAAGGTTATACAGATATGGTAGTCGGAGGCATAATTTCATACAGGTCAGTCATCTTCATTGACCATTATGAGGATAGTTTGCGGGCTGTCCTGGTTGCCTGGCACTTTCAGCTCTTCCTCGCTCAGGAATGCATCCCAGGCTAATCCAAATTGGCCACAAACGCTTTTGCCCCGTCATTAGTTAAGAATTCTTCGTTCCTCACCAACTGCCAAACACCCAACCCAAACTCCACATTTCAACATTATAATCCGGTCTAACCTAGCTATTGGCACACGGCAACGAGTTGTCATGAATAGCCCTATCCGCTAACACTACATTACACACAATAGCACTGTGGACATTCTTCGAGGGTTCTCAGTGGAATACAACGTCCACATACATGCGTACAATTCAAATTAGCATCTAATTTGCCGCATTTTGCCCCCTTCATTATTTCAGACAATATCAAACTCTTCCCTTTCAGACATACAGCACCACCTTCCGACAGCCATTTTCAAACCATACTCCTTTTTTCTTAATTGCTTACTCAACAAGGGTTTAAAAGGTATAAGTAATCGATTCATCACCCCCACGAATAACATACCCCCGCAATGGAAATTCCCGGGGTCGTCAGTCTCATGCAACATTTGAATTACACAACCGGGTCGTATACCTGCTTGTATTGAACCTTCTTTGGCTTCCTGAGTCCTAGGAACTTCTCGATTAAAGCTAATCAGACAGGCATTATGTCTCACCAAGAAAGACTTCAAAGGGTACAGCCACTACCTCATGTTACTCCAACATTCTAACCAGAAATTAAATCACTTACATTAAGCAATCCCCTAACTTTTTAAAAGTCGATTCTACAAGTAACTCTATGCATTAAATCAGGTTGGGACCCTGCCTCTTAATTAAGACATCCGTTCAGAATAAGAACCGCATCAATCACATCCGGTAGCAGGACGCCAGCACACGATAAAGTAAGTTCACTTGGAAATCAGCTATTTCATACATTACGCAGCGGGGGAAGAGGTAAGGCAAGGGTATCTTATATTGTGAACATCTTGCTAAAAGTGTGTTTTTCTGCATTTCTTTTTGCCCCCTTTTTACACGCCTACTCCTACGTCGGTTCCGGCACACCACACCGACTTAATTCCAATTACAAAGGTATTTCACAGTCACAATATTAACCGACCACAAGTGAAAGACCAAAGGCCTGTATTTGTGGGAGGAGTTAGCGTTCCAATAAAAATGCTAATCCCCCTTTCCTACCTTGACGAGGCTTGTGCTGTTCACCCCACCCTCTTACCTATAGTCTTTCGGGAGGCCCCCTTTTTACAGGCCTACCCCTACGTCGGCTCCGGCACACCACACCAACTTAATTCCATTTACAAAGTATTTCACGGTCACAATATTAACCGACCACAAATATATATATATATATATATATATATATATATATATACATACATACATACATACATATATATACATACACACACACACACACACTTTACCAGTGCTAAATTCTGAATAGACCTCAAGTGCAGATTACCAGGATTCCAAACACATCTTAAGCCTTACAACTTAATTCGTTATTGCTGTGAAATTAGTTCCCACAGTAATCAAAATAAATTGGAGCCAATCACTGCGTAGTGTTGGACTACCTCTTTCATGATGTTTCTAGCAATGGCCCTCCAAGAGGTTTATTTCTCACTTGTTGTGATCCAGAGTTTTCTTTAGATATATATTAAATAGTTTGGAATGTAAGCAGCAGCACAATATGATTAGACAATGGTCAGTGAACCTCTGTCATTACTACTGCTCCCTCCCGATCAAGAGAGCCTAGTAGACTGGATAAAATCCACAATATCTTTTAAATCTATGACTGGTATGCTTTAAAAATCAATTAAACTAAATGTTTACATTGTTCTAAAAAATTTATGGATTAGAAAAAAACAAGTAAATCATTCCCTCACCTGCCACTCTATTCTTACATATGCACCTCTATCCTGACAACTGATTAATAGAGCAGGAAGACCTTCCAAAAAGCAGTTATATTGCTCTAGAATGTGAAAATTCACAATATTTGTACAGTGGTCCACACATGTGGGTAATCCCAAATAGTGCACAAGAAAAAAAATAAAAAGCACAAATGGCATCACACTGGAACATCATTCCTCATCACATGTTGATAAAGCACCAGGAGGGGTGCGAAACACACCGCATAGCGACACTGAAAATGTCCATACTCCCAAGTCTGTTGTACCTGTTCCGCACACTCCCCCTCCACCTCCCTCCCTCATATTTTAAGACAATACAAGCCGATATGGGAAGATTCGTATGGGCGGGTGGCAAGGCCAGGGTTTCAGCGGCTCTCTTACAAACCCCCAAGAGAATGGGGGGCCTAGCAATACCAAACGTCCAATCTTACTACCACGCTGCAGTATTGGCTACAGCCATCCCTCACATAGTCTCCGACCCTGGTCCACAGTGGGTCTTCACTGGAACGAGACCTTTTGGGCAACCATGATTTTCTTCACATTCTTTGGACACCTCCACGCGCCAGGCCAACCCACCTCCTACTCCCTACACAAATGCTACTGCTGTTCCAGATATGGGACAAATACAGACCCAGATTGGGCAGCACCCCTGGCCTTTCTCTGGCGACCCCCCTCAGGGCCATGCCCTACATTATCCCTACATTTAACTCCGCGGCACCAAAGAGGGGCGACACACCTCTACCACCTTTTCTCTGCTGACAAGCTCCTGGACTTCACCAGTCTAAAGGATAAATTTGAGATCCCACACTCCTCGCTCTACTCCTATCTGCAACTTAAATCTTATTTATCTAGGGAAGTGACACGCTGCCCAGGTACCCTTAGGGACACCAATAGGATTACCGAATGGGAACAAATGTGTTTGTCAGCTAAATTACTACCGCACTGTAAACCGATCTCCATGTGCCTCGGCTCCATAGCCAAATATAATCACTTTTCCACCAGTAAATATGCTGGGAGAGCGACCTGAATTGCCCAGGGCCACTTAAATCTTGGGACACAATCTTTACAGACCCACTCAAACTATTAAAATCATCAGCCCTCATAGAACAACACCGCAAAATACTGTACCGGTGGTACTTGGTGCCAACCAGGCTACAAAATGTTTTCCCCTCCACCTCCTCAAAATGTTGGAGATGCCAAACGCAGGAGGGCTCGATGTACCACATTTGGTGGAGCTGTCCGCGGCTCCTTAACTACTGGACCGAGGTCCATGACCTGATCCAAGATATTACCCAACACCCTCTCGCATTTACTCCGCTATCATGCCTAGTCCTTGACCTCCCTAGAGGGCTGCCCCAACACGTAAAGAAAATTATGTTACACATTGCCTTAACGGCGCAACAATTGATAGCAAGAAGGTGGAAATCCACGATTCTCCCCAACAAAGAGACCCTGATAGAGGAATTACACAAACAATGAATTTATGAGACATCGTATAAAACCTTGTTCCCTCCCTCTGTACTCTACCGGAAAACCTGGGAGCTCTGGCAAACATGGAGATCTGGTAATGCCACGGGCACTGTACCAGCCTAATGGACCTATAAAAGGTCCCCCCCCCCCTTACATGAAGGATATTAAGTAGTCAATGAACGCGGCTTAGATGTATTGAGGTACATCGGTGTGTTGATGGGTCGACCTGTAGTCACAGCTATATGAGAATTGTGTTCAGCTGCTAAAATGTCGATATGATGCTTGACTGTTTTATAGTGATGCACCCCCCCCAAAAAATTTTCACTCATTGTAAGATCACAGATATGTATACCATGTTATTGAATGAACTTCCTTTCTCTTCTGTACCCTGTTTGCTATGGTTAAAGACAAAATAAAAATTGTCAAATTGAAGAAAAAAAAACTAATAAAGGTTAGAACATATCAAAGGTGAATTTAATATAACCTCTCTTTAATACTATCTGCCTTATGCCTCTGTATTCTCTTTGGCAACATTTATACAAAGAGCTAGCAGCACCTCCAAAAGCCAGCTAGAGAGGGGAGGAGGACGTGTTGCAACTAGGGTGCTTCACAGTGTGTTTTGCTCTTCTTTACAAAAAGTACAGATATCAATGGCAATTGTTAAGTGCCTATTGAATCAACAATAGTATTTGCAGGACTCTGTGGAAATGGTAGTATTGCTGTGGATTCACAAATTAGCAACAATGTTCAGGAAATGTATCAGCCCGTTGTATCTTTTCTTCCCATATGGGAAGAAAAGATACAACGGGCTGATACATTTCCTGAACATTGTTGCTAATTTGTTGCTAATATGGGAAGAAAAGATACAACGGGCTGATACATTTCCTGAACATTGTTGCTAATTTGTGAATCCACAGCAATACTACCATTTCCACAGAGTCCTGCAAATACTATTGTTGATTCAACAGGCACTTAACTCTTACACCCTTAACCGCAGGTGGCGGTCATTTCTGCAGTGACACAGTGGTTTTGGTAACCATTTCAGGTCTCATTGCTCAACTTTTTTTAGCTACACACCAGGGTGTATTGGTGTTTATCAATTAAGTTGTTTTTTAACTGACTATCAATAGCAATTGACCTTGTTAACCCCCCATGGCTGTCAGTTACACATGTCCTGTTACTTCCTGGTTTGGTTAGGTCATTTGAGCTAAACCCAAGAGGCATGCAATTGCTAAGAACTCCTACCTTGCAACGACTTCTCATTGACCTGCATTAGGAGGTATGTTATTGGACAACCACAGAAAGTCTGGGGGGTTAGAAGGGTGTGCGCTTGCAAGAGACCGGTAGCTTTTGCAAGCTGTTCTAGATATGTACCCTTAATTTAAAAAAAAAAAAAAGCCTAACTAAATACATGTATGTTTTCATGCAGTTAGTCTACTAAACAGTGTAGAGTTTTTTGTAAAGTGGACTGTCACTTTAAAGTGCACAAAATGAAAGTCACATGACATCGTATAATTTAATTTATGGTCTATTTTCTCAAGCAATAATGAATTTATACTTCTATCTTTAACTGTACAAATCAAGTAACGAAGTTTTAAAGCATACAAAAAAAATATAGTAAGAACTTTGGCAAATAGTTGAAGTTAAAGAAGGGGCATGAAGGAACCTAATCTACTCATTTATTGATAACTTCTTCTTTAAGCTTCTCAGCAAGGCGTTTCCTCTTCTCTAAATTCTTTATTTCATCTTCAGTTAGTTCCTGTAATAAAATATTGTAATTACATCGTAATCAAACAAAAAATATCTTATTTGATCTAATTCTAGTAAGGCAGCAGTAAGAATATAACCAATTTATTTGGCAAATGAGCTTTGGAGGTAAAGGAGATGTTAGGAATTGAATGTGGCTCTCCTATTTACCACAAATATATGTGGCCTACCAATTTAGCTAGATGCATTCATTTAAAAATGTAACTCATGCAACTCAAGAAAGCTTGCTTTTTATTTGCTTGTGAAAGTGTATATACAAACACTATGGAAAATGCTGTATGAGAGAATATTATATAAAAAAAAAATTAAAAAAAAAGAGATAGACTGTACCCTGCACTCAGGCTCCAAATTTTTTTTAACCGGGTGCAGTGCCAGGGCTTAAATATCCAAATAGAAAAATAGATGGTTGCACTCTCGGAATTCCATTGAAGTCCATCTTGTGGACTTTCATCAGGATCACAAGATGAACTGAATTCCGAGAGTGCAACCAACTATTTTTTATATTGTGTGTATATATATACACATACACACAGTTGCAAGAAAAAGTATGTGAACCCTTTGGAACGATATGGATTTCTGCACAAATTGTTCATAAAATGTGATCTGATCATCATCTAAGTCACAACAATAGACAATCACAGTCTGCTTAAACTAATAACATACAAAGAATGAAATGTTGGCATGTTTTTAATAAACACACCATGTAAACATTCACAGTGCAGGTGGAAAAAGTATGTGAACCCTTGGATTTAATAACTGGTTGAACCTCCTTTGGCAGCAATAACTTCAACCAAACGTTTCCTGTAGTTGCAGATCAGACGTGCACAATGGTCAGGAGTAATTCTTGACCATTCCTCTTTACAGAACTGTTTCAGTTCAGCAATATTCTTGGGATGTCTGGTGTGAATCGCTTTCTTGAGGTCATGCCACAGCATCTCAATCGGGTTGAGGTCAGGACTCTGACTGGGCCACTTCAGAAGGCGTATTTTCTTCTGTTTAAGCCATTCTGTTGTTGATTTACTTCTATGCTTTGGGTCATTGTCCTGTTGCAACATCCATCTTCTGTTGAGCTTCAGCTGGTAGACAGATGGCCTTAAGTTCTCCTGCAAAATGTCTTGATAAACTTGGGAATTCATTTTTCCTTCGATGATAGCAATCCATCCAGGCCCTAACATAGCAAAGCAGCCCCAAACCATGATGCCCCCCCCACCAGTTGGGATGAGGTTTTGATGTTGGTGCGCTGTGCCTTTTTTTTGCCACACAGTGTTGTGTGTTTCTTCCAAACAACTCAACTTTGGTTTCATCTGTCCACAGAATATTTTGCCAGTACTGCTGTGGAACATCCAGGTGCTCTTGTGCAAACTGTAAATGTGCAGCAATGTTTTGTTTGGACAGCAGTGGCTTCCTCTGTGGGATCCTCCCATGAAATCCATTCTTGTTTAGTGTTTTACGTATTGTAGATTCGCTAACAGGGATGTTAGCATTTGCCAGTGACTTTTGTAAGTCTTTAGCTGACACTCTAGGATTCTTCTTCACCTCATTGAGCAGTCTGCGCTGTGCTCTTGCAGTCATCTTTACAGGACGGCCACTCCTAGGGAGAGTAGCAGCAGTGCTGAACTTTCTCCATTTATAGACAATTTGTCTTACCATGGACTGATTAACAGCAAGGCTTTTGGAGATACTTTTATAACCCTTTTCAGCTTTATGCAAGTCAACAATTCTTAATCGTAGGTCTTTTGAGAGCTCTTTTGTGCAAGGCATCATTCACATCAGGCAATGCTTCTTGTAAAAAGCAAACCCAGAACTGGTGTGTGTTTTTTTTATAGGGCAGGGCATCTGTAACCAACACCTCCAATCTCATCTCATTGATTGGACTCCAGTTGGCTGACATCTCACTCCAATTAGCTCTTGGAGATGTGATAAGTCTAGGGTTTCACATACTTTTTCCACATTCACTGAGAATGTTTACATGGTGTGTTCAATAAAAACAAGGCAACATTTCATTCTTTGTGTGTTATTAGTTTAAGCAGACTGTCACGAACGCACACTACTCCAAGAGTGCGCGTGACGTAGTTGTGGTTGTTAACGGGTTAAAGTTCACTATTTGTCTGCACTAGACCGGAAATAATGACAAAATCCCCCTTTAACACCACCCACACTTAAACATAATAATATAACTATTACTATTTTAATGCTGCCACCACCAAGACAATTTATAAATGCGGTGCCTTGGTCCCCCAGGTAAATCAACAATAAAACCCACCAAATATTACTTAATACAATATTCCAGGAATTACAAAAATACTAACTAGTCTCTTCAGGTAACGTGATTCTTAACCAGACAAAGGAAGAACTTAATAAATGAATGTTTATTATGAGCAAACATTTATCACAGTGCTTATAACAATATATGATAAACAAATTATTTACACCAACAACAGATAAAAACAAAAAGGATAAAATACAGAAGTCCTAATTACTCACTTAGGTTTTGAAAGTACAACTTCTGTCCAGGGGGTCTCTGGCAAGGAAAGATGGTGACTCACTCAAAATTAGATCTTGGCCCCAAGCAAGTACACAAACACCCTTCAGGATCACAGGAGATATACCCTGTGAATTGCCACGCCTCATCCAGTCCTTTGTTTCAGGTTTTATCTCCTCTACTGTACTTGCCACAGAAATAATAATTGCCTCTATGAATTTGTTATTGTTTTCCCATTCCAAAGACATGTTGCATGCCCCGCCCACGATCCAATAGGATGGACATCACAAGTCCTGCCACACGGTTTAAGTTGTGCAACTCATGTTTGGGCTTAATTAAAAGATTGGGCTTGTCCCATTCCAAATATAATAAAAATTAGGCTTAATTATTAACCTGTGGGTAAGTATGAATGTTTCACTTGGATAAGATACTGGAACACAAGGATCTTCATGAAACGAATCCCATTACCATTTCGAATGATTGAACTATCCTTTACAAGGTACATGCCAAATGGATGAAGAGACATTCAGACTTTTCCAAGTGTAGAACCTCACACCTTGCAGATCCTTGATTACTTCACATCCATATAGTAAAATCCTTTTCACATTGCTATGCCATTCACACTACCCCTTCTGTCATCTGACCTCTGTGGGGGTCCCAGCTTCAAAAGATGTAACCCCTGTTGACCTCAGCAATAGCATCTCTGTAATTTGTGCCATTTACTACACAAATTACATTAAAAAATGATATTCCATAGCGTATTAAAAAATTATACACCCTTGCCGTGACACAGACTGTGATTGTCTATTGTTGTGACTTAGATGATGATCAGATCACATTTTATGACCAATTTGTGCAGAAATCCATATCATTCCAAAGGGTTCACATACTTTTTCTTGCAACTGTATATATACATACACACTATATATATATATATATATATACACACACACACACACACACACACACACACACACACACACTATATACATACACACACACTTCACTAAACAGCAATATGAAGTTTTTTAGAATGTAATAGTTTTATTTAAAATCACCTCACCTAGGCAAAAATATAATGGAGGTTTAGTTACAGTATATGATCATACATTGCATAAAAGCCTGCCACAACATTACTCAATTTGGGGTCATTATCACTGAAGTGGATATATAAAAATATATATACTTTTATTAGTATGTTCCTTTTTATAATTCAAAATATTGTTCCTTTCGGGGGTAAAAAAATTTAAAATGATCCAATAAGCATACTCACATGCTGGCACAGACAAGCACATGAGGCTTAAGAGCAGGGCAGAGTTTGAGTGCAGGGCTGTCGCAGCCTCAATGTGGCCACACCAGCCCCTAGCACCTCCCTCCTTAACTGAGAGTCTGAAGGGAAATTTAAATGGTATTAGGGCAGCCTGCCCAACCCCATGTTCTGCAGCCTACCGGGAGGGATATTTCCAGAGATCCCGGTGGGCCAGTCTGGCCCTGCTTATAGGGCTGGCATACATTTTTTTCCAGGGCTGTTCTGCATTCCCAGTCCGGCCCTGTTGCATAGTGTATTTAATTTAGAAACTTTTAGCTCCTCCTGTTATTTCTCTGCTAGAGCCTGCAGGAGCCTCACGTGTGTGATTAGCAGGTGGAGACATGACAGTGTGTTGTAAGATCGGATTAAAATACAACCTTACTAACAAGCAAGAGAAAATGGTTTCAACGGGCTTGCACTAATATTTTACATCTTGAGGCTGGACAGAAGAGTGTATTTTGGGCTTAACACCCCCACCCATCCACTAGAATTGCCCCACTGAAGGTGACCACAGGAACGCATAAATTGAGAACAATCTCTGGAAACCGTATTGCAGTTGGCATGTTAAAATTAGTGTAGGACCCACCGATATTGAGATACTGTAACATAGTGGTAGCCTTAACAATGATGAGCTCACTCTTTAGATTTCAAATGGAGGGGAGGTGGGGCAGGAGCTTAAATTATCTGAATAATTGTAATATATACATATGTCTTACCCGTGTAGAGGTTGTTGCTTCTTCCTTAGAGCTATTTACGGTTTTCTTCAAATCCAGCTTTTTTCCTAGTAACTGGTCTCTTTTCTGTTTCAAATATTCAGCTCGTTTTTGGAGCTGTTCCTTTTCCCCCTGTGACAGGCTCTGCAAACAAACAGGTTACAAACATGAAAACAATAAGTGCTAAGAATTCCATATATTCTAATAATTATTACTACACTTGTTTAGACTGGATAATGGATGAAACGTGATTTGTCCAAATTCTACACCATATGGATGTATGGCAACAGACAAACCCTCTCCTCCTTCACCCAAAACCTAGTGACTATGTAAAAGCTCATTATGCATGCAACAATCTTATGGTGAAGGAGGAGGGATTTTCTTTATTTTTGGCATCATGTTTTTTTATATCTTTTTTTTCCCCCAGTCTTTATTTATTTATTTATTTTTATAGTAGCATCAGGATATAACTGCTTCTTTTTGGCCTTTTCTGGAAATGAAGAAAAGATTTAAGAAATAAGATTTGTGAATTTAAACAGTTTTGTTACTTTAAAGGGATTTATTAATCCCTCTCAATATTATTTGGGAGAGGAAGGCAGAAAACAGTGGGATTTTCCCTCGTTACTGAAGTAGCCCCCACCTGCTGCCTTTGCATGTGGGCTGGGCAGGACTTTCTAGTGTACACAGGGTTGAGTTTTCGAGCTCCCACTCTGCTCATGGGTGGGGTGGTAAAGGAGGGACTTTAGAATGTTGGCTATACCTCACAAGGTTGAAACAATCGTCTGGGGTTGCCGTATCTCTCGTGCAGAGGGAACCTTGTGGCATTTCGGATCTGGACTGTCCGTAAGGGTGGGACCAGTCTGATATGCTTTAGATATGTTCTCTCTGTAATGGCACAAGTTGAGCTAAAATCAGCTTGAGATCTGAGAGGGGACCCACCAAAGGGCAGGCTAATTGAGGCGGTTGTCCATTCTCACTTCTCTTGCTACTTGTTTTTTTCATCTTAAACAGATACTCAATGCACAAAGCATTTTAGCTTGCTCAAGTGCCTTATGTGCTTAGAGACCGTCACTTTTGAACAATTTTTTTTCCCCTCTTTTCTGTTACCTCCACAGAGATCCCCCTTTCTCAATGAGCTGTATTACATTGAGAATCATTGGAAAGCCACATGCATGTGCTCACCACTCCAGCATAGAGGCTTCTCAATAAGAAGGTGAAAAAGGGAGGGCTTGCAAAGGCTGCAGACAACAGGTCTGCACCTTGTGCAAGTGTTTTTTTTTTTTTAGATACAAACATGCAGAAATGTATCCATGCACGTTTTCATCGGGTTATATCTACTAAATTGTTGCAAAAAAAGAAATATATATCAACTGAATCACCAGATTAACAGGTAAATGCTTGAAAAGAAAAATGTGCAAAAGGTTGTATTTTTTTTTTTTTTTTTTTTTTAAATCTACATTTGACATTCTATACACTGCAAAAGTGACATAAAATGACTAAAATAGAACGGTCACTTATCAAATGAAATGGTTATTAGGGATCGACCGATATTGATTTTTTAGAGCCGATACCGATACCGATATTCTGTGAACTTTCAGGCCGATAGCCGATATAATTTGCCGATATTCTGTACATTTACCATTTTGGAAAATAAAAACTATTTCTAAAGGTAAATGCACAAAATATACATGCCACGTGTAGTGGATGCAGTGTGACAGGGGAGCTGTGTGTGTGTGTAGTGGATGCAGTGTGTGTCTTTGTGTAGTGGATGCAGTGTGTGTCTTTGTGTAGTGTGTGTGTGTGTAGTGGATGCAGTGTGTGTTTGTGTAGTGTGTGGGTTGTGGATGCAGTGTGTGTTTGTGTAGTGTGTGGGTTGTGGATGCAGTGTGTGTTTGTGTAGTGTGTGTGGAGGATGCAATGTGTGTTTGTGTAGTGGATGCAGTGTGTATTTGTTTAGTGTGTGTAGTGGATGCAGTGTGTATTTGTTTAGTGTGTGTAGTGGATGCAGTGTGTATTAGTGTAGTGTGTATATAATGAAAGCAGAGTGTTTGTGTAGTGTGTGGGTAGTGTGCGTAAAGTGAATGCTGTATATACTAAATGCAAAGTGTGTGTGTATATAATGAATGCAGAGTGTGTGTGTGTATTTGTGTAGTGTGTGTGTATAGTGAATGTAGTGTGTGTTTGTATAGTGTGTGTATATAATGCAGTGTGTTTGTGTAGTGTGCATTATATAAACACACTATGCAAATACACTGCATTATATACACACACTATGCAAACACACTGCATTATATACACACACTATGCAAACACACTGCATTATATACACACACTACACACACAAACACTGCATTATATAAACACTACACAAACACACACACTGCATTATATACACACACTGCACAAACACACACTGCACAAACACACACTGAATTATATAAACACACTACACAAATACACTGCATTATATACACACACTACACAAATACACTGCATTATATACACACACTACACAAATACACTGCATTATATACACACACTACACAAATACACTGCATTATATACACACACTACACAAATACACTGCATTATATACACACACTACACAAATACACTGCATTATATACACACACTACACAAATACACTGCATTATATACACACACTACACAAATACACTGCATTATATACACACACTACACAAATACACTGCATTATATACACACACTACACAAATACACTGCATTATATACACACACTACACAAACACACACTGCATTATATACACAGTGTGTTTGTATAGTGTGTGTATATAATGCAGTTTGTGTGTGTGTATATAATGCAGTTTGTGTGTGTGTATATAATGCAGTGTGTATATAATGCAGTGTATTTGTGTGCATTGTATACAAACACACACTATACAAACACACACTGCATTATATACACAGTGTGTTTGTGTAGTGTCTGTGTATATAATGGAGTGTGTGAGGGGGAATTTTTTATTAAATTATTTTTATATATATATATTTAATTATTATTTTTTGTCCCCCCTCCCTGCTTGTTACCTGGCCAGGGAGGGGGGATATGACAGTTCCTGGTGGTCCAGTGGTATTGGCTGAGCTGGGGGGGGGGGCGGAGAGCAAGCGCTTACTCACCTCCCAGCAGCTCCTCCAGCTCCCCAGTGTAACTCTCGCGGCCAGCGTGTCGCGCGGAGCGTTGCCATGGTGATCCATGGCAACGCTCTGACGGCCGCGGGTCTCGCGAGAGTTGCACTGGGGAGCTGGAGGAGCTGCTGGGAGGTGAGTAAGCGCTTGCTCTCCGCCCCCCAGGACCGCCGGGCTTGTAATGAGCCTGGCGGTCCTAGGAGGTATTATCGGCAATATCGGTATCTGAATTGGCCGATACCGATATTGCCGAAAATACCGAATATCGGCCGATTATATCGGTAAAACCGATAATCGGTCGATCCCTAATGGTTATTGGAGTTAATAGTACAGTAGACAGAGGTAAACAAACGAAAACATACAAAACAGCCACAACTTTTGGTTAATGGGAGATGAAGATAACCTCCCTGATCATCCAACAGCCAGTGGTGTGTTTCTGTCTCCAAGTATAAAGCGCCAATGTTTTTTGAAAATCTGCACTTTTCTAAACATAAAATAAGAGACTCTAGACACAAAGCACTTCAGAAAGCTGAAGTGTTGTTACCAAGATGGCTTTAGAAAAACGGACACTGTCAGATTTGCATTAAAGGTGCACTTTAACCCCTTAGTGACCAGACTGCTTTTCAATTTTCTTACCTTTTAGGACCAGGGCTGTTTTTCATTTCATCTGTGTTTGTGTTTAGTTGTAATTTTCCTCATTATTCATTTACTGAACCCACACATATTATATACCTTTTTTCTCCACATTAAATGGTCTTTCTAAAGATACTATTTTCAGCATATTGTATAATTTACTATAAAACCAATTATAAAATATAATGAAAAAATGAAGAAAAAAAAACAAAAACAAAACACCTTTTCTAACTTTGACCCCAAAACTCTGTTACGCATCTACAACTGCCAACAAACACCCGTGCTAAATAGTTTCTAAATTTTGTCCTGAGTTTAGATATACCCAATGTAAACTTGTACATAGCTTTTTTTGGAAAGTTATAGGGCTATAAGTACAGGACGCACTTTGCGATTTCCAGACCCTTTTTTAATGAACGCAAGTTACATTGTAACACTGCTATCTGTCAGGAATCCCTGAATAACCCTTTACATGTGTAGATTTTTTAAAAGAAGACAACCTAGGGTATTAAACTTGGGGTAGTTTGACTCTTTTCATGCAGCCATTTTACCACCAATCTATGCCAAATTTCAAAATAATTATAATAATTGGTGATTTTTTTGACACACATAGCAATTGAAGAATACATGTACAGAGAAGTTTAAGGGTTACTGACAAGTTCAGCAACATCTCCTGAGTACAGTGATACCACCCACGTATAGGTGTGTCGGGTTTTCTGGGGACTAAAAGACCTTATTTGGAGGGTGCGTTTTCCATCTTGGAATTTTCACAGATGGTCATCATGCACCCATGTCCTATTTGGGAAATTTTTTTGAAGCCGGCCAATGTAATTTACCCCACTCAAACCATATATTTTTGAAAATTAGACAACCCAGGGTATTCAATATGGGGAATGTCCAGTCTTGTTTAGTAGCCATTTAGTCACAAACACTGGCCAAAGTTAGCATTTATATTTGTTTGTGTGTTAAAAATGTAAAAAAAACAATTATGAACGCTAACTTTGGCCAGTGTTTCTGACTAAGTGGCCACTAAAAAATACTGAACATACCCCTGATGGCTTCCGATGCTCTGCCTCACTGCTAGGCACCACGTGGGGCAACCCAGAAGGCCCGGCAGTGAGGAGGGGTATTGCAAGATGCCTTGACAGCGAGGCATCGTTGCAATACCGTTAGAGCGCCTGGAAGCTATCATTATCGCTTCCCGCGCTCTCATTAGCCGCGGACGTATCAGGTACGTCCGCGGTCCCTAAGGACGGTTTTTTTCCCGCGGTTACTAAGGGGTTAAAATTCACCATTTCTAATCAGCAGCTGTGGTGGTCATGCAGATGTGCAGACAGACAAGTGTTTAAAGAACTGTATATGTTATAAAAGGTACTTACAGTATTAGAGCTTTGTATGCCAGTCTCTTTTCTTGCTTGCGCTAACCATTCCTCTGCAGCTTCTTTGTTACTAACTCCTTTTAACTTAATAGAAGGGAGTTCCATAGAATGTTTCTGTACCTCCAAAGGCGGTTGTTTGGCTTTGTGTGTCCTGATGGCTTCTCCTAAATTGTACATATTATTCATAAGGCACCAACTAATGCGGTATATTAGGAAAAACAACACACATGAAAAACCAATAAGGTTTAGTTACAGTATATAATCATGCATTGCATAAGTCTGCCAATGGGATACATTGACGTTGTGGCAGGCTTATGCAATATATGATCATATACTGTAACTAAACCCCCATTTTTTTTTTGCCTAAGTTAGGTGTTTAAAAAAAAATAAAAATAAAAATCTGTGAGCTTTGAAGTTGCAGTTTAGAGAAAGAGTGAGTGCTCTGGAATATATATATATATATATATATATATATATATATATATATATATATATATATATATATACACACACACACACACACACACACACACACAGTTAAACAAAAATCTGCACACCAGTCAAGCCACAAGACTTGCGCAATCTGCTGTGATGTTACTACCGCAAAGGATTTTGGGTTGGCATATGCAAATTAGTTCAACAAAGAATCACATTTTTGCCTCAATTCATTTTAAACATGGATTCCTTTGAGTCTCTGTTGGCTGTATACAACAGCTTTGAAACACAACTTGGGAAAACTTGGGAAGCACTACCAAGCCTCAATAAGCAAACCAGTAACCAGCCTCATGCTGATGATTTGCATTACCAATTAAACAGCTGTCCATGAGTGGTTCACTTTCTCTGCATCTTTTCCTATATTGTGTTTCAAGCTGTTGTATACAGCAAATACAGACTCAAAGGAAACCATGTTAAAAATGGAATGAGGCAAAAATGTGATATGCCAACCCAGAATCCTTTGCGGTAGTAACATCACTGCAGATTTGTGATTTCTGTGGGAAAAGCAAGTCTTATGGCTAGACTGGTGTGCAGATTTTTGTTTAACATTGTATTAACTATCCACAGACTTCAGGTGGAAGGGGGTTTCAATCACATTTTTTCCCCACCATAACCTTTTTTGAGGGCTGGAGGGGAGAGACGAACGGACACACACTTTAGAGTTTCAAATCATAAATGCTTGGAGGGAGAAGGGGGGGAAAGGAAGGGATAGATAGAGATATATATATATATATATATATATATATATATAAAATTCTATAGTCTGGACACAAATATACGGCGAAAGATAAATTACATCTATATGTAAAATACAAAAGGCTTTGTCAAGTTTGTATTTAAATTACAAATAAATATTTACCTGTATGGTTTATTGATTCAGTACGACTGATAGGGATTTCAGGTTTTGAAACTTCCACTGAACTGCTTGAAACTTCAACTGGGCATCTAGTATCAGTATTCTGTGAAATATGATAAACAAGATTACCTTACACTTAAAATGTGTACCACTGCAATAGGTTTGAGTGTTTAAAAAGGGACACAAAACTATGTTTTCCTTTTATTGATGCAAGCAAAAATTTAAACAAAATGTGTTGCAGGGGGACTTGTCTATGTACTGCAATGGTTAAAGAGTAGGGGAAAGCTCTGATTAGTAGGTTTCAAAGCACCTGCAGCCCCAGTGCTCAGAGACCTCAGAATTGGGGCACTTCTAGTTTGGTTATCTACTTATAAAAGCAGTTAGCTGACCTAAAACGCTCAGAAAGATTTGCACCATACTGCAGTCTTTGTTTACGTAATTCAGGAAAATGACAAAACAAGGCTTTAAAGTGGAACTTGTAGCTACTCCTAGAAGACATTTCCATCAATTACTCTTCCAGCCTCTCATATCAACAAGCTGGTGTGTTGGTGCTAACTTCCAGGGAGCTGCACCTGAAAGTCCAAAGACTGCCCCCTGTATAATATTGGTGCATCTTTCAGCTATGCTAAAAACAAACTTGCTAAATTTGGTGAAATTCTACAACTCTCCCTATTTTGGCCTACGTTTTGCAGAATTGTTTTCAATTCTCACTCAATTTGCATTTCTAATTTGGCTCTAAGGGCCATAATGTCAGGCAATTAGCCCATTTCAAAATTATACAAAATGTAACAATGGAATCTAGTCAATCTTGCCACTAACCATTACACAAGTACTCCATACGGTCACTGAAATTCCAGTGCAGTCAATATTCGTATTTCAAAAATATTTTATAAGAGAGTGATATTTTCATGACCTTTTCAGTTCACATTAACTTTAGTATATATAATAATAATACAATGGAAGAACAAGTGCCTAAACTAATTTCACGATTGCAAAGTTTTCCACTAAGCTAATGCCCTGAATGCAAGCAGACGTCAATGGTGTTTGACTTCAGCGATCATAAGCACACACAGAGAAGGTTCCACCACACTGCCCACAATAGACTTTGGGGTTCAGAGATCTAGGTTTTGTTTTGGTTCAGAACTTGGAAAATAGCCTCCATCCTTAAAAGGCTAAAGATGTTGTGAGTTTTTGCAATACTCCGTTCATAAGACTGGATAACATCATGGAAACTGCACTTTACATAGGGCTCATAAAAGATTGCATGCGGAGGTGCGGCGCCTGGACGCCGAGCCGTGCGGTCGCGTCTGCCATGAGCTCCTGCAGGACGGGCCATAAAAACGGGGAAAAGCTGCAGCTATATGGCACAACGACCCTCAATGGTGCACCACCCATGCCGGGGGTGCACCGTCAAACCGATAGACACCACCCCGGGGCCTGCTGGAGCCGGGAGCACAGAGATATGGCCGCGGCCTGCTGGGGCTAGAGCCGGGGGGGAGACTGCTGCTCTCCTCGGCGACGGAGCCCACAAGTGCAACCTACCCCCCCTCATGGACCGGTGGGGGATATCCCAGTCCCCGCTGGAAGACTCTACCTAAGCGGAAAGCTGACAAGCTAGCCCCACGGTACGCAATGGCAACAGACTACCAAGGCCCTGTCACCCCCCAAGGTACCACCAGAGCTGAAACCCGTCAGAGACACCACGTCGAGGGGCTCCGAAAGAGAGACTCACCAAGGCAATGACCGGGACTTCCCAATGAGGGGTATAGGCTGACATATCCACAGCATAGCCTCACTAGAGCCATACCTTACCACTATGGGTGAAGCTCTATTTGACAAGCCTATACAGCGCTCACGCTCGCAGAGGTCTGAAGGGGTTAATGCTGACTCTATCCTTTGCCTTACCTTAGCCTGACACACACCTAGCCACCACACACACCAAACACCCAGATGTCGGTCACATTGGCATATCCCATGAAGCTTAACTTGCCACACACCGGGACTTTCATGTGGAGTCATTTTTGCTCGAGTCAGACCCCAGCGGTCACCTACTTATAGCCTGATTAGCTCTTGACGCAGCAAAATAACCTCTTGTTTAGGAAGTTAAGTGATGTCACTCTATGCTCTGTTATACCAATACCTAAACAAAGTACAGCACTACTGTTTATATTCTTACATTAAAAAAAAAAAAAAAAAAAGTGCTTGTTTTACCCTGTACCTCCATGTTATACTGTTCATAATGTGCTAGAGGATTGCCTTTGGGGTACCTCTCAAGCAACTGTTATACGCTTATGCACTATAAAAGAAAAAAATAAATTGCATGCGTGCACACTCAAGCACATACAATAAAAAATAAATTTACAAAAAAACAACTAGAAAGTATTTGGACATACATAAATTAGTGCACATACAGGATGAGCATGTACATCCACAAAAACCCACTGTCACATTTCATATAATGATATTACACACAGACACTCACATGTAAAATATGTGTATTTCTAAGAGATTGACTGTTTTATGTTAAAAGTGGCTTTTATATCTAAATTAAATGATGACAATTATTATTGATGGTCAAGTATTAATAGAATGGAGAAAAAGGCCTTACTTCTGTCTTTTGCACAGGGTTCTTCAAGGCCTGGGCTGCCCATCAAAAAGAAATTAAAAAAAACACACAAAAAAAAAAAAAACATCATTACAAAACAAGAGAATTCAAAGAATCATTTAGGATATCCTACTCAAGTTTTTCCTCCATTAACAAGGGAAGGGAGACCCAGGACCGTAAGACAAGCCCAACACAATGTAAAGATCAACAGCAGCACACAAATATGCCACAGAATAACACACAACACAAGAATAAAACGCACGAGACGGAGAACTAAAGGGTTCTGGTAAACCCGCTCACACCGGAAAATCGGATGATATCAGACAAAGACAGAAGCCCAGAAGGTAGGGGGCTACCGACGCCAGGCGACTGCGCCAATACACGGATAGAACACAGCGAACCATGTGATAGGGACTCCCATAGCACAATGTGATAGCCCTAACCCCACGGTAAAAGAAACATCCCACGATACCAGGGAATGCAAAACAGAGGGGGGGGGGAGAAAAAAGGGGGGAGGAGGAGGAGGGAAGAAGGGAAAGGAGAGGAAAGGAGAAGGAAAAGGAATGGGAAGGGAAGGATGGGAGGAAGGGAACTATAGGATGGAGGGGAAGCGGGGAGGGAAGGAGAGAAAAAGGGAAAAGAAACAAAGGAGATACGGAATTTATAGACACATGAGGATAATAAAGCCTACAAGTCTCAAGGAATACTGTGTAAATGTCAAATATTAAACTAAATGTTACTGTACATGAGACCTGCGTGTCTCCCGACTCACTACTGCATGTTTGATTGTATATGCTACAGCAAAACTTCAAAAATAAACACATATTTACAAAAAAAAAAAAGTTTTTCCTCCATAAGGTTCTATATTAACAATAAAAGAAAAAAAAACACAACCTATTTTGTTTTCTCCCCCCCTCCTATAATTGCTTACGCTTCATTTAAGAAGATGGACTGGATTTAAATAAAACCTCTCTTGTAAAGTGTTTTGATGGAATAAAAATGAATCAGATTAGAACATGCAAAATCCAATCAAATATGTAGTGTTTTCACTTTTCAAAAGAAACTGAATTTGAAAAACTGACTTTCAAAAGCTGAAGCTTTTAGTAAACAGACTTTGCTCACCTTTGTAGCTCTACGCAACTGTTCCTTCTCATATTCTTCCTTTGATATCCTGAGAAGCACAAATCAAAGGATTAGTATATTATACATGATCTATGACATCATTTAACCACAAATTTCAAAAATTCCATGCTATTTTTCCATAAATGGGAATTATACCACTGCATGCCATTTACACTGGAGCTGGTACATAAGCTCCTTCATATGTGAGTGGGCACTTTTATGTTGTGTTGTATGTCCTCCATAAAGCAAGATATACTACACTATTGGTCCTCCTCTCTATTCTCGTTTATACACCCAGAGAAATACCTCCCAGCTATATAAGGAGCAAGATTGCCTAGCAACCAGTGGAAATGTTTTGACTGTCGCTTTGACATTTTCATAAGTTTCACTGCAGTAAAGTGACACCATATCATTATCCTGACTTTGCTCAAATTCTGACATTTATATGATGGCATATGCCCCTGAGCAGAAATAAAACATTTCTACATATCTGGGTCAAAGCAAACCATTTAACGTCTCTCTCCCCCCCCCCCCATTTATATTTACGTGTATGGCTAAATTAACCTAAATACACAAACCAACCATCCAAACCCTTAAACACCACCCTAGCCCAGTGTCCTAAGTAACTAGTGATTGCATGCTTAAGGGGTGCCTTCATTACGCTATTTCCTCAACGATTCCACCAGCAAGAGGTTAAGAGGCTCAGTTCTGAGCTGAACATCTTTGCAGGAATAAAAGCTCGTCACAATAATATTGTAACCATTCTTACCTTAATGCTTCAGTTATTAGCTTATTCTCCTGTTCTTCTAGATCAGAAATGACATCTGCACCATCCTGCAAACAGTCAGGAAGCACACCTACACATTAAAGAATACAAATTTTGAGGAACCCAACAAAATGAATAGCTTAAGATATTATGTAGTAGACAATGCATTAAGAAATATATTAAGAAAAATTCAAACCTTCATACTACAACAGCCATAAAATGTTGCTCTGCACATTTGGGATAAGTTCTTCAGTGCTGTAGAATGTTAAGCAAGCATGATTGGGACAGCCCGTTCTTAGTTTGGTGACAGCTTAGTGCAAAAACAAAGATAAAGCAGTGCTTTATGTGCAAAGCAACATGTTATGGGAGCTGTAGTTTAATTTTCAGCTTTTATAGAATTAAAATATACAGGATTTGCCTATTAAGTATTTAAAGGGCCACTATAGGCACCCAGACCACTTCAGCTCAATGAAGTGGTCTGGGTGCCATGTCCATCTAGGGTTAACCCTGCCTGCTGTAAAGATAGCAGTTTCAGAGAAACTGCTATGTTTACATGTGGGTTAATCCAGCCTCTAGTGGCTGTCTCATTGACAGCCGCTAGCGGCGCTTCCGCGCTTCTCACTGTGATTTTCACTGTGAGATGACGCCAGCATCCATAGGAAAGCATTGAGAAATGCTTTCCTATGGACTGATTGAATGCACGTGCGGCTGTTGCCGCGCATGCGCATTCAGCCAATGACGTCGAAAGGAGGAGGAGAGTCCCCATTGCCGAGGGAGACCGGTGCTGGAGAAAGGTAAGAATTTAACCCCTTCCTCCCCCTTCAGCCTGTCGGGAGGGGGGACACACCTATTAACACTATAGTGCCAGGAAAACAAGTTTTTTTTCCTGGCACTATAGTGGTCCTTTAATGCAAGACACAGCTCTTCATTTCAACAAATGCTCAAAACAAACTCATATCAAGACTGTACTCTGATGGGGAAAATGCTTCTTCTGAACAAAAATGTAAATGAGAAAACCAGCTAATTTTACAATGAAAGCCATGTGTGTAAATAATTGTAAAAGTAAACGTGCATGTAAATACAGAAAAGTAAAATTGCTGTTACCATTTCTCTCTTGTATAATTTTAATAGCTTGCAATTGTAGTTCAATGTTTTTCTGTACCATCATAGCTTTAAATACTGTAAAATCTTCAACAGCATATACAGGCTGTAAAAAAGTCTAAAAATTAAGAAATACAAATTATTGATATTTTGCATGCCAAGGTCTGCGTACATGTTCCTTCTCTATAGACATTGGCTCTTTGATTAATGTATGTCCTGCAAAAATATATTTGGAGTGTTTCCAATTCTAGCAGTTGTGTCTAAAACGTAGATCTCAGGCTATTCCACATCTTTAGCTCCTATCATTTTTTTGCCCATCTTAAACACAGATCATGGAAGATATAATTGCTTGGGATCTAACATTTAGTCAATGCTGACCTACACTAAAGAGTATGTTTTCAAAGAGCTATGAAGTAAAACAATAAAAACAAAACACAGTTATAGTAAGCCATTCATATAATGATTAATGGATGTTTGCTAGGAGTAGAATTAAAATGTAATCCATATAGCAGGCTATATACATATTATATCGTCTGCTGTTCTAGTCATTAAGCTGGATGAGCTCAGTGCTATTCTAGAAACACATTGCCATCACGCTCACTGAAATGTTGGGAGTTATGTCTATATTGATGACATACAGATATAGATGAAAATACTGTTTTTAAGGTATGAACCACGAAAAATAAAAGTGTCTCGGTGTGATTACAAAAAAAGAGTAGCAGTTTGCAAAGTTTCATACAATTATACATAAAAAGCAAGCATTCCAATTAACAAAGCATTAGTTTCATTTTCAAATACCACAGAATAAAAACCATGTCACCACAACCCCAAATATTTTTTAAATCTATACATACATAATAGAAATTTTTTTACATTACATAATTTTATTTGAACTAAACCATTAAAGTACTTGAGACCGTTACATAACCGTCAAACCATAGACGTTAATTCCCGTAAGGTTAGTAGAGTCAAATGACTCTTAATCTGCTTTATCCTTAAAAAGATTGTCGGCATGGATTTGTGCTAAGAGCAAGTACTGAGCCGTGGTTTACACCTTTGCAACAAATCCTTCACTTTAAAAACAAAAAACAAAAAAACAAACACGGTGTGACATTTTTATATAAATCATTACGTAAAAAGCATAGAACATTTATAGATTTTTTTAAAAATGATTAGTTCGATTTCTGTGTGTTTTTACATTTATTTTATTAATGAACTACCTAGAATATGTGTGTGCATTATCAGGCAGATGTAACACTGCACTGCATTCTCTTTTAGCGGATAATCATCTCAATTGTGATAAATCTATCACTTTAACCTCATTAAACTGGTACAAAATTTCACATCAATTTACATAGATATAATCATGTATGCCTTCTTAAACAAAAAGAATGCAACCTGGACTTCTGGGGATCGAGTAAGTGGAGAAGCACACGCTTGCTGAAATTGATCTTCATTAATGCCAACTTCATTCAGATGACACTCGAGAAGCTTTTCCACCTGAAGGACAATTGACACTTTACTTTTAAACAAGAGGAAATTTGCAGTTCTTAACATTATGAAAAAAAAAAAAAAAAAAACCACCTTTAGAGACATGAAAACATTGTGTTAATCCATGTAATTCTTAATAAGTTTCATAATCAAAATACTGTAACAAAACTAATTTCTTGAAAGCAATACTGGTAAAAGGAGATATTTCCCATGTAACACTGTTGCAATGTTTACTTAAGTTATTTATTCAGAGGAGGCAAATAAAAATAAAAGTTCAACATGAGCATTTCAAAATTAAATGTATGTCACTGTAGAATGTTACTGCATTCTACACCACTTCTACTTTTTGTATAATATCCTAGAATACATACAGCAAGTAAACTCTTCATGGGACACCTGGGATAGTCTGATGACTACACAAATAATTTGCAGCAAAGGAGTGATAATGCATTATAGAAATATTTGCCCATGAAACAAATACAATATAGAGTCTCTTATATGCTGCTCACTTAAATTCAGTGTACAATTAAGGAAAGTTTATTCATACTTACCGTAATTTTCTTTTCCTGGCTAGAATTCATTGCAGTATTTAACATATGGGTTAGCTCCTCCCCCAACCAATAGGACAAGAATACCAATTAAAGAATTCAATTAATCCATTAACCTTTAGGTATAAGCGATCCAAGAATCCTTGGTTCCCCAGTCTAGTAGCAAGCTAATCCAATTTAATTTAAGGGTGGGAAACCCAAATGCTGCCATGAATAGCCAGGAAAAGAACAATTACGGTAAGAATGAATAAATTGTTCTTATTCCTGGCTAATCATGTCAGCATTTAACATATGGGGGATACCCAAGCAGTAAACAGCACAGGGAGGGAATACATGCCCATGATCTTTGTTTGTTTTGAGAATAACAAGAATTTAAGACTGAAAGACCAAATTGCTTATCAGGATCTGAGGAAACATCCAGTCGATAATGAATAAGTATTTTCAGAGAAGACCAATTAGTTGCTTTGCAGATGCTCACTGGTGAAACTCCATACTTTGCAGCCCATGAAGTGGCAATAGATCTGGTAAAGTGTGCACACATATACCTTTTGGAACCGGAATACCTTGAATCTTATACACTCTTGAAATAGTAGAGAGACTCTCCAGGAGCGGAGAGTAGGCACAGAGGCAACTTCACCTTTACGGGAACCCCAAGGAATAACAAAGAATTGTGGAGACTTTCTCCATGGCTTGGTTAGTTGGATATAGACTAAAAGGCACCTCTTGAGGTACAGCGTGTGAAACCTTTCTTCCTCAGAATTAGATGGGTTCTGAAAGTAGACTGGAAGAACAATCTCCTGGTTTAGGAGATATGGAGAGACTACATTATGCAGAAATTCTGGTCTGGAACAGAGAATGACCTTGTCATGAGAGAATGTGGTAAAAGGTTCTTATACTGAAAGTCCTCTTATGTCTGCCATCCTTCTAGCAGATACTAATTCTAAAAGAAGTATAGTCTTCTGTGTAAGGGATAACATGAAAAAAAAATTTCCAGTAGTTCGTATGGATGTTCCATCAAGGCCTGTAAAACCAAAGGCAAATCCCAGGGACATGTAAAGGCCCGTATTAGTGGTCTAATCCTGATTACTGCTTTCATAAAGCAGATCACCATGGGGTTTTCTGCCCATCTGATGCCTGAAATGGCAGAGATAGCGGAAAAATGAACCTTAAGGCTGTTCAGACCTAGGCCTCTATCCAAACCCGCCTGTAAAAAACCCAAATACCTGGGAAAGGGAAGGAGATTTTAGATATCTTAATATGTGGAGGAAGTAGAAGTATTTCTGATGCATAGTAAGGTGGAAACCACTTCCTCTGGAAATCCCCGTTCCCTTAAGGATTTCCTTTCAAGAGCCAGGCATGAAGACACAGTTTGTGGGGCTCTAGATGAACTAGAGGTCCTTGAGACAGAAGATTCCTGGACACTGGAAATTACCATGGATTGTCTATCATTAGGCTCTTTAAGAGTGGAAACCATGGGCATAAGGGCCAGAATGGAATGATATTATCTTGCACTGTTCTTTGGAGATTCTCCTCAGAATTGGTGGAAATACATACACCAGATGAAATGGCCATTTCGCTGAGAGGGCATCTTGTGCTAATGCCTGCGGATGAAATCTCCTTGACATGAAGCATGGAAGATGAGAATTCTGAGCCGTGGCCATTAGGTCCACTTGTGGAAGCCCCCCCACCCCCCACCCCTCCTTCAGGACCAGTTGCTGAAAGACTTGTTTGGAGAGTTGCTATTATGTCTTCCTCATCTGATGTCTGCTCGGAAAGTATTTCTGCAAAGAGCGGAGGTTCCACTGAGCCCATCTGACTAGGCCTATTGTGGATGAAAGGGAGCCTATGATCCTCAAACTTCCTTGCTGTGGCCGACATCTTAGCTTGGAATTCTTGGATGCGTGAGAGAAGATTCAATTTTCTGTCATGAGCCAGAGAAACCACTGCTGATATGGTGTTGAAGTTGGCTCCTAAAAAGACCATTTACCTGGAAGGAAGAAGTTGACTTTTCTGATACTTGATCAACCAGTCAAAACGTTCTAGAGTCTGTAGCACTATTACGCGATGTGTCAGTAGTATCTCATACTCTGGAGCGACTATCAGAGTATTGTCGAGATAATGGAATATGACATTCCCTTCTTTCTAAGTAACGCAATAACAGTTACCAGTACCTTTGAGAAGGTCCATGGGGCTGTGCTGATCCCAAATGGCACTGCTTGAAACGGGAAATGTTGTTCATCTATTCAAATCTGAGGAATCTCTGGTGATGAAGCGCTATCGGAATATGGAAGTATGCATCTTTGAGATCCAGTGATATCAGCCAGTCTCTTTGATGTACCACCAGTATAATAGAGCAAAGAGACTCCATTCGGAATTTCTTTATCCTCAGATGTACATTGAGCTGGTCAAGGTCTAGAATGAGTCTCCATTTTCACTCTGGCTTCTTCACCAGGAAGAGAGGTGAATAGAAACCTCAAACTTTTTGTCGTTCTGGTACAATCACCTGATGCTATAGAAGGTCTCCTGTGTACTGAATCAAAGCCTTCCTTTTCACAGGATTCAGGGGTAGGGATCGACCGATATTGATTTTTTAGAGCCGATACCGATACCGATATTCTGTGAACTTTCAGGCCGATAGCCGATATAATTTGCCGATATTCTGTACATTTACCATTTTGGAAAATAAAAACTATTTCTAAAGGTAAATGCACAAAATATACATGCCACGTGTAGTGGATGCAGTGTGACAGGGGAGCTGTGTGTGTGTGTAGTGGATGCAGTGTGTGTCTTTGTGTAGTGTGTGTGTAGTGGATGCAGTGTGTGTCTTTGTGTAGTGTGTGTGTGTGTAGTGGATGCAGTGTGTGTTTGTGTAGTGTGTGGGTTGTGGATGCAGTGTGTGTTTGTGTAGTGTGTGTGGAGGATGCAATGTGTGTTTGTTTAGTGGATGCAGTGTGTATTTGTTTAGTGTGTGTAGTGGATGCAGTGTGTATTAGTGTAGTGTGTATATAATGAAAGCAGAGTGTTTGTGTAGTGTGTGGGTAGTGTGCGTAAAGTGAATGCTGTATATACTAAATGCAAAGTGTGTGTGTATATAATGAATGCAGAGTGTGTGTGTGTATTTGTGTAGTGTGTGTATAGTGAATGTAGTGTGTGTTTGTATAGTGTGTGTATATAATGCAGTGTGTTTGTATAGTGTGCATTATATAAACACACTACGCAAATACACTGCATTATATACACACACTATGCAAACACACTGCATTATATACACACACTACACACACAAACACTGCATTATATAAACACTACACAAACACACACACTGCATTATATACACACTGCACAAACACACACTGAATTATATAAACACACTACACAAATACACTGCATTATATACACACACTACACAAATACACTGCATTATATACACACACTACACAAATACACTGCATTATATACACACACTACACAAATACACTGCATTATATACACACACTACACAAACACACTGCATTATATACACAGTGTGTTTGTATAGTGTGTGTATATAATGCAGTTTGTGTGTGTTTGTATAGTGTGTGTATATAATGCAGTGTATTTGTGTGCATTGTATACAAACACACACTACACAAACACACACTGCATTATATACACAGTGTGTTTGTATAGTGTGTGTATATAATGCAGTTTGTGTGTGTTTGTATAGTGTGTGTATATAATGCAGTGTATTTGTGTGCATTGTATACAAACACACACTACACAAACACACACTGCATTATATACACAGTGTGTTTGTATAGTGTGTGTATATAATGCAGTTTGTGTGTGTATATAATGCAGTTTGTGTGTGTTTGTATAGTGTGTGTATATAATGCAGTTTGTGTGTGTTTGTATAGTGTGTGTATATAATGCAGTTTGTGTGTGTTTGTATAGTGTGTGTATATAATGCAGTGTATTTGTGTGCATTGTATACAAACACACACTATACAAACACACACTGCATTATATACACAGTGTGTTTGTGTAGTGTCTGTGTATATAATGGATTGTGTGAGGGGGAATTTTTTATTAAATTATTTTTTTATATATATATTTAATTATTATTTTTTGTCCCCCCTCCCTGCTTGTTACCTGGCCAGGGAGGGGGGATATGACAGTTCCTGGTGGTCCAGTGGTATTGGCTGAGCTGGGGGGGCGGAGCAAGCGCTTACTCACCTCCCAGCAGCTCCTCCAGCTCCCCAGTGCAACTCTCGCGGCCAGCGTGTCGCGCGGAGCGTTGCCATGGTGATCCATGGCAACGCTCTGACGGCCGCGGGTCTCGCGAGAGTTGCACTGGGGAGCTGCTGGGAGGTGAGTAAGCGCTTGATCTCCGCCCCCCCAGGACCGCCGGGCTTGTAATGAGCCTGGCGGTCCTAGGAGGTATTATCGGCAATATCGGTATCTGAATTGGCCGATACCGATATTGCCGAAAATACCGAATATCGGCCGATTATATCGGTAAAACCGATAATCGGTCGATCCCTATTCAGGGGTAAACTTGTTTTTATAAATCTTGATCGGGGAATGTCCATAAATTCCAGAGAATAGCCTTCTGTAATAATTGACCTTACTCATCTGTCTAGGATCTCTGCCCAGACCCTTTGGAAATGAATAAGTCTTGCTCCCACCAAAGGTGTCTGGGTGTCGTAACCTTCAGAATTGTTTATAAGAACGAAAGGAAACTGGTTTGACCATTTCTCCAAGTGGCTGGTCTGTAGTATTCTTGACCAGGTCTGTCTGCCTTACTCTCTCTATAGGCAGGGTGTTCTCTACAAGAGAGACGTTCTACTGGCGGTCTTCTTGGTCTTCTATCTTGTGGAAGGAATACTTGCTTGATGTCCAATACCTTTTTGATAGCTTCTTCAGGGGGTTTGCCAAATAACACCTCTGCTGCCGAGAACCTTCTACATGACTTTGATCATGTCTGTGGACACTTCTAAAAGCCATTCGCTGGCTAATCTGACCTTCCTTAATGAATCTGCAATATATTGTCTTTTAACACTTTTATCAAAATCCTCTTTAATGTCCAGGATCCATAATCTTAGGGCTCTGGACATGGCAGAAATAAAAACTGCAGGAGGACATCCTGTACTAGCTGCTAAAAAACACAGTGGTCTGCAACTATTCTTTTTTCCATTGGGTCCCTAAAGGAAGCATTACAATCAATAGGAAGGATAGAGCGCTTAGCCACTTTGATAAATGAGGCATCCACCTTAGGATTAGAGGTCCACAGCCTGGAGTCCTCTTCTCAGATGGGGTATAGCATAGGAAGTCTGCTTTGAAAAGAAAATCTTTTTTTCTGGTTTATTCCACTCATTGCTTATAAAGATCCTTAATGGATTTATGCACCGGAAAGGAAGGTTTATTTCTATTGAGATCCCCGAAATGTCAGTCCACGGCTGAGGTTTCTAGGACCTCATCAGGTAATTCCAGCGTTCTTCTTACCACAGTAATCAAATGTTCTATAGCCTTGGAGTCTAGCAGACAGGAATATTTATCTTCACTAGAAAACATCTGTTCTAAATCCAAGTATCCTGAATCTTGTCCAAATTCATCCTCTAATGAATCAGGATCTACTTGGAGATATTCACATCTAGGACGCTTGCCTCTGTGTGATTCTGCTACTGCCCGTTTGATCCACGAGGCTATATCCTGGGCTGAGGTAGAAGCTTGGGGAGATTGTTGGAACTCCAATTCCGAAACCCGTGCTAAGAGCCTGCAGTTTTCCAATGGTCTTGAGCCACATCTAGCGCAGGCTGCCGGCTTATCCCTTCTCCACAAGTGGACCTAATGGCCACGGCTCAGAATTCTCATCTTCCATGCTTCCTGTCAAGGAGATTTCATCCGCAGGCATTAGCACAAGATGCCCTCTCAGGGAAATGGCCATTTCATCTGGTGTATGTATTTCCACCAATTCTGAGGAGATCTAGGGCTGGGCCGGTCTTGAGGACTGTGAATACAGAAGTCAAGAGACTGTACCCTGTAGTGTACACTTTTTATTATAGCAGCTTAATAGGGGTTAAAAAAATCAGAATGATGCTCACCTATGGCTTATTGCTGCAGACTTTGCTGAAGTTGGAGAATGATCCATCATTAAAAAGGAAAACAGGCTAAAATAAATTTAAATTAATCTGGAGGAATGTTAGAAATTCAGAGAGAATTCACTTGATGAAAAAAAACAAAAACAAAAAAAATCCTTGTACCTGTATAGATATTGAGATTTGAATCACAGAGAGCACTTCCAGCATCAGAGATGTGTAATCCTATACTGCCACTTTAATTTTGTGGCAAAACACCAAAATTGCTCCTTTAAATATTTTTGGCGCACAGCGTCTTTAATTATTCATGCGTGCGCGATTAGCCACGAGCAACCTTAACCGCCATATTATCTCCTAGCAGGAATCGGGCTACTTGTGCAATTCCTCCAATGCGCATGCGTCGGTGTCCGGGTCCTGACGAGGAAGAATGGCGCCAAATACATATACCACATACCTGCAGGGCTTGCTAATTGCCAGTATTTCCTTACTTGCCAGAGGGTAACTAACTTCTTCAGCTCCCAGGGGTCCCCAGCTACTTGTGCCTGGTCTTCCTACAGAGAGAGGCTGACCTCTGGGGGAAAGGGCTATAGTAATAGCCAGGTGAGCATAAAATAAAAACCTTTTGTATTGAATACAAGCTGTCCTGTCTGGCTAGGAGGACAGAAAAAAAAAAAAAAAGACTGTGGAACCAAGGATTCTAGGATCTCTTATACCTAAAGGTTAATGGATTAATTGAATTATTTAATTGGTATTCCTGTCATATTGGCTGGGGGAGGAGCTAACCCATGTTATATGCTGCCATGATTAACCAGGAACACACATTTACTAGATGTACGTTAAAAGAAATAATACTTACCAGCTCTTTGTACTCATGGTGAATCTCTGTGAATGATAGTTTATTCTCTTCATCGTCATCAAAAACTGCAAATAATGATATTCTTAATGAGCAAACTAAAATATCATATGTTAATGAATATTTTTTTATTTTTTTTTAACAAGATATAATTTCAAGTTTACCCCTGACCATCTTGTCCCAAGTTCCCATCAAAAACTTTTACATTGTAAGATTACAAGCTAGCTATATTAAAGGGACTCTCCAGTGCCAGGAAAACAATCTGTTTTCCTGGCACTGCAGGTCCCCTCTCTCTCCCACCATTCCCGGTTGCTGACGGGGTGAAAACCGCTCCAGTGACTCACCTCAGACCCCCACCAATGTCCCTTAGCGGTGGTTTCAGGTCGCCGCCGCTCCTCCCCTTCATCACGTCAGCCGGCGGGGAGAGTGATCCCGCTGCCGGCTGAGGAGACCTAATGCGCATGCGAGGCAATGCTGCACATGCACATTAGAGCTCTCCATAGGAAAGCATTGAAAATGCTTTTCAATGTTTTCCTATGGGGAATTGAGCGACGCTGGAGGTCCTTAGTGACGCTCTAGCAAAGAAAACCTGTGCTATGAAGCAGGAAGTGCCCTCTAGTGGCTGTCTACTAGACAGCCACTAGAGGACGAGTTAATCCTGCAAGGTAATTATTGCAGTTTATGAAAACTGCAATAATTACAGTTGCAGGGTTAAGGGTAGTGGGAGTTGGCACCCAGACCACTCCAATGGGCAGAAGTGGTCTGGGTGCCTGGAGTATCCCTCTAAGTAATTTGTATAAAATGGCTGTTAATGCTAAATCTAGGCTCAAATAGGGTCCTCTGCTCTTTTTGTATTGGTTTCTCTACACGATATGGTCTATATTCCACAAATGTAGAATTACCAATAACAGGCATTAACATTTCCACTAGATATTGGGGGGTGAAAATTATAATTAGTTATAGTTCTGCAGCACTGTACGATAGGTGTACCAAAACAAACCGTTCTAAATCACGTTTGACATACGGGCAAATAATTTAAAATCCATGAAATCCCTGTCTCTGCTGAACAAAACATATACAATTCTACACATTAGTTGTTTTAAAACTACAATGTACCATGTAACCTTTTAACTTGTTGAGTAAACAGCAATTTACTAATGTTTGGCACTCCAGCTGTTATGGATTATCTCTGCAATGTAAACTCATTTGAGTAAGGTCTTCATCAACCTATTTTGTTTAACAATTTTTAATTGTCTCATTTATTGTTGTTAAATGTACTTCATGTTTTTGTAAAATGCTGCGGAATAAGTAAACGCCATATGAACAATATTAATAACGTGCCCCATGATGAAAGCACTGTGTAGCTAAGCATCATGGGAAATCTTCACACTTGGACTGACAGAGGGTTTTGAAATCTGATCCCTGCAGCTGAAGAGCTACAGATCCCCCTTTTACCTGGACCCCAATCACTGCCCTCTCTCCTGTACCCATTTATCTGGACCCCATCACTGCCCTCTGCTCCCAGTTATCTGAACCCCCCTCTGCCAGGTTTTCTGGACCCCCATCACTGTCCTTACCTTTGCTTCCAGTTTTCTAGAGCCTCATCACTGCCCCCGCTCTGCTCTCAGTTATTAGAACCCCTCTCTCTGCTCCCAGTTATAAGGACCCCATCACTGCCCTCCCCTCTGCTCCAAGTTATTTGGACCCCATCACTGCCCTTTTCTCTGCTCCATGTTATTTGGACCCCATCACTGCCCTTCTTCTCTGCTCCAGTTATTAGGACCCCATCACTGCCCTCTCTCTGCTCCCAGTTATTAGGACTCCCATCACTGCCCTCTCTCTGCTCCCAGTTATTAAGACTCCCATCACTGCCCTCTCTCTGCTCCCAGTTATTAGGACTCCCATCACTGCCCTCTCTCTGCTCCCAGTTATTAGGACTCCCATCACTGCCCTCTCTCTCTGCTCCCAGGTATTAGGACTCCCATCACTGCCCTCTCTCTCTGCTCCCAGGTATTAGGACTCCCATCACTGCCCTCTCTCTCTGCTCCCAGGTATTAGGACTCCCATCACTGCCCTCTCTCTGCTCCCAGGTATTAGGACTCCCATCACTGCCCTCTCTCTGCTCCCAGGTATTAGGACTCCCATCACTGCCCTCTCTCTCTGCTCCCAGATTAGGACTCCCATCACTGCCCTCTCTCTGCTCCCAGGTATTAGGACTCCCATCACTGCCCTCTCTCTCTGCTCCCAGGTATTAGGACTCCCATCACTGCCCTCTCTCTGCTCCCAGGTATTAGGACTCCCATCACTGCCCTCTCTCTGCTCCCAGTTATTAGGACTCCCATCACTGCCCTCTCTCTGCTCCCAGTTATTAGGACTCCCATCACTGCCCTCTCTCTGCTCCCATTAGGACTCCCATCACTGCCCTCTCTCTGCTCCCAGGTATTAGGACTCCCATCACTGCCCTCTCTCTGCTCCCAGTTATTAGGACTCCCATCACTGCCCTCTCTCTGCTCCCAGGTATTAGGACTCCCATCACTGCCCTCTCTCTGCTCCCAGGTATTAGGACTCCCATCACTGCCCTCTCTCTGCTCCCAGGTATTAGGACTCCCATCACTGCCCTCTCTCTCTGCTCCCAGGTATTAGGACTCCCATCACTGCCCTCTCTCTGTGCTCCCAGGTATTAGGACTCCCATCACTGCCCTCTCTCTGCTCCCAGGTATTAGGACTCCCATCACTGCCCTCTCTGTGCTCCCAGGTATTAGGACTCCCATCACTGCCCTCTCTCTCTGCTCCCAGTTATTAGGACTCCCATCACTGCCCTCTCTCTGCTCCCAGGTATTAGGACTCCCATCACTGCCCTCTCTCTGCTCCCAGGTATTAGGACTCCCATCACTGCCCTCTCTGTGCTCCCAGGTATTAGGACTCCCATCACTGCCCTCTCTCTGTGCTCCTAGGTATTAGGACTCCCATCACTGCCCTCTCTCTGTGCTCCCAGGTATTAGGACTCCCATCACTGCCCCCCTGTGTGTGTGTGGTTCAGCCCATGCAGTGATTTGCTCTGCCCACACCTGAGCATCTCTGCTCCACGAACTCCGTCACGGCCGCCGTCCACGCTGGGCCGCCCAGGAAACCCAGCAAACTCTCCAGCACCCATTCAGCATCCTCGGCCATACTGGGCAACGCTACGACCAACTCGAGCCAGCCGGCAGAGCCCCTCCTCCCTCCACAGAGACAGACAGACAGACAGACAGACAGACAGACTGACTGACTGACTGACGGCGACTCGCACGGAGCGCCGAGAGCCCCGGATGAAGACGGGTCTCCTCGAGAGCGCGCAGGCCGAGGAATGCAAGCGTATCCATGGTCACAGACGTCACAGCGATCGCAGTATAGCCACCCGCGGCCGCGCGCACAACCACCCGCACGGCGCGCGTCACAGCTTGGCTTTCCTTCCACATGCTGCCCCGAGGCTCTCACCTTATAATTAGACTAGAGAAAGAAAAATAACAAACAGGAATAGAAGCGGCCTGCTCAGGGCAAGCCGTGTATCAGAGACTGTCTGTGGCTTGGTGTTACTTTATGGATAGTATGCATACAGTAGTCAGGGTTAGACAGCTTTTAACAGACAGTCCAGGCAATTCTCTATTAGAGGGTGTTATTTATACACACAGTCCTGGTTCATGTGGACATTTTATGTTGCCAAACCCCCTGCCTGTTTTTTTTAATTAAATTATTATTATTTATAAAGCACCAACATATTTATTTATTACTGGCATTTATATATATATATATATACACCAGCACACAAAAGAGAAACAAAAACACAATCTAAGAAGCAAAAAATAACAGAAGGAAAAAACATACACCAATCTTAAAAACTACCAATTCATCATGAGAGAATATATTGCCTTATAATTGGCATAGCTAGGATATCTGTACCATAGTTACTCTACCCAATTTCTGTATACTGTACCCCATAAAATAGGATTACAATTAATATTCATCTCCTTTAATTTTCCTATCCAACCCTGAATATATTTACTATTTGTCTAGATGTCTTATTAACCCCTTGAGGACCAAGCTTCTGGAATAAAAGGGAATCATGACTTGTCACACGTCATGTGTCCTTGAGGGGTTAAGCTACTTAAGTCCTCCTTCCATTTCACTCTGAAATAGAATGCGACTCTTCAAGTTTGGCCCAGTTATTGTGACATTTAGTTTCCAATGTTCAGCTTGGAGCTGTTTTGTGGCAACAAAAAAATGAGTTGCTATAAGTGCTTCTTTTTCCGTTAAGTCTGGCCATTTTGAGTGTAAAATTCCTATTTCTGTTTTTTTTTGTTTTTTTTCCTATCTTAAAGTTTGGCAAGACCTGTAATTTATCAAATGCAATATTCCATAGATTTTCTGCGACTTTACAAACCTACCACATGTGTAAATAATCTCCTCCCTCCTTATTGCATCGCCAGCACTTACTGTTGCTATTGTGGGAGAATTTAGCTGCTTTTATTGGGGCCAAATAACAAAAGTTTATCAATTTATACTGATTTTAGATAATATTTACACAATGGATATCTCTATTGTACCTCTTTATGGCCTTAAACCATTCTTCTTTATTTATGTCAATATGTAGTAGCACTGGATATTCTTATAATTTTCCTCGCGGTGTAGAAGGACTATTAATGAAAATGCTTTTGACATGACTTTAGGGACAGATTGTTCACAAAATATTACTCAGTAATCTCATTATTTGCTCATCGATCTCTAACATGGCCTTCTGTAAGAAGCCCTTCACTCATAAGAACGTAAAGATTGTAGGTATTTCCAATTCATAGAAAGGGAGGTACATGTCGGCAAGGGATCTTCCTCTTGCTTTATTGTCTTGTATTCTTAATCAAATGCCCCCTTATTAATACTTTGTATGCAATCCATCTAATTCCCGGGGTCGCTTCCTTATTCTCCTGAAAATAAAAATGTAATTTGATTTATATATTCCCTATTTTTATCACTGCTCAATAGTGCCTCATTCAGTCTCCAGTGCCTTCTATCCCTTTTCAAATCATTCGGATCAATATACCATTTTTATGTGAATTTTCTTGACATAATTGACTATCATGATGTTACCAACAAGCATATCAATCCTTGCATAGGAACAGTGTCTATACGAGAAATTAGTAAAATCGTGAATGAAATAATCTCCATCATATAAGGCCGCCTGTTTGAGGAGTTGAGAGCTCTCCGGAGCAGTGCTACATCCATATGTTCACCCGGAGGAATGCTCTTATCCCAAGAGGTATCCATGACACAATTATAATCTCCTGCAATTATTAGTCTGCCCATTGATATCTTTTCTATTTTTTTTTTAATTATAGCTCTTACAAAGGCCATCTTACCAATATTAGGGGCGTATATGTTGACTAAGGTATATGACTCATTATTTAATTTGTATATCATTATGATATATTGTGCCACATCGCACTCTTAAATAAACAATTTCATGTTCTATCTTTCCCTATCCATATTACAACTCCTCTTTTTTTCTCTTTTTCTAAAGAAACCTTAATCACTACAGCTGTTTGTTTACCCAAATTACATTCTCTATTTGACTCAATCCAATGGGTCTCTTGCAAAAAAACATACTTGTATTTTCTCTTCTTTTATCATCTCTATAAGGGCTGGTCTTTTTTGAGGACTATTGAGACCTTGGGTATTTAGTGTAAGCATCCTAACCATACTTCATCTGATTTATTTTTATTTCTCTCCTGATGACTGGTGTAAACAATACAATACATAAAACCTCATTGGGTCTACTAAAAACCCAATCTCATTCCCCACAGTCCATGTCACCCCACATGGACTCTCAGCATGTTCTCCCCACATGCTAGAGATAGAACTAAAGCTACAACCTGTAGCAACTCTATTTTAGTAGTCGCAGTGGGAGGGAGCTTGACCGGTGTGAGTCTCTTACTTAAAGTTAAAGGAGCACTATAGTGCCCGGAAAACAAACTTGTTTTCCTGGCACTATAGGGCCATTAGGTCCCCTCCACCCTCAGGGCCCCCCTCCCACTGGACTGAAGGGGTTAAAAGGGAATCATGACATGTCAAACCTCTTCAGCCACTTACCTTTCTCAAGCGCTGGGCTCCCTCTGTGCTGGGGAACTCTCTCAGATCCGCATGTGCGGCAAGAGCCGCACACACATTCAAACAGCCAATATGAAAGCATTACTCAATGATTTCCTATGGACGTCCAGCATCTTCTCACTGTGATTTTTACAGTGAGAATCGCGGAAGCGCCTCTAGCGGCTGTTAGTTAGACAGCCACTAGAGGCTGGATTAACCCTCAGTGTAAACATAGGGGATTCTCTGAAACTGCTATGTTTTCAGCTGCAGGGTTTAAAACTAGAGGGACCTGGCACCCAGACCAATTCATTGAGCCTATAGTGGTTATTTAAACTATATTGCCAAACTGTCAACGTTTTCTCTATCTACTAATCATTTCCGTCTATTTCTTATTATTAAGCCAGTTGTATTGTATACTTGAACCTTTCTCCTTAAGCAGAATATCATTCTGCCATTCCTCTTTTAAAATCCCAATCCTAATCATTTTATCAATCTTTCATATTAATCTCTACTAATATCCAAGAAAGAGAAGAGAGCGGGAAAAAAAGAGATTTAATTTCCCCCCCTTTAATAAAAAAAAAAAAAAAATTATAATTTTCATATTTTCCCCATCCCCCTCCCATCACCCCTTAATAACACATTTTTTCCAAATCCTCTCTTCATACCAATGAAACATTCTATTGTGCTTTATTTCCTCTTGTGACCCTTGATTTTGAACCTTTAATGTTCTATTAATGTAACCATTTTCCAATCATAGTGTCATGATTCACCTTACTATTTATTAGGCTTATTTATTCCCCTTATAAACCAATTTGTGTGTAATAATTGTGCTATATCATTAATTAATGTTTCTATGCATTACAAGAGAAAAAGAAAATGAGGAGAAAAATGTCCTTTTTTCCCCTTTCCCTCTTTTCTCATCCATCTCTCTCTTTCCTTCCTCTTTTAAATAAATTAAAGTTATTTTCTTTTTTCTCTTCCTGTATTAATCAACTATATCTTGTGCAATAATCAATTCCATGTAAAATTACTCATAAATCAACTTTCTTAAGCCAAAACCCTTAATTAGTGTTTCATATTACCAATCTAGTTCGGTATCCAATTCATTAATGTTTGCTATATTCCATACTATATTAAAGTCACTGTGTATACAAAATACCCTTTTATAGTGACCAATCTTTTACTTTACTCTATTTTAGTTTCATGCATCATTTATTTTTGACTTATTACTTTATATTATCTACTATGTTCTCCTTCGTGTTGTCTTATCCTATAGCTATTTATCGACCCATTTATTACCCTTACTCAATAGCAATTAAATCGTGTTCGTGTGCAATATTCATCAATAATTCTAAAATAAATAGTCAAAAAATTACCCAGGACATACTTGAAAACGAGAGAAATATCAATGTATCCATCCTGGTAAAATATTTTATAAATAATAAATTATTTCGTATATTACCAAGCGAATTAAAAAGAACAAGGGAACAAAAAAAAAACCTTCTGTTATCGTGCATATTACTGCCACCTACCAATGCAAAGAATTCTTTTGAATCCGTAAGGATGCCTTTTTGGGATCCTCAAATATTTTTGTATCATTCCCCCACATTACTACTAGTTTAGTCAGATAACCCCACTTATACTTTATCAAATTATTTCTCAGTATATTGGTTACTGCCGCCAATGTTCCTCTTCTTCTCCTACAATACCAGGACAGGTCCTGGAATATTTTCAACTCTGAGTAGGGGTAATTTTCATCTTTCCCTATTTTTGCTCTATGTTTAGTGACCATTTGTTCTTTGAACCAGAAATGATGGAAACATATAATAAAGTCTCTGGTAGTCGATGTCGGTAATCCTTTAGGTCTAGGGAGACGATGGAATCTGTCCATTATCCTCTTAGTTGAATCCGTGATAATGCCCAGGTCTCGGGAAAAACTCATCAGGTATTCCTCTAACTTATCTTCTGTGACTTGTTCTTTAATTCCTCTAACACGGATATTATTGCGCCGGCTGCGATCTTCCATATCACTTACTTTTAACTCCAGCACTCCACATTTCTCTTGCTGTTGCTCATACTGAATTTTTATTTCCCCCTGCTGGAAAGTCACTGCATCGATTCTTTCTTCCATATTTATCTCGATTTATCTTTATCTCCTTAACATTATTTTGAATCTCTGAAGACATTTTTTCAAGTAATTGTTGCTGGTTTTTTTTCCAGTATTTCTGTGAACATTTCTTGCATTTCTTTCCCCATTAATGTATTA